TATTTTGTCAACAAAGTACCGAAACTTATATGTACGCATTCACATTGACAACCATATTAGCATTGATGGATGGTACAAAATTTCTACCTATTTATGCAATGGTAGTGACTTTCTAGCAAGAAATGCAGGACGAATGCAGCTTCTCTCAGTCACGGACATTGTGTATTTCGCGCCTAACGTTTGTATTGACTCCGGGGAAATTTGAGTACAACTCCCACTTCCACATTCATGTAATCATGTTGGCAGCTTCTCACATGATTATAGGCAGCGATCTATTCTCATAGTAGTCATTTACATGGATCATTTATGGCATTATGATCTCGTTAATTCCATACAAGGTTTTAAAACTAATTAATTAGTTTAAAATTAAAACTTACAAATCATACCGGAATAAGTATGTTGTTGTCCCTATTATCCATCCAATTTGCACATGAACTGAGAGCTAGAAAAATGGCCAAAGCTATTAAGTTCAGCTCAATCGACAACCCACGACACAATTATATATGCAATATTGCAATGTACAATCACTAGCAAATGTAGGTAGCATTTGAAAACCATATACGCACTAAATGAATGCATGATCAACCTTCACTTGGTACAGTGATATTTTCCATAATCTGCATAAATTTAGTGCTTTTTCTTTTTTTTTTTTCTTTTCTCATTAGGATCACAATAGAGCAGTTTTAATATAAGGACCACATTATATGATTAATGTATATTCTTATATAAGAACAACATACCATATGCGTTATTTAAAGTTACGTCCCGGGGAAGACATGAACAGGCACATTCACATTTGACATTAGAGCTACATGCACCATGCAATATTGTAATTGATCTACCCACTACCGAAATAACTAACTAATTGAGTACTTTCAATAAGCAAATTAAAAACACCAGCGAATAGTCCAATTTTGCTTTCAATGTGGTGCATGTGATTTCAGGTTGATTTTTAGAGGCTTTTTTTATTTTTACTAATAATAATACAAGTACTTTTAGGAAATAACCCGGGAAGGATCGATGATGTTGTGTCATTTTGGAATTGGTGATGCGGATAAAACTAGCTGTTAGGTAAGATTGTCAGAATTCGTAAATGAAGAGCATTAAAGCTGATATTTGAATGTGCTGAAGAGAGGGGAAAAAAAAAGGGTAGCCCCTGTAGTATAAGATTATTACTGCAAGTATGTATGTGGAATCTGTAAACCTGTAATGGTTATGGTTGAACGACCGCATATGTCAATAAATGCCATTCATTATGTTATACCCGAAACATGGCTCCCTCGATACACCTAAAATTCGTGTTCATATTAAACCATAGAGTATGCCTTGCTATTTATTTTTTACTCGTTCTGTAACAAGTGAGTGATGAAATGCTCAGTACAACACGTACTATAGTGTAATATACCAAAGACAAGCACATAGGCAAAATTTTTTAAACATGCGTAAGTGGAATTTGTTTTGTGACAAATTGGATGAACATGAACACTACAGAGGTGAAATTCAGCATAAGTATGATTAGAAGAGTGTATTTTGTGATTACACCATGATATGTACACACGTAAAAATGAATGACATTGGTGGTTTATTAAACATTTTTACCTGATTTCATTCTTGTACGTAAAGACTAATTATAAATATTAGAGTCTAACGAACATATAAACTAACACGTTTCCAAAATACGTGATACGTTTTAAGTTATCTCTACCTGTATAATTAATTATCTCCGATTACTATTAAATTGTTTCAAAATTTCAAATAATACCCAATTATGGACCGGAAAAAAGTAGTACTACTTATATTTGACCGTAGTACTCCGTCAGCTATATATGGAACTCCTGAGGAGTCTCTCTTCTTGCCAAACCCTGAACTTTCTTTCCATAATTACTCAGTATCATCAACCTCAAGAAAGAATATAACAATTACTCCCCGTACTAAATTTTTTTCCCAGCTATCCAACATGTCCGGAGAAAATGACCACCCTCAAACAACACTCGAGCCCACCAGCCGACCGGTCGGAAACACAGAGCATAGCTGGTGCAGAGCCATTTCAGGCGGCACCGGAATCGCAGTCTTGACCCTTCAAATGTCTAAACCCGTTGACGTTCCCCGTTTCCAGGAGGGACTCCAGAAACTCCAATCTGCCCACCCGATTCTTCGGTCCAAGCTTCATTACAACTCTTCCAAAAAAGCCTTCTCGTTCCTCACAATGCCCAATTCTTACATCCAAGTTCAATCAATCGATTCCTCTTCCACCTCGTCACTTCTCCAGGGTCTTGCAAAGAATAAATGTCAGGACGGTTTTACTCTTTCCCCACTCCAAATGATTCTCGAACACGAACTCAGCAGAAATTCGTGGGTCAACCCGAATGAATACCCGAAGGATGGGATGGATGTCTTCTTGGCGAGCGTTTATGAGCTCCCCTGTTCCAAGTGGATCATTGCACTTCGGTTTCATACGGGGGTTTGTGACCGGACCACGGCGGTGACGTTGCTCCGGGAGCTGATGGAGCTGGCGGAGGAAGAACAAAAGGGCGGTGATCAAAAAAAGGTTGAGAACAAAAAGGAGGAGGAAGTCAAATATTCCGAGAAAATGGGAAAGGTAATAGAGGACCTTATTCCCAAAACCCACTCTAAGAAGACTTTATGGGCTCATGGGTTGGACGTGCTGGAATATTCAGTCAACTCTCTCAGGTTGACCAACCTGAAGTTCAAAGATGTCAAATGGCCAAGAAGCACTGAAATCGTGAGATTGCAGATGAATCCACATGAGACCAATCAAATCCTTATTGTAAGTATTGTTTAGATTTCTAACACGTAATCTATTCGTCCCAAAATTATTGTTCTAACTTAAATTTTTAAAAATGAAAATTTAAAATGGACAATAATTTTTAGGAAGGGAGTTACGGAGTGAGTATGTTTATCAGTAATGCATTCATCTCCGTGAACATACTTTTAGTTTTTTTTTTTTTTTACCACTCACTAATCAATAGTCAATACAAACTATTTTCACAACAACTTTTATTAATTTTGTGTGATTGAGGTTGCATACCCCGGGAACGTTATACATTGATTTCTTTAGACAATAGCCGTCCTCTACTTGTTCCCCCCCCAAAAAAAAGAAGAAACTTTTTCGTGTGGTTTTCAACTTCATATTTGGTTCTTCTACTCATTCGTTTCTTTCGAGTAAGCTGCTAAATAGAGTATGTTATGATCGAGTATTTTGGGAGAATTTACATTGTCTGATTGCTTGAGATCATTCATTATTCATTAGACCTAAGCCATTTTTTTCCCCTCAGTATTTTACTAACTTTTTTATGTTTGTGGTATCGAGGGCCTAGTCTACTGGTAATACTCTTTTGGTCTATGTCAATCTAAGAAATTTCTTTGGTTGTACCTTTAAATATGAGACAAAAAATTAAAAAAACCACCAGCACAAGCACTTTTCGCCCCAGTTTACTCGTGAACATCTAGGATACAGTACACTAGCTAGTAACTATGCTTTTTTTTTGTATGTTTTGTTTTGGTTTGATTTTTTTTCTTTTTTTCCCCTTCTTGGTCTGGGCGCATATACTCGTGTGTATACTGCATTTATTCAATACTCAACTACCTCTCTGGTACCATGGTCCATCCGATAATTTGAGGTTTAATACTGTAGTAATTTTTCTTTTGTAATTAATAAACGATGACAATTGGTAAGAACATATCTATTCAGTCGTATCAAAATGATTGTCCAGTTTAAAACCGCCTAATTTTTTTTTATTAATTTAAAGAGTCTAATATGATACTTAAAGGGTCTAATTATGATATTAAGGCAAATAAAATATCTGTTGGGCTTGAAATTGAGCAGGGCTGCAAGTTGAGAGGGATAAAGCTGTGTGGAGCACTGGCAGCAGCTGCACTAACAGCAGCACATTCTTCCAGGCCCATCCCTGATCAGCGCAAGAAGTACGGTGTTTTGACCCTCACTGACTGCCGCTCCATTCTTGAACCCCCACTCTCTCCCCATAACTTCGGTCATTACTCTTCCCTTAAATTATCACCCTTTCACCCCCTTCCCAAAAATGGGAAGAAAAAAAAAACAGTTAAAACCATTTGACATTCTGACAAATTGTAATTTTTACTTTTTAAAAAAAAATGCAGGGTTCTACCATGGTGCAATCTTGAATTCACACACGGTGAAAGGAGGAGATAATTTCTGGGATTTGGCTACGAGAAGCTATTCTGCTTTCGAGAATGCCAAGAAATGCAACAAGCATTTCTCCGACATGGCTGACCTCAATTTTCTGCTGTGTCGGGCAGTGGAGAACCCCAACTTAACTGCTTCCTCTTCTTTGCGAACTTCGTTCATTTCGGTGTTTGAAGATCCCGTGATTGACAACACTAATCAGTCGCAGAAAGGAGTTGGAGTTGATGACTTCTTGGGCTGCGCTTCGATGCATGGTGTTGGGCCGTCCATTGCGTTTTTTGATACTCTGAGAGATGGAAGGTTGGACTGTCTCTGTGTGTACCCATCGCCGCTGCATTCACGGGCCCAAATTGAGGAGCTTGTTCAGAAGATGAAGGCTGTTATGATTGACGCAACTTATTAGTGTGTGTGTGTGTGTACCTTTGCTAATTTTCCTTTTTGTAGAATAAAAAACTACTACTATTCCTGGATTATTAGGCTGATGATGATCATGATCACCTATTTGTATTTGTTGATTAAGATCCTGTTTGAAACGTAAGTTCAAATATTATGTTTTGAAGTGTAATTGAAGTTGAGACCACTAATTAGTTATGTTGGCTTATTGGATTTTGTGACGTAACATACTAGTGTAGTAGTAGTATAATCACAAATCATAAAGGTACATAATTTATTTTATTTTATTTGTTTGGTTTGGGGTGTGTCTTTATCTAAGTTTGGAGCCAATCCCTGCCACAATTAGTAAAAATCAGATTTTTGGGGAAATTATCTTATCTCGAGCAAGTATCAGTCAGCGTCAATGTTTTGACTATGAGCTCAAAAATGGTCACTAAGTCAGGGCAGCTTGCCTTCTGGTCTGTATGGTCCAATTATGGAAGTTTGCGGGTGGTTAACTAGTCAGAGCCGGGAATCTTTACCACAAGAAGTTCACAGCTCATCCAAATGGATATTCCTGGATATTTATGCATCTCACATTAGTTCCATTTCCTACAAAATTTGTTACATTTTTGTGTCACTATAACAAGTGATATATTTTCACCGAAATTAGTATTTTCAGATTTTCTACGTCAATATGTTGAATTTTACAGGTTTGCAACTTGCAAGGCCGTTTATTAATAATTGAAAACAAAAGCTCATGGGACAAAAATGCATTAAAACTTGAAAACTAACTGCAAGAAAAAATTTAAGTGGTTGCTGTTTAAGTTCGTCAAAGAAGATATGGAAGTCCAGCGTCCAAAAGAATCGTTGTACGATCGACACAGCGAGTTGAAAGCATTCGACGACACCAAATCTGGAGTCAAAGGACTTGTCGATTCCGGCATTACCGAGATCCCTCACTTCTTCCGTCAACCACCGGAATCCCTGAACCTGAAAACCACTGATCAATTCAAATTCCCAATCATAGATCTCCAAGGCGTCAATTATTACGAAGATCCAGTGAAGCGCAAGGAGATAATTGACCAAGTCCGCCACGCATCGGAGACATGGGGTTTCTTCCAAGTTGTCAACCATGGAATTCCTATCACCATTTTGCAGGAAATGATTGACGGAGTCCTCCGATTTTACGAACAAGACTTAGATGAGAAGAAGAAATGGTACACGAGAGATCCCACCAAAAGGTTCGTCCACAACAGCAATGTTGACTTGTACAGCTCGCCGGCGGCTAACTGGAGGGACACTTTCTATTGCATCATAGCTCCCAATCCTCCTGACTCCAAGGATTTGCCCACAGTGTGCAGGTAATTTGTCCCCTACCCAAAAAACACCATTTTTTATGACAGAATTTACAACTTTGATTAATCTGCCCAAAAAATATATATATTTGTTAACTGTATGCAGAGACATTATGATGAAGTACAAAGACGAGGTTATGAACTTGGGGAGTTTGTTATTTGAGCTGTTATCAGAAGCTCTTGGGCTGAATAAGAATTATCTCAAAGAAATGGATTGCGCAGAGGGACTTGTACTGGTTGGCCATTATTATCCGCCATGCCCTGAACCTGAGAAAACTTTGGGCACTAGTAAACATTCAGACGACGGTTTCCTCTCTGTTCTTCTCCAAGACCAAGTGGGAGGCCTTCAAGTTCTTTATCAAAACCAGTGGGTTGATGTTCCCCCAACACCTGGAGCCCTGGTAATCAATATCGGAGATCTTTTGCAGGTAATTAACGATTAGTAGTACTCCGTTTTCTTATCAATCTTCAGATGATATTTTTTGACTCCCTTTTGTATGTTTAAAATACAGTTGATAACGAATGACAAATTCAAGAGCTCAGAACACAGGGTGGTGGCAAATAAGACAGGGGAACCCAGAATATCAGTAGCATGTTTCTTCAGTACCAGTCTTTTGCCATCCACTAGGCTATATGGACCAATTAAGGAGTTGGTGACCCCAGAGAATCCCCCAAAGTACAGAGAAACCACAGTGAACAATTTTGTAACCTACGCACTTGGGAAGGGACTAGATGGAGTTTCGTCTCTGTTACACTTCAAGCTTTAGGCACTCGAAGGATGTTCGTTTCTGTATCTTCTTCAGTTAATTAGTAAGGTAAGAATAATTGCAGTTGATTGATGATTGCTGAGGTAAATATACATATGTACCCTTGGTTCCCTGAACCATTTCTGTGTACTTGAATAATTGTTATGTTTCTGTAATGGCTTTGAGTACTCCCACAGTTAAACAACTTTAGAAGTGCCAAGAAAAACATGAATCAGGACATTTGCACGCCATTGGTAAATTAACTAAACACCTCAGCAAGTAGTTATTTACTCGGACGTCGATATCCGCATGATCTATATGGTCAAAAAAAAAAAAAAATTGTTAGTCCAAAGAGATTAAACCTGACACTAACTAATTGGCTATAGCATTTGAGGTAGCTTGTCAGTATACCCAAGTTTTCCAGTTTGGCCAATACATTTATTACCACCATTACAAGTAAAAATAGCAACACTAATTTGCAATTTCACGAGGTCATGACTCCTCAGACATGAGTATAAATAATGAGTTGATAATCCATCGTTGATATATCAAACATTATATCCATGGCTGATCAGTACAGAAAACTACATATTGTAGTGTTCCCTTGGCTTGCCTTCGGTCACATGCTCCCAGCTCTCAACTTCTCCTTTCTCATAGCTCGAAAAGGTCACAAGATATCCTTCCTATCCACCTCTAGAAATATCGATCGCCTCCCCAAATTGCCCCCTGATCTCGAAAAATTTGTAACCTTTGTCGAGTTTTCGCTACCTCGGAACCAAAACCTGCCTGAAAATGCAGAGGCTGCTAGTGATATTCCTGATGAGAAGGTGAAGTATCTCCAACTTGCCTATGATGGCCTCAAAGAACCCATTGAGGAGTTTCTCCAAAAAACTTCCCCGGATTGGGTGTTCCACGATTATGTCCCTTATTGGCTGCCATCCATTGCATCAAAGCTTGAGATCAACACAGCGTTTCTTTCCACTTTCAATGCATCAACGTTGGGATATTTGGGACCCGCGTCCAATCTGAATGGCACTGAGGATAGTGGAAGAAAAAAGGTTGAAGACTTCACTGTCAAACCAGAATGGGTACCTTTCCACACAGCCATTTATCCTAAGTACTTTGAGGTTGTGAGAAACGCTATTGCGATAACCGGAAGTGAAGAAAGCGTGGCCGACTTTTATCGCTGCGCTTGTTGCATTGAAAGCTGTGATATCATCGCGGTAAGAAGCTGTTTCGAGTTTGAACCAGAATGGCTAAAGCTTTTAGAGGAGCTTCACCAAAAACCAATTATTCCGATCGGCCTAATCCCAATCACCGATGAATTCGCCACAAGTATTAGCAATAATACTAATGCCAGTAACTGGTCTTTCATCAAAGAATGGCTTGACAAGCAAAAGAAAGGGTCAGTGGTTTACATTTCATTCGGGAGTGAGGCTAAGCTTAATCAAGCAGATCTTACTGAAATTGCACTTGGTATAGAGTTTTCCGGGTTTCCATTTTTCTGGGTTTTGAAGATGAAACGCGGGGATGGAGATAACGACAAGATTCAGCTTCCACATTTTTTTGAAGATCGGACAAAGGATCGTGGAATGGTTTACACTAGTTGGGCACCCCAGTTGCAGATACTGAATCATGAATCTGTGGGTGGATTTTTTACTCACTGCGGTTGGAGTTCGATCGTTGAAGCCTTACAATTTGGTAAACCTATGATTCTGTTTCCTTTTGCAGGGGATCAACCGTTGAATTCCAGGATGTTAGAGGAGAAGAAGCTGGGTTTTCCGGTTCCAAGAGATGAGTTTGATGGGTCGTTTACGATGAACTCAGTGTCGGATTCACTGAAGTTGATCATGACTGGGGAAGAGGGAAATATTTACCGTGACAGAGTCCGCGAAATGAACAGAGTGCTCTTTGATCACGGTGTTCAAGATCACTACGTTGAAAATTTGCTGGCGTTTCTTCAAAATTATAAGAAAATTCAAGTTGGCATTTCAGATCAAAGACAAAATTCATAAAAGGCTCTTCACAATTTGGAAAATTGATGTCAAAAGAGGTCTCATTTTGATGTACTAAAGGTCTAAGGGCATTTCCGTTTTGTTTTTTGTTTTTTTTTTTTAATTTAAAAGATATAATATGTAACTAGTGTCGGCAATTTCATGGCTAATAAGTAGCTGTAACTTGTAACCTCAAAAGTTACTGATAGTTTGATACTTGAATAAAAAACAATCAAAAGGTAAAGATACATTTCATCTTCCTTTTCAGTATAAGATTCGGTGAGCTATTTATCAAAATATGAATCCGGACAAATACTATGTTTCTTATCTTATCCTTAAAAAGCGACACATTTTTGTGAGAAAATGACTTTATAAATCTATATCTTTATATATATTTAAAGGAGAGTTTTCAATTGAATACATGGCGTGAAGTTAGATAAGCTATTCCACATAGCACAAAATTAGATGGCCAAGTTCACATGTCTCAACCACATCACTCCATCATTTTTAATGGTAATTTTTTAATGTATAATTATAATTTATAGATAAAACTTAATCAATTAGGAGATTTTCCCTTAACAGTAAATTTTACATCTTTATTTACTTTATTAGTCCTTGCATAGTGATACTATTTGTTATGTGACCCCCGTATTATGATTAATTGACTATTCTGAGTTATAGTATCTTTTTAAAAATTTTCATCCCAATGATTAGAGTTTAGAGATTAACGTCCTACAAATTTGCGAAAAATCATCCAATTTGACGTGAAACCCAAATTACTAGATAGGTATTTTGGAGTAAAAATTAAAAAAAAAATAGTATTACGCAAAAATACCTATCTAGTAATTTGTGTTCAAATAGTATTACCAATAGATAGATATTTTTATTATTAAAAATAAACAAATCGACTATATTAAAAGAGAGTTTTCTATTGAACACATGACGTAAAATGAGGAAGGGTGATTCACATGGCAAAAAAATAGACAACTAATTTTATTCGATAAATCAAGGACAAGTTAACCAATTTATAATTTAAATTATTCTCTGACACACTCTTCATACATAGCAAACCTATTTATATATTAATCAAGGATGCTGCCGTTGACAATGGTGAAGGCTGGCAGACAAAGGGAAAGGAGAGATTGATTAAACTCCTAAACAGTTGTTGGGTAGACATCTTTTTTTTTTTTCTTTCTTTTAAGCAAAAAGAAAGAGAGACTTGTGAAACTTTGAGCTGAGAGGCACAATAATACACTTAGAAGGTATACCTCTAAAATGAATATTGTAACCTCTTACACAAAATCCAAATAATTCCCATATTATTTAAAGATAAAAGAGCTCGTAGTGTCTAAGACTTACTAGGATACAGAAATATGTAGAGATATAATAAAGTCTATCTATTACAACCACATTATATAGTCACCTTACTAAGACTATCGGACTCTCACATATGGCATAGACTGTTGATCTAAGAGGAGAAGGCCCTTGGTATAACTTGAAAGATTACCAAGATCCGAATATTGTTTGGAATGTCAAACTGAAGCCTTTCGAGCTAAGCTATCCGCCTATCAGCAACCGCATTAGCCTCTCTAAAAATATGATGTATTGTATAACCCCTTTTCTCCATAATAGCATGAATCTCTACCATTTCAAAATGAAATTTTCAAGGAAAAGGACCCCGTTGGATAAAATGTTTGCTAGCATTTGGCTATCTGTTTCCATCAACTCTAGAGTTTTACATTTTCGTATTCCAAACAAAAGGCTAAACAATTCTGCTTGAAAAAAATAAAATAAAAAATTCACCACAATGGATCGTACTTAAATGTAATTAAATACGGGTCTAATACTACGAAGTACAATATTATAACACTAGGTTGTTATTCAATTCCCTCTGGATCGACATCTTACTTCTCCCTTCGTTTCACATTTCTCCCTTTGGCTTATGCCAAGAAATCAATATATTTCCGATTTCTCCCTTTGACTTCTGCCAATAAATCAATACGAGACTTTGTAGATAATTATTCTGGTCAATCAGATTATGCGTCTATTGTTTGGAACATAGAAAGAGCAAAAAAAAAAAAAAAAAAAAATTGTATTTGGCAAGGGTTTTTAATTATTATTGTTATTGTTATCATCAATTACTACTGCTTGTAATGTTACTGTTCAAGCTCAATTGGTCGTATGGAAGATCTGCACGGTCCCTTTCACTATTCTTTCATTTTATTTATTGTCATTTAAAAGACGTGACACGAGAGCATTGTGTAAAACTAAGAGTATACTTCTAATAAAATATATAAAGTCATAAATCAACAAAACGAAAAAGATTAACAACAAGTTAGATTGGATAATTTAGAATATTAAAAATTATTCAAAATAGCAAAATGCGTTAAGCTTAAGAATTACACGATTTCAAATTTCATCAGTAAATTATTTTGTTTATATATATATATATATATCACTCCGTAAAAATATCATACAATCGTTAAATCATTAAGCTCATATATATCTTGAACAAACCGCACAACGTGCGGGGTAAAATACTAGTATAGATTAAAGCAGAGTTCTTAATCGACATGTATCGCCTAGGGAACAAGTTTAGCCAATTGTACCACGTGTTGTCACCAAAATTCTCCTTTATTATACAGTTAAAAATTTATTACTAATATGTTAAATTATTAAATTGAATTAAATAATTAACCAATAGTTAATTTCGAATCTATACCTAAGGAGTCGGTAGACTTATAACTAAGGAAAACGTTATGAGTCCAGATAAATAAAATGAGTCTTGCACTTGCCAGGCACAACCTATTTTGTTATTAGAAAAATTAAGGAAAAAGTTTGTAGTATGGATAAGTATTTTAAATATTACTCCCTCCGTCCCATAATTATTGTCCACTTTGCCCAAAAAATTTTGTCCCAAAATTATTGTCCAATTTGACTTTTTATGAATCAAGTTACACATTTGTCCTTAGTAAAAAACATTATCCATAAAATATTAGTGGTTAAACAATTACTTATGTAAGGGTATCCGGTTGTTTAAGGTAAAATATAGTTAAATTTGACCAAAAATAAAATATTTCAATTTAGTAAAACTGGACAATAATTATGGGACGGATGGAGTATCTTTTAATAGTTTTTTTTGTCGTGGGTTTTTACCCCTATTTTTTTTTTCTTTATTTACTTTTGTTGGAATTTCTTTCTTTTTTTTTTTCTAATTTTGCTTTATGCCTAAAAAAATTATTTATAATATTTGATTCAATTACTACAAGTAGACAATATATGTTTTTCAGTCAATATATTTTAAGAATATACATGATTTAATTTCTATTGTTGAAAATAACTTTTATATACTTATATCTCCAAAAAAGTAGGATAGTAGACAATTGATTATATTGATTCGTATTTAGCATTTCTTTTTACATATACTAACACTCCTAAACAAGAAGCATATTAGATAGTTGAACATATTAATTTATATTTTAAAATACCCTACATGGCTAAGAAGAACTTGATGAAAGTGGTAACAATATTTGGTCAAGTTAACTACAATCCATGATTAAATCTGTGCATGGACATGTAGTAATGATTGTTGGGAGAGGGTTGTGTTCCAAAAATGACCTACCCGATTCATAGACGGATTAGTTGGAACAATGATTTCGAACACCCGGTGCACTATATACCAACAACGAAATATATATATATATATGACACTCTTGAATTTGGAGTTCGAATGCCTAATATACCATAAAACAGAATAACTAAAACATATAACACCTTTCATAAAAAAATAATGGTATATTAATGTTACTTTAAAATATAGTAAAATTCACGGGGCATAATACTAGTTTGTTATAACCTGACAATATCTATTTTTTTATTTATGCACCCCCCACACACACACACACAAACTCAGACTGGGATCGCCGCCGGAATCATTTGACATTTTTTTTCTTGAATATGGAGTGACGTGGCAGTCTCCGGTAATGCGCTTTGAATTTTATTTCCAAGCAGAGAGCCCGACAAAATACTGTTCTACACAATTGGATTATGCTAGATATTTTTTTTAATTGATGGAACTATACAGCTTGGAAGATGAAAGCACATTGCCGCCTCGATTTACCTAGGGTCCAAAAAAAGTAGAATAAATAAATTTGGGGAGTTCATCATTCATCTAAACCACTAAGGAGCTTACCAAGACCTCCTTTTGATTTCAGTACCAGGGGAAAATGGTTCTCAACGAATATGGAGCTCACCATGCGACTGAAGCCGGCGGATATAACAGGAAGGCGGAAATCAAAGCTTTTGATGACACAAAAGCTGGCGTTAAAGGCCTAGTTGATGCCGGAGTTACTAAAGTCCCTCCAATGTTTATCGGCCGCCCTGAAAAATCTTACCCAACTAGCACCGAATACGAGTTTCCGATCATAGACTTGAAAGGCATAGGCGAAGATCCGGCCAAGCGAAAGCAGGTAGTTGAGAAAGTGAGGGATGCAAGTGGGACGTGGGGGTTCTTCCAAGTGGTCAACCATGAAATCCCTGATGATGTTCTTGAGGAGATGTTAAATGGTGTACGCAGATTCTTTGAGCAAGACACCCAAGTCAAGAAACAATGGTATTCCAGAGATCACACCAAAAGAATGTTTTGGAACAGCAATTTTGACCTTTACAGTGCGCCAGCCACCAACTGGAGAGACACAGTGGTGTTCAGCTTGCTCCCTGAGCTTCCTTCCCCTGAAGATTTGCCTTCAGTTTGCAGGTGAAACTAATTAGTTCACACCATTAATTAATTATATGTAGTGGAGTAAATTAATTGATTTGAACATGAGAAATTTCAAACTTGTGTAATTTGCATTTGGATTTGCAGAGAGATTGTGATGGGGTACTCAAAAGCAATGGAGAATTTGGGGTATACTCTGTTCGAGTTACTGTCAGAGGCTCTTGGGCTTCGTTCCGATTATCTCAAAGATGAGGATTGCGTCAAAGGATTGACTATTCTGGGGCATTACTATCCGGCATGTCCTCAACCTGAGCTAACTTTGGGTGCCAGCAAGCATGAAGACAATGATTTCATTACTGTGGTTCTTCAGGATCATACAGGAGGCCTTCAAGTACTCTATCAGGACCACTGGGTTGATGTTCCTCCAACTCCTGGAGCTCTTGTAGTCAACATTGGCGACTTACTTCAGGCAAGTTACATATTCATAGTCTAATTGTTGCTATTTGATTTAGAGTCAAAATCATTAGATGAGTCCTTTTAATCTCTAGACTCTAGACCTGTGTACGAGGAATCTACAAATCCAGCTGACAGTTTTAACTGGTAATTGAACTTTGCAGTTAATGTCTAACGACAAGTTCATCAGCGCTCAGCACAGAGTACTGGCAAATCGAGCGGGACCAAGGATATCGGCAGCGGCATTTTTCACGACGAACATGTTGGAATCCTCGAAGCTGTATGGACCTATTAAGGAGCTATTGTCGGAAGACAACCCGCCAAAGTATAGGGAAACCACCGTCAAGGACTATACAACCTACTTCAATACGAAAGGCCTTGATGGAGTTTCTGCTCTTCTGCATTACAGGTTGTAAGAACTCTTTGTGTCCAAAATGAGGCAGACCAGCATATGTTCTTGGATATCTATATCAGCTGAAATATTAAGGAATTCTGCAAACTTATGCTGTAGATTTGGTCTACATTTGCTGTACTTGGTTTTGCTACAATGATTTCTGTATTATTACAGGCTTGTTACCATAATTTGGAAATAAAGAAAGAAAAAAGTAAAAGAAAAGATAACAGAATGCAATTGCATAGCAGTGAAATAAATGTGTCGCACCAAAAAAAAAAAAAAAAAGTGACGATGAGAAATCAGATAACGACACCCTTAAAACAAAAGTTTAGTGGGAGTAAAAGTTCATTAAACCACCATCACCCTTTCATGGATCACTATGCAAATAAAGGCCCAAAGAACAATTAGTATAAGTACGCCAAATTTTAACACAGAAACATGATAACTATTAGGAGCTTTGCAAAATAATAATTACATCCGTGTTTGTTGGGTTGGGAAAAATCAGGGTCATCGATATGCATTATCATAGAAATAGCCAAGGGACCCCAAGAAAAGGATGATGGAAGAAGCGGAAGTACTAACAACCACGACAATAAAAATGGGCTATTAATATCTTTATGGTGGGACACTTTTCCTAAAATGTATCTTATTATATGTGTATTAGGACTTTTGCTACAAAGTGTCTTATTAAAAATGAAAAAGTGTATTCATATTATGAAACACTATCATAAGTGTACTATTTGAGCTTCATTGTGAACTATTACCTTACTTAATGAGTCATTTGAAAGTGTCTTAATGAGTGACACATTTGACTCAAATTTCTTGGGGCACTACTAAATAGTGTCTCCTATAATTGAGTCACAATAAGTCATAAAATATTTAAAAGTGTATTATTAGATTGTCACTCATTAAAACACTTTCAAATGACCCATTAAGTAAGGTAATAGTTCACAATGAAGCCCAAATAATATGAATACACTTTTTCATTTTTAATAAGACACTTTGTAGCAAAAGTCCTAATACACATATAATAAGATACATTTTAAGAAAAGTGTCCCACCATAAAGGTATTAATAACCCATTTTTGTTGTAGTGAACGTAACCTCGAATCCGTTTTTGAAACAAGTAAAAATTGTCGTAATCGATATCCTTCTCAACCACATTTGTCGGTTTAAGAATGGATTTTTTGAACAATCACCACACCATTTTTTGCGTACAGTGATACTGGAATTATTTTTGTCCGGTTAATTTACTGAAACACCAACAATCAGAAGTTAATTTTAATAAATAATAATCGACTCAACTAGAGTTATCAAATACTATTTTTTAAGTGTAATGCAATAAAGCAAAATGACGCAGAAACATTTGGTTTTGGTTAAATGGGTTCCTCGTGCCCAATTTCTCTTTCCTTTAACTCGCAGACTAACGTCATTCATCCCTCTGCAGTCTGCTCAACTTACTGTACTTAGTTTCAATGTCTGGGCCGGAGAACCCTATCCCACAGCCGGCACCCGAATCCAATCGGATCCGCCCGGCCGGCGGCACAGAAAACAGCTGGTGCAAAGCCGTGCCCGGCGGCACAGGCATAACCACCTTGGCTCTCCTAATCTCAAAACCTCCAGACATTCAACATCTCCAGAATGTCCTCCACAAACTCCAACTCACCCATCCAATCCTCAATTCAAAACTCCATTACAATCCCACCACCAGCGCGTACTCCTACGTCATTGCCCCCACCCCTCAACTCCAAATCCAACAGTTTGATCTAGCATCAACCTCTGAGATTCTACATTCCGGCATTAATCCCGGCAACTCCGTCTCCGATTTCCACCTTATCCTCGAGCACGAACTGAATCGAAACACCTGGCGCGATCCCGCCCCGTTGTCCGACTTAGATTTGTTCTTCGCGAGCGTTTACAATCTGAGTTCTGATGACAAATGGGTGGTGGCGCTCCGGCTTCACACATCGATATGTGATCGGGCCACCGCGGTGTCGTTGCTCCGGGATGTACTGCGGCTAATGTGCGCAGAAACCGAGGAATCGGCGGAGAAGGAAATCGATACGGCGGCGGAAATCAGATTAGGGATCGAAGATTATGTGCCGAGTGAAAAGGGGAAAAAGGCGTTTTGGGCACGTGGAGTGGACGTGCTTGGTTACTCTTTAAATTCGTTCCGGTTATCAAATTTGGGATTCAAGGACGCTCAGTCGCCAAGATCGTCACTGGTTATAAGATTACAGCTTAATGCTCAACATACTCAACAAATTCTCTCGGTCAGTTTTTTCCTTTCTTTTTTTTTTTTTTACTGATTTTCAATAGTTTTAAATAATGCTTTACCTATTTAATTTCGTTACGTCTCCTGCTTTCCCCTGCAATGCATCCGTTTTCTTCAACTAAAATTCCAATGATTGCGATTGGTGCTTTCAAACTTGATCAAGTGGGTACAGCTATAATTTAATTTTGTTGCTCAATGTTTAACTATAATTTGTTTATTTAACGTCATCCTTTCAGTTTTGTGTACTTGTTCCTCTCCATTATTGTCTTCTTTTTTCATTTTCTCAAAGAGATGACATGAAAGTGACCAATCGCCACATTGGTTTTGTGTCTTCCTTGTTTCTCAATTCCACATTTGTATTCTCACTAGCGTGCATGGTAGAAATTGATGATGAAGACGTAAATCAAAAAAAAAAAAAAACAAAACAAAACAAAAAAGAAATTGGTGAGGAAGATATATATATTTTTTTAATGAAAAACAGAATAATTCTGGTAACCAACAAACTGAAGTTATCTTCTCCTCATGGTAGGACTAAGGGTTGTTTCAGTGTTCTTTGTCTACATATGCGATTGAATAGTATATAAATCATTCCACGAAATTAAAGATGGTTTTCAGAAATTTCTCGCTTCATAATAGTTGTTGCATGTACTATAATCATCAAATTAATTAAAAAAATATATCACGTATCATCTTTATATGGATTATAGAAATATTTTCAAGGTAGCATAAGTTAATTAAATTGCAACTATTGTACTCCATATATCCACCCTTAGAATTTGCATGAGGAATGATAGAGACAGTATGCATTGACAGTGAGATGAGATAGTGACTAATGAAAAGATAAATGCATCATTTTCACTAAACATATTTATTTGTTAATTAAGAGTAAAAATATAATTTTACGGGAAAAACAAAATTTTAATGGGAAGCAGAAAAACTGGGAATCAATAATACTTCACATTACTCACTATTTTTTTTACTCTTTTTTTTTCTTTTTTTGGAAATTACTATCTTTTTTCACTATAGATATCATTTTCCAATTTGTCACAAATGTGGTAGGGATGCCAATCAAGAAACATAAAATTAAGTGGGCTACTGGCGGCTGCTGGGCTTCTTGCTGCACACTCCTCAAAAGGCCTTCCGGCCCATCACTATGAAAAGTATGCCGTCGTCACCCTTATTGACTGCCGTTCTACCCTTGATCCAGTGCTCACTTCATCAGATTACGGTCAGTTATTAGGCAAAATTTGATCTTTGACTGTGTTCATTCAAAAGGCCTGCATTTCTCTTTCTCTGTATGTTCTCTTCTGTTACTAGGCCGGTGCTGATTTTATTTTAATATTTTTCAAAAGTACATACCGTACTAGCTAGGAGAAAACTATACTTAATTAAAAACATCATTTTCAAGTTTCCTTTAGAAAATCTTCTTCGTTGTCAGCACGAAAATGATCACAATTGAATAGTTTCCTTTTCCATTTTTATTTGACTCTGTATCCATCAAAGTTCAGATATATTCAAAGATGTTTGTTTGCAGGATTCTATCATTCTGCTGTCCTGAACACACACGACGTGAATGGTGAAGAAGGCTTGTGGGAAATGGCAAGAAGAACCCACGAATCCTTTACCAGGGCTAAGAACAACAATAAGCACTTCACCGACATAGCCGATGTCAATTTCCTCATGTGCAAAGCCATAGAAAATCCAGGCCTGACCCCGTCTTCGTCATTGAGAACCGCATTAATATCTGTCTTCGAGGACCCCGTGATTGATCATTCGAACGAGATGCACGAGAGGCTTGGATTGGAAGACTATGTGGGTTGTGCTTCATCCCACGGCGTCGGCCCATCGCTCGCCATATTCGACACAATTAAGGACGACCAACTTGACTGTGCATGCGTTTTTCCATCGCCCCTGCACTCAAGGGAGCAAATGCAGGAGCTGATTGAGGAAATGAAAAGGATTCTTGTTGAGGGAAGCAATGAGGCAGAATGATGAAATTAAGCTATAAGAATTCTTAGGCTTCCTCCTTTAATGGAGGTTTGCCTTCTCCATTTTCCTGGCTAGATTCAGGGTTAAGGAATGAATCTCATGTGATGATTAGGCAAATAATTGTTTATTCTTCTCTTTACGGTTTGTACTATTTCTCTGGAGAAAAAGGACCATTTCTTTGCGGGTGTCATTGAATCCGGCTAAAAGACTTGTTTGGTAAAGTCCAAATGGAACGATACAAAGATATAAAACCTGTAATCTTTGATGCATTATTAGTAGATTAAGTTGACTATCCTTTGGAAAAAGGAAAAGTTGGTGTCCCTTGAAGAATGGACGATCGCGTCATAGAAGAAAAACAATCTATAATGTTGAATGTGGGAAAAAAAAGGAGAGAGAGAAGGCAATCTATACGTTAAGATTTCGCTTTCAAACCAATATTCTGACCATCAATCACGTAGAAAGTACAAGTTGCAAGTACCACGACCCTTTTGTTTTCTTGTTTATTAGTACCATCATGTACCATGGCTCCCGAAAATATCGGAGCGACACCATTGAAACAGTCTTAATTATCTCTATAAACAATATCAGGTTAGCCCATCAACTTCATTTGTAGCCAAATTTCAGGGCAAGCGACTGGTCAACTTGCGCCTTATCTCCATGCCACCACTAAGGGCCTGCAGTATGCGATATCATGGGTAATCTCAAAACAGTATCACATTTTACAATCATAGATTGCCTGAATCATGGAGCTCATTGGTTCATTGACAACAATGCTGCATATCCCCTGACACAAATTGGGTTTGATATATTAAAAAAACAAGATAAATATTGATAACTGGTGAGCACATTGTATCTTGTGTGTTTGTCACTAGTTAGGAATGTATTCTATGATTTATCTTAACACAGTAGATGGAGGATCTCAAAAAGTGGTGTTTGATCTTAGAAATTAATATTAACAGAGGAAAAGAGAAGAGAATTAATTGATTAAGAAAGAAAGACAAAAGTGAGACATATGTAATATTGAGAGGCCGTTTCGCCAACAAAGGGGTGGCCCACTGATCTGGACTTGGCTTCTAATCTGGGAGATCCATGTTTGAACCCCGTTAATATTTTCAGTGTTGAGTTTGTGTAAGTTTTCTTACATCGTCAGGAAACTTTTCGAGTACCAAATCGAAGCTTGCGCGTGGAGCGTCCCCCCTTAGTAGTATTATCCACTTTCTTATAGATCCCACCGAGTACTTGTACTTGTAATTGTGTGCCAAAGAAAAAAAAGAAAAAAAAAGAAAAAAGAGACGGTTTCGGAGTTCTGACAACATGAGTTTTATGAAAAGGGATTCGTGTTCAACACGTACGTTTCACAACCCCAACAAAGAACTTCAAAGAACAGCCATTAAAGAATTTCAAAGTCGAGACTTAATTAGCAAAAAGGAGTAAGATCAACATTAAAATCGTCAAACAATACAATAAACATACCTAATTACATTCTGGATTTCTACAGATATTGATCCTGATTACGGAGAAAACATCAAGTCAATTCTAATGATCAGAGGATCACAAATTTCGATTGATCCTAGCTACGAAAAATTGTTCAGAGAGACTAACACTACTAATTAAATAGTTACAATGCCCACGCTATATATTATAGAAACTCTTCTACCAAGTCTCCGAAATCAAATTTGCCATGTCGGCCGGCTTCAACGGCAAGAATCACCTCTTCAAACGTTGCCACGCTACAAGGTACCACCAGACCACTTTGATGGTTGAAACCATATTGGTCGGAAGCCTTCTCCAGTAACATCTTGAATAACGGGTGGCCAAGATATCCGGTCGGCACCACGAACCGCTGCCGGTCTTCTCCTACGTACACCGGAAACTTCCCCGTCGGCGTGGTTCTCGGCGACGATAATTCTTGAGCATCGAGACATTCTCCGAGCAGATACTGCGTGGGCGATGGTTCCTTTTTGGTTGGGGTACCCATTGATTTACTGCTCTTCCTCGATAACTTCTTCACCAATCCCATCTTCTTGCCCCACATGTCTTGCTTTTGAGAAGAAACTCAAAATCCAAGAAAAGAAAACTTTTGAAAGATGGAGAGTGGTGGGTGATTTTCGTTAGTGTCTCAGCAATTTATAGGGAGGCCATTAGGCCACCAATCTATTTATTTGATGAATCTTTATTTTCCAACTCTAACTAGTAGTATTCGGACTGCTTAATTAGTTCTAATCATTGAAGAATAATATAATATTATCATCAAAGAATAATAGAATATGCGATCTTATTTTTTTATTTTTTATTTTTTATTTTGATATAATAGTTACTACTTTGGTGGTCTTCTTCTAGTAAGGACCAAATTTTTAAGTTTTGGAATTATGTATACCTACTACTAATAATCTTAATATGACTCATCATTAGTTTTTATTTTTCCCTTTTCCATTACGGCTAACTATAATTCTTTTTTCTTTCGTTGCAAAAAATATTTTTCTGGTCGTTTGTGGCTTATAATTTGAGGAGAAGATCAACCGACGAGTGAGTCCAAAAAGAAGATTGTATTTTATTTTTGGGTTGGTTTTAATTAGTTGTTTTGACTTATCACTTATTTAATTAGCTAGCTGTGCACCTAATAAGCTACTATAAGATATTAAAGAAGATTATATGAAGAAATAACAAGGGCCGGAGTATCCATTCCCATTCCTCACCCAAAAAAAATAAAATAAAATTCCAGTCTATATACAATGGTGCCGTCCAAAGCCATTGTTACACCATATCTTCTTCCCTTGACATGTTGCCAACAAAGTGCGGTGAGCAATCCATATACTATAGTTACTTGAGTTTGTGTAATTGTGTCCTACCCTTTAAATTTTGTACCTTTATATCAATTGGGGATTCATCTTATATTCTATGACGTGCGCTAAATGATCATTTTCATTGGCTAATTTTGGCTTAAACTCTCATGTTAAATGGAAGGGGAAGAGAGGGTGGATCTGTAAACAAATTGACTTTTTTATTATTTCTTGATCGATCAATCGTAATTGGGCATCTATTTTTTTTTTTCTTTTGGGGTATATTTAAATTTTAAACCCTATTTCGAACAACTAGAATCATCCATGAAATCCATAAAGTTGGTAGATTAATGCTCACCGAAATGCATGTATATATTAAGAGGAATTGAATCTTTTTTATTTCCCTGCGTGAATTTAATAACGTGCTCTATATCATTTTTTTGGGTTTCCTCGGTATAGTTAAAAATATCTTATACTCCCTCCGTCCCATAATTATTGTCCAATTTTATTAAAATGAAAGATTTTATTTTTAGTCAAACTTAACTGTATTTTACCTTCAACAACCGGATATACCCATATATAAGTAATTGTTTAACCACAAAGATTATAATGGATAATGTTTTTTACTAAGGACAAATGTGTAACTTGACTCATAAAAAGTCAAATTGAACAATAATTTTGGGACAAAATTTTTTGGAGAAAGTGGACAATAATTATGGGGCGGAGAGAGTATATGATAACTATGTGATTTATCTTTCAAATGATCCTTAGATTCTCATATTTAATGGGAGGTTCATATATTAATTTTTATACTTTACTAAGGTGCATATCAAGAGGTTTGGTAATGATCAGTTTGGAAATTGACATAATTATAAACATCTCAATCAAGTTATAGTAAATACACACCATTAATTGATAACTTTGTTGTACTATTTTAGTTCAACAAATTAGACTATTTCATTAAGAATCGATGGAGAATTTCTTTTATGAAAAAATAACAGCAAAACCATCATCAAATACACATTTGAAAATGCCCAAACTTATACGATTATTTTAATTTACAAAATAATAACATTTAAGCTCTGTCCGAAGGAAGAACGAATTTGTTGCTTGCACACGGCTTATATTTTGTAAATAAATGAGATGACTCAATATTAACTTTTGAAAAATTAATAGGAAATTTTTAACATTTTGTAATCATAGCTTTTATCAATTTTAGAATTATTTTTAGATAATGTAACTATCAAAAGTTTAATTTTAAGAATTGTTGGTATTTCTTTTTTAGGACAAAAGGAGTATTAAATTTCACCCCATGTCTAAAAGCTAAAATTACTTTATTTCCTTAGTTTAAAATATATCGTAATGCTTATTATTAAAATATAACACTCAATGGAAAAACCTATTTCAAATTTTCATTTTTCAAAGTTTCTATATAGTTACTGTGTAAAGTCGATATAAGGACATGAGACTTAAACTATAATTTAACGGATAAAAAAAAATCACCAGATGTTATAGATTAACATGAATCTCAAAGGTTATTTTGTACTCTTGTTTTTTGAACATAAACCATGCAGTTATTGAAAGTGTTATTTTTATATCAATAGATAAAGAATTAATTATTAAATATGTTATAGTAAAAAGAAATGTTTTCTAATAAGGCAGGTGGCTTGGATAAATGCCATTGCCTCTCATGCAAGGAAACTTTTGCAATTTTATTGAATGTTATCAAAGGGATTCATACCATGTGAATTTTGTACTCAAGTGTGTTCCAATAACCCACATTAAATTTTGTGATATTCCGAAGGAGAGAAAAAAGATACTCCCAAGTTGGCAAGTCCCATCCTTAATTTTTTTTGAACATAAACCATGCAGTTAATTGAAAGTGTTATTTTTTTCTATCAATAGATAAAGAATAAATTATCTATAATACTTAATTAAAGCAGCAAACAAAAAGGACATGTGTCAGCACCATAATGAAAATTTTCCCACCAAAAGCTATTTTCAGTACAAAATTATTTTTGACACGTGGGACTCTAACTAATCAGAAAAAAAAAAGATAGAATAGATAAATACATAAATCCCTTAATTATAGCTACATAAAAATATCTTAATTATAGGTATATATTAATCTCTTAAAACAAAAATATTTAGTTGATAAAATTAAATGTAAGGAAATCTTCTTAAATCAAGTGAAACACCAGTAATGTCTTCTTAATCCCTAATTTCAAATAATATCTTCCATTCCGCTCCTCTCTCACACCTGGGCCTTTAAATCAATTACTTAAAATCTGACATCAATTCTCAATCCATTGATTTAAAATCTGACATCAATTCTCAATCCATTTCTTTCTATAACAGAGAAAAAATAAGCTGTCATGAAAGAAATTTGATTTTTTAAGGATGATTTTTTTTATTCTTCTGTTGTGGATATTGGTTTATGATTTATGTAAACCCAGACATTAGTTAACTGTTATAAATTAAATGTTATAAATCTGGGCATAGATTTATGTGTAATAACTCACTTTCTGTCCTTTAAATCGATTTTTTATTCTTCTAATTTTTTTTTATTCTTTTAAGAATGATTCGTATTTTTTATTTAATCAATTTAAAAATACAGGCGACATCCCGAGCATTCGCCCGGGGTAAACATCTAGTTAAATATTTTATAGTAAAAAGAAATGTTTTCTAATAAGGCAGGTGGCTTGGATAAAAGCCATTGCCTCTCATGCAAAGAAACTTTTCCAATTTTATTTAATGTCATCAAAGGGATTCATACCATGTGAATTTTGTACTCGACTCTATTCTAATAGTCCATATTAAATTTTGTGATATTTCAAAGGAGAGAAAAAACATACTCCCAAGTTGGCAAGTCCCACCCTTAAATTTTTATTTTTTTTAAAAAAAAAACCTTTTAAAATGTATAGAGCAATTAAAATATAAATAAATAAACGAGTACAAAAACAACCAAAGTATAATAAGTTGAGAATATAACTTTTGTTAAAAAAGGTAAGAATCACTAAAAATCACCTTAGATATATCAAATGCAGAGTGAAAAAATTGTTTGATATTATTAAGAAGGAAACAAATACTCCACCATTAATATATATATATATATATATATATTAAAAGATGTAGAAGCCGGATTTCGAAATGCGATGCAGGAGTTTTATTAAATGGCTGCTCAAATTCAAGGTAAACACAAAAAATTCGTGAAAAAGCACTGCAGCTATCATTCCTGCGTTTCCCTAATTCCAAGTAGCAAAGCTTCTATTCATTATTCTTTGCAAATCAATTGTAAACGTTCCCACTTTCTTTGCTTATAGTCTTCTTATAACTGTCATCTTAGCACTATCCGTTAGAAGAAATTTATTCCAATCATCTACCCGAAGAGACTCTGATCTCTTGCGGTTCATTTCTCATTATCTCCGAGAGGAAGCTGCTGCTTCTCACTTTTCTTGTTTTTGATATGTGGATTGTAATGCATAATAGCTAACTAATAATGATAAAGTGGCTATGTGAATAGTACACAATATTAATTAATCACTTAATATTTTATTTCTAACAAACTCGACTTTTTTTTTTTTTTTGATTTGATTGAATAATAACAATAAAGCCATAATCAACTACACGTTTGAAAAATGACTGAACTTATACATTCACATAAAAAGCTCCACGCGGAAGGAAGAATGAATTTGTTGTTGACTTATATTTCTAAATTCAAGGACTCAATACTTAAATTTGAAAATTAACAGGAAGAGTTTAACATGGGATCATGGCTTTTACAAATGTTAGAATAATTTCTAGATAATATAAATTTCATAAATTCAACTTTATAATTTATGTTTTCCGGTGAGCTAGGGAGAATAGTTATTTTGTTCTATTCTTATATATACGTGCATATAAATTTCTTGGAAAGTTTAACTCAATTACTCAATGAACTTGAAAAGAGAAAAACATATAGCCACAAAAAGTATATGCTACTAATGAGCCAACCAAAACAATCACTATTGGACCATTGCTTTTCACAAACTATATATATATATATATATATATATATATATATATATATATATTTGGGTCTCCACATCATTCCACAGACAATCACTCTTCCTTAACATGTCGTTGACATTGTGAAACTTGGTCGTCAACCATTTGACTTTTCACTCCAAACGAGGATGAACGTTCTTGGTCAAAGTTGGCATCGTGTCTAGCATTTGTTCGATGAATCATTTAGTTGCTCTTATATATAAAACCTACTCATATACCATTACTGAAAACCTTGTATCTCAATACAGTAGAATTTCTATAAATTAATAGTGTTAGGATCATCGAAATTTATTAATTTAGAGAATTATTAAATAATCGATTAATTAATAAATTATTAATTTAAAGATTTTCTATGAGAAAAAAGAACGGTCACTAAATTCCTCAATTTACAATTGTCTTTACATCCAAATCAATTTAGTATTAAAATATTTTTGAATACTTAAAATTTATACACAGTTCATATCATCTCTAGGGACTAAAAAATAAGGATCAATAGCTCATATTTTTACTCAATATTTATAGTTATTATTATTATTTTTTTATTTTAAGGTATTTATTAATTTATGATATTGTTGGGAATATATAGAAAATTTTCTGAAATATTATTTTTTATCATTTTATCAATTTTTTTCACCTTTTGTATTGGTCCTAACTTGGGACTTGGGACTAGACCTGACCGAAATTCTGGTTCGAACTGGAACCAAATCGAAACCGAACCGTCAATTTCGATTCTAAATCGTAACCGCAATTTATGATTAAATAACAATAGAAGTAACTATAATCTTTTGGTTTGGTTCTGGTTCTTCATTTGGTTCTGATTAGAATCGTAAAAAAAATAATTATACTTAATTATTAAAAAATTATAAATTATTTTTAGTTAATTTTTTACTATGTGACTTCTACTAAACTTAGCCTGATTAATAAAATAAATTAAATTAATCATTTCTCAGTCTTTGTCAAGTTGAAATAATTGATATTAATGTCAAAAGAAAACTATTAAATAAGAAATAAAGCTAATGAAATACAACAAATATCAAAATCATAATTGGAATCGAATCAAAACCATAACCGAAGTCGAGACCATAATTAAAGTCGTAACCGGAACCGGAACCGGAACCGTCTCAAACCATAACCATTTGAAACCGTCTCTTACATGATTCGGTTATGCTTCTATCTATCTTGGAACCATGAACCGGCGTTTTTAGAATCGTAACCGATAGTTTGAGAACCGTGGTCATGACTAGTTGGGACTGGAAAAAATTATTAATGGCTAGAAATTGTTAATTTATAGATTTTTAATTTACCGACTTCTATTTTACTTGCACCTCATCTTCTATCCAACTAAATAAATAAATAAATTATGTTTTCCACGAACTCGGAGAGTTTCTTTATGTCCATCTTAGCACATAAGAAGGTAAAACCAATTATTGTAATTGTTTACCATTCGGATTCTATTTGTCAGTTGCCGTATTACTACATTATTATATTTATAATATCAACAACTTTATAGAACAAAAAAATATTATTACTATGACGGATGTATTTATATTACAATTATATTAGTAATACTAATTCTAGAGTATTTTTTTAGTCAAAAGTAAAATATGTTTTGGGTAATTCTGACTGTAATTTGTATTGGATATGTAAATCGCAATACAGTAACTAAATTGTTCTTTATTTTGGTTTTGACAGGACAACCTAAACGAAATCGAAAGTTAAAAGGTAAAGGCCGCAAAATCGTTTGTGGCTGAAAGCAAAATATTGTTCTGGTTGATGGTTCTCTTCAGGATTTGAGCGTACGTGGATATTCAATTTGCTTCCGTTTCACGGGTTTGCGATTCTGGTAAGTTAATTTATGCTTGTATTTGACCTTTTGGGTTACAAGATTTTTTTTATACAATTCGATAATCAGCTTCTCTAGTAGTTACGTGGTTCTACGATATTAGTGAAATTCGTTCTGAATGGTTGTCCTGTCCTCCGCCTTAGAATCAATCCGTGAGAACTGAGAAATACCAATCGATCAAATCAGTAATTAGGGGTATGCTTAAAGAAGAGATGGGCGCGAAAGAAAGAACAGAGCGGTGGTTGTTCTGGACGGAGAGAGTGGCGTTTTTGATTATGTCAATATCATGGGCAGATAGCCTCTGGTGGTTTACCCTTTTGAATCATATGTGACTTTTATTTACTACTTCGAACTATTTTGGATGTGCACTACCTCCCTCTATTTCTTCCTGTTTGCAACAAAATGGCTGTTTCGATTCCAGGGTTCTTCCATTAATGGTTCACCTTGCTTTACTAGCCCCGCTTTGTTTCTGGAAAGATTAGCAAAATTGACTTGCGAGACTGGAAGTTGGTTTTTAAGAAATCCTGGTTTCTTGTTGGAACGATTGGTACTGTTGTTGTTGTTCAAAGGTACAGAGAATCATGACCATGTTCGATACTTTTGGATTTTGCACCCATCTTATACCCTTATCATTCCCTCGTTGAACATATACTTCGCCTGGCGTGGATACTCCAAGGAATTCCAGTCTGATCTTCACCATCAAAACAAAGGAGCAGCAACTAGTAGTAAGCATCAGCCCAAATCAAAACATGATGATGTGTTTAATGCAGCCGGGCGGGTGATATTCTGGGTCGAAAGGTTAGGCTTCGTTGCCGTGACCTCGGCTTGGGCTTTCATCCAAGTAATAGATAAGGTCGTGAGCTATGATGTGCGGGCCAAATGCATAACCATCATCGGTTATTTCTGGATTTGTACCAGCCTTTTATACATGTTGATGCACCTTGGGAGGCATTTATCATGTGGCGAGAAGAATACGAGACTTATTGGTTCGGTCAATAATTTCATCAAGGACCACCCAGGTTTCTGTTTAGAGCAACTAGCCCTGTTGATATTTGCTTATGGGCTCCATCGTTATAAAAAAAAAATGATTGGGGGATATATTGTGTTGGACGTGTGCCTCTTTATCATTTTTCCCATGTCACACATCTACTTCGTAAGTGTTGGTTACTCTAAAGAATTCCACGGACATGTTCGTGTTAAGGTGCGTGTGTCCCTTTGTCTAATCAAACTCTCTCTAAAGGCTAAAGGGTGTTTGTTTTGTTAGATTAGTTGTCTTTAAATATGGTTTCTTGTTGCAAATAATGTACTCCTTCTGTCACAAAGATAGGAAAAAGTAGTATTTTAAATGAACATAATGGATTTTTGGTTTTAAATAATACTTTGTGGTCTGTGAATGTATTGCCCTGCAAGAATGAAAGTGCGCATGTTTTTCCACATTTTGCCATTAACATTTTCCTGAAACTATTAAGCTTCAAAAGCACTAACAGTGTTTCGGTGCATAAATATAAACTCTGTGTATTAGTTTCACACTCCAGCAACAATGTGGTAGGCTAACTAACTAATTGGAGCCAAATACATTCCTGTCATCCTTTCACTGTGCAGGGATCAGGTAAGGCTGAAAGTGGAACCACTGCCAAGGAAGAAATTCAGCAGCGTCAGAAAATGTGCCCACGTGATAGGAAAGTTTATGTCGAGGGAAAGCTGCAGACTTGGGGAGAAGATAAAATCTTGAATCAGATTCAGGATGAAGATGAAAACTTGATGGATAACCTTGAAGACCCTTCTTCTGCCTCAACCTTTATGCCTGAGTTGGGCATGATGTTGAAAAAGCTAGAGGAAATTATTCAGAGTAAAATAGTAAATGCCTTGGAAGAACACAAACAGAGCTACTCAGTGAAATGCGAAGATTCATGGCAAATTGTCCTGATGAAAGTGGTGGAGAAATATGAGGAGGATAACAAAAGGTTGAAGGAGCAAAACAACGAATTGACCACAAAACTTATTGCTGCGACTGAATCCTCTCAGTTATACCGCAACCTTCTTCATGAAGGGATATTTTAGTATAATCTTAGCTAGTGATTAATAGCCAATAATAAATCTTCTAATATATTTACTGCAACCTGCATGGTTCATAATACTGTGTTAGCTATTGACACAAACTGCGTCCTTTGTGACTTTGTGTCTGTAATTAGCTATAAAGTCTTTGTAATATTAGAATAGGAAAAGATGATTCGGTTAATTGACAAATTTATCATTCTTTCTCATTTTCTTTTGTTCTATCTCTCTCCCTCGGTTTCTCTCTGAATCTCCCACCTTCTTCTTACTCGGATCTAATCCGGAATATCTGACTGGTCTTATTCATAACAATTGTTAATGTTGAAGATGATTCAAGAGTTCGTCCTAAGTAAAACACAAGAAAATATTATCATTTAGTCATCTTACAATGAAAGGGTTCCCAAAAAGTATCAAATCTAGTTCTTCCTATTCAGGACTTACCGGACTGAATAGGCCACACCTGAGTGCAAAAAGCTTGACACAGTTCTGTTTGAGCTTTTAAGGAGCATGATAAAGTCATTGAACTGGACTATACAATTGATCAGATCAGTTTCTGGATATTCAAGTGCAGATGTGTCTGATGAAAAGAAAAGGATCTTGATGGTTTCCACTAAAGAGAGTGTTTGGTTACGTTCAACAGATTACAAAAGTCAACCAAATTTGGGTTTTAGTGTTTGCATGGATTTTTTGGAAGAAGAATATAGCTCATAAAATGCAGCAAATTCAACTTTTTGGTGGCTCTTTCGCTTGAGTACTGGAGATTGGATTTTGAGTTAAGGACAACCCTAAATCATGGGCTGTGAGGATGACGACATTTAAAGGAGGGACTCGGCATAATTGTGATGATGAGTTGTGTAAGAAAAGCAAGATACTACCTGGGAGAGTATTTCCTTGCCTTGGTTGATCTGAATCATTTGCGTGCATCATCGGGTCGGGTTGTACCCGACCCGACCGACACGAACTTATTTGATTAGGTTCGGTTAAATGAAGTTCGGTGCTTTTGGGTATATTTTGACTAAACCAAAATGAGTACAGCATTGTAAACACACCCGAATGTTCAACTTGGAACTCTTCGGGGTTTTGACCAGTTCATGAACTTGGTGGTTGACAACACTGTGGAAGTGAATGGCAATGAGAAGATTGATATTGGGATGGTGGTATGTGTAATTTGTTGTATTTTTAGTGTTGTTCTTCTTTGGGTCACTTAAGTGTCTTCTGTTTGGCCTCTTGTGTGTTTCATTTACCTCCCTTATCCCCCTGTTGTAGGTTATCAGAGGAAACAGTGTTGTGACTGTTGAAGCACTTGAACCAGTCGGTAGACCGCAGTAGACGAACTTCTTTGATATGAGTGTGACAAGTGAATGTTAGTGTGATAAGTGTTGGTAATATAATGAGTCTCTATGTACTTGGAGACATTGCTTTTCGTTGTAATTGCAGTTGGTAGTCTCAGTTATGTAGTTATACTATCTGTAAACCAGGATTTTAACATATTCTGTTATCTGGTAAACCAAATTGAGTATGGGGCTCAAAGGGACTTTGAATCATTTTACGAGTGCCTTCTTGTAGCTTCTTCCTGTTCTTGAAAGGCCTCCTGGGTTGAGACTAAAGAAAATCAGCTGAAATACTGTCGATTTGACAATGATCACCATCTGACTCCATCCTTGAAATTCAGGCTAGGCTGACCACTAAGTTGATTTCTGCAGTTCTGTGAAATCACTCTGAACTGATGATACGAATATGCATGATATAGAAGACTCCTATATTCCTTCACTTAAGCGATGGTCTCAAGGCAGTTTTTGGGTTGCAACATTTTCAACCCTCTTCTTTGTCTTCAAGCAGTAAAATGTTGGTGACATTAGACTCGCTTAAAGGGTTGTTGACTATGGTCAGCTTGGAGCCCTTCCTCTGGAATTGAGTATTGGTTACTTTATCTTAAGTTTCGTACAGTTTCCGGAGAAGTGTGGCAAGTAAATACCAAGGGGAGTTGGTTTTCTCCCGCATTTTTTAGTTCAAATTTTAAACAGTTGGGACTTGGGAGTTTCAAAGTAACTAATAAGTAAGTGTATATAACAAGAGTATCTCAACGGGAAGCCGCCGCTGTTAAAAGCTTCATACCATATACTCCTACTAGTAGTACAAGCTTCTAAACGGCACGCTCCCAAAATCTCCTGTAATTTAATTTGTGATGCATAAAGAAGTCGTCCTCTCCTCTCCTGGTTGGCTACTTTCTTTTCTAACTTTTGCTTTTTAATCACACTGTGCTTTGGGCTGTCCGAAGAAAACCCAAAATTTCCCCTCAATTCTCGCGCAAAGAAAAAGAGAGGTCCAGCATGTTGTCACTTGTTACCAATGCAAACAATCATAGAATAATGCTCCCCCATTATCTTGTATTCTTGTTTCACGCATTGGGAAAAAATTTGGCAAAAAGAGAAGTTTATAGCTAGCTTTTACGTCTTGGGTCCATTTCTTCGGCAGTAACAACTAACAATATTGTTTTACTTGCCCCTTGTTTCTGATGTGGTCCTTCCATTTGAGTATTTACAAAATTTTCATCCTTTTTGTATATTAACGTTCGGATTTAGATCAAGCAATTGTGCACATTGGTAATTGATTAACTTTACCAATTGTTACTTCGAATGTAGATGTTCGTAAATAAGAAATTTTTCAAAATAAAAAAAGGAATAACCCATTTCGAATACGGATTAATCAGAAACAAAACTTGCACCATTTGAAGAGTTCACACCAAACGGACGACGTTACCTACCATCCCATAATATATACTCCTTCCGTCCCATAATTATTGTCTACTTTACTCAAAAAATTTTGTCCCAAAATTATTGTCTAATTTGACTTTTTATGGATCAAGTTACACATTTGTCCTTAGTAAAAAACATTATCCATAAAATCTTAGTGGTTAAACAATTACTTATGTAGGGGTATATCCGGTTGTTTAAGGTAAAATATAGTTAAGTTTGACTAAAAATAAAATCTTTCATTTTAATAAAATTGGATAATAATTATAGGACGGAGGGAGTATATTTTTTTGTTTGTTTGGCTGTTGAATTTTACACATTATAGAAGGCAAAACCAGCCAGGACACATTCCCTATTGCACGAATACGTTTTGTGAAGATTCTTAAGAAGTGAGATACGTCACGATTTTGGGTAGATTTTTCATTCTTCAGGAAATCCATTCGCTTAACGTCATTGTTCTTCCTGTCTCTTACTTTTCCCTTATCTTTTCTTCTTTAGGATCTGATAGCTATGAAGATATTCCTTCCCGTTTTATAAACGCATTGGGATTTCTGTTCGGGTGTTGGAAATTAAAAGCTAGGCTTTTTGTGATGCCAGTTGACCGCAAAATGGGGCTATTATGTTAACCACGAGTCCATCAGCATTCTTCAGACACAATTAGGACACGCCACTGTGTTCACTGTTCAGGGCATAGTACTTATAAAAAAAATGATTGCGATAATGGACTTAATAATACCCCCACCAAATCACCTTATGGATTAAGTATAACCAATGAACCCAAATGTTTTTTTTTTTTAAGTAAATGTAGTAGCAAAAGCGCAAACCTTATTTCATTAGTATATTTTCTTTTTAGTTCTATCTGATATGCTTTGTCATTTACTATTTCCCCAACTGCTACCCGAATTTTGCACCTTCCTCTGCATTTAGTCTTTAATTTTAGTTTTCAGTCTTCAAGGTTTTTTTTTAGTGGTCCGTCCATTCCCTTAATTAAGAGTAATTAAATCAGTTGTCCAGACCATTAACTGCCACCTAGGAGCAGAAAAGCAAACCACTTCACAGCACCATTATATTATATAGCACGGGAAAAAAACAGACCCTTTTTCATACTAATCTTCACGTCCCAAACTAAGAGTGTTGAACTAAAACACAGTATAACAAATAAGTTCTTGCTTCGAGACGGAGGAGACTACTAACATTGACTCATTGAAAGAGTACAAGTACAACAACTCAAAACATGCAAAAGCAAAAAAAGTCAATGATTTTGAATCAGTATGAAACAGCTGCGTTGTTTTATACTCATTTTTGATCTTCCTGAACGGCATTACATGATCCAGCTGGTGTATTAACTACTGTCTCTGGTACTACTTCATCTCCTTGAGCAACCAGAATTGAAGGGTGGATGGTGTGGTTCATTGAATAGTTTTGATGTAATTAATAGTTTTGGATGTCAATTTATTTCTTCCCTTTCAAGGAGTTGACATTTATATGCCAAAAAAAAAAAAAAAAAAAATTTCCCTTTCCATTCTATTAGAGTTATGACACGATATAGGCTGCTTTAATGTGGCAGAAGACCTTTAACCTATGATATAGAAGGATTTAGGTTCAAAGCCATGGATTAAGGCAATCTGTGAATAAACTAATTAGCTCAGGGACCGGCCTTCAGTCTATGAGGCTCGAGTTGTTTGCCTAACATTCTCATCCTTTTTAGCCTAATTTCTCAATTGTTTAGGTAGAAAATGTATATCTTGTAAAAGGCCATCTTCACATTCTAAAAGTACTAAACTAAGCTTCAAACATGACATCCATCTGTTCTAAGTACAGAATTAATAGAAGTCCTAAAACTAGTTAGTACTATCATTCATTCACCCATGTGTATACAAAACGTTAGGCCAATTCAGTAGTATGTTTGATTATTAACTGGGACCCTTCAATTAATTAGTTAGTGCTGATCAAATGATGTAATTATATTGATATCTAAATGGAGTAAACAGTGAAAAGAAAAAGTAAAATCACATTGAGATTTCAAGGGAGCCTAACCCCCTTAGTCACCCACTTATAAGGCCGGGGAACAGTTTAAAGATTCCATATCACCTTCAACAGTGAACCCTTCTTTTCTTCCTATGATGCTCTGTATCTGTTCTTGCTGCATTTCTACATTCTTCATCTTGAAAACGGCAAATACAAGAAGAGCTTGCTATATGTGCACATAAAAAAAAGAATGGAAAAGAGGAGTGTGAATAATGATGCTTAAGTCTCACCTTCCAAAACTTTTACTTCAATCCAACTCTACTGAAAAAGTCTTGAAATTTCATTCTCCAATTTCCCCTCTCCACTCTTCTTCCTCCCTGTAATCTCCAAATCTACCAAACCCATCAAGGCCATTTGCTGAAAAGAGGATTAAAAAAAAAGATCTCCACCAAACTCTTCCATTTGTCCCTCTCTCAAGAACCCATAAAAATTCAATCTTTAATTCAATTTCACACGTCGAAAAATGACAGAAGTGCTTCAATCCCCACCACATTTGCCTTCAGCCTCAAGCTCCATTACATATGTATCATCACCTAGAATCAATGATGGTGTACACCAACATACGCATCTCAACAATGACGTTACCCTTATTAACCCTCCTACCGTTTCTCCTTCTCCTGTAGCAGTGTACAGGGGAGATACACAAATTATACAAGAAGAAGAAGAGGAAGAGGAAGAGGATTACGAGGAAGTTGGTATCAGTGGTGGCGGTGGTGGTAGTAGCTTTGTTGGGCTCGGAGGAGGGAGGAAGAAAAGGGAGAGAGAAGAGGGAGATCAGTTATCCCTATTGACCGTTCTGGTGACTGTGTTTAGGAAATCTTTGGTGTCTTGTAGGAGTGTGGAGGGTGGAGTTGAAGAGCAAATCTCATCTGCAATGGAGATTAGTTGGCCTTCAAATGTCAGACATGTTGCTCATGTCACCTTTGACCGCTTCAATGGTTTTCTTGGTCTTCCTGTTGAGTTTGAGCCTGAGGTTCCCAGGAGGCCTCCCAGTGCCAGGTTATTTACTCAATTCCGTTTGTCATCCGAGAAGTTTGTTTGATTGAGGGTTCTATGTACATGGTTTTGGGAAATTTTTCTTCCCCCTTGTTTAAAGAGTCATTTTTAGTCTTTTTCCATATCTTGCTTTATGATGTTTTCTTAATGGAATTCTGTAATTATGTTGCAAAGAATTGGTAGGGATTTTGTTGACCCATGATAAGACAGGCTCCAAGGTTTGCAGACTAATTTTAGTTTCGGAGAAGTTATGAATCGCATAGGTGAATACTGATTACTGAATACGAGTTAGAAATACAGAAGGGGAACAATTTCAAACTTTTATGTTTGGAATGGGATGCTTCCAAAGCACCAGAATTATCCATGCGTGATAGTTGTTTGTATTGTGCCAATTTCGTCTAAATTGTGTGTGAATGATTTTCACTATAGAGAAGCTTAATCTTCTGAATTGCACATGGCTGCACTTTTAGGATAGTAGGGTGCAGTTGAAGAAGTATCTTGATCAAAAAGCGTTTCATTAGTATTTTGGACAGGTATCATATGATTTATGTCTAGATTCGGCAAGAATTTGAGGTCCTGTAGTCATTCTCACTCTTAGAATTTTTGGATTAATATGGGTCCATCATGATGCTGTTTATTCCTCGCCATCCATGCTGCTGGATCTTTCATCCTGACAGGACTGACTACTAACTATTTTATACACTCAAAAGGTTAAACAAGCACACAGATGTTGGAACGAAACAATGTCTTCAATTCCCATGTCCGAACCTTGAGAAATGCTTCTCATGTACCCTTCATGTCATCACATGCATAGAGGACCCTAACCATTAAAAGTTATGTCCATGATGTTAACGTGGTCGATTTTGCTTCCTAGAACTGATTTGTGGTTATCCTTCCACAGCACACGAGTTTTTGGAGTTTCAACTGAGTCTATGCAGCTTTCTTTCGACTCCAGAGGAAACAGTGTGCCTACAATACTTCTGATGATGCAAAGACGGCTGTATGCCCATGGTGGACTTCAGGTACTTGGACATTTCTGTTTATATCCTACGCCAAACTACTATTTTCTATTAGCTCTAAATTGCAGCTAGTTTGTTTCGGTTCTATTAGTTTTGTATTGAGGTTATCATGTTTGTCAGGCTGAAGGAATATTTAGAATTAATGCTGAGAATGGCCAAGAAGAGGATGTCAGGGAGCAATTGAACCGGGGGATAGTGCCTGCTGATGTTGATATTCATTGCTTAGCCGGTCTTATCAAGGTAAATTGCATGCATCATGGTATTAGAGGCTTATTCAAGAGTGATCCACTCATCAAGCTTCTACATTTTCTTTGTTTACCACTTCCCACTTTAGAACTATATTTAGTAGAGTTTATGGATTAATCAAGACGTCGGTTCTTTGTCGGCTAGCTATAGAAATCTATTACTGTACGAGTTTATTTATTGCAAGTATAAACTGTCATGTGAACTTCTGATGCTTTTGTAGGCTTGGTTTAGGGAACTTCCAACAGGGCTGTTGGATTCTCTGCCACCAGAGCGAGTAATGCAGGCACAAACAGAAGAAGAGTGCTCACAACTTGTGAGGGAACTTCCATCTACAGAGGCAGCTCTGTTGGACTGGGCCATAAATTTGATGGCTGATGTTGCTCAAATGGAACATCTAAACAAAATGAATGCACGCAATGTGGCTATGGTGTTTGCACCAAATATGACTCAGGTAAGCCATAAACTTTGTTGCTTTATGGTATATTTTACCTATTCTGCTTTGTCATGCTTGCACCCAATGAAGTGACACCCTCCAATAATTGAGATATATTCTTAGGAAACTAAGGGATCTTCTTGAATTGTTTTTGGAATCTTCATTTTTACCGTCATTATTTTATCATCATGGTGGCTCAAAAAGATTCAGAGTTCCAATGAACTCACATCTTTCTCTCAAACTTTAAGTAACTTGTAAATTCTGCTTGAGAGTTTTGAAGCTCGTGTATGAGGCTTGAAGGAATGTCTCTGACTTGAAATCTGTTGTTACAAAGGAAGGTCGAAAGATTATGATAATTTTTCTTTATAATAACTGCCGTGTAAATCCTCATAAATCAGAAGAGATTTTTTGTAATCTGTTGTTATATTCGTATAATGCATGGCTGGCTTTTGCTACAGATGGCAGATCCTTTGACAGCATTGATGTACGCTGTTCAAGTAATGAATTTTCTCAAGACTCTAATAGAGAAAACATTGAGGGAGAGAGAGGACTCAATCCTGGACATTATTCATCATGCACCTAAACTGGAGCCATCTGATGACAATGGCCATCACGGTGCACCACAGCCAATTGCTTGGGATGAAAATGAGGTAAATCAAGAAGAACAAGTGTCAGTAGCTGACGAACCAATCGTGAGCAGTACAGATAATCCCGTCCAGGGTCGCCTGACAGTTTCCAATGAAACAACAGATAGAGTCATCAGTTCTACTACTGAGATCACCCCTGTGGATGAAAAGGAAAACATTGTGAAATACCACCTGGGTGAAATTCCATACTACGCGGGCAAATTGAAGGATGCATGTAATGCACATAACAACACAGCTGGGAAATTTCAATCGAAAAGTAGGAGGACAAAATCTGGGCAATCAAGTAATTCCAGCATAAGAAAGGCATCAAAAAAATTCATTGAGCCGCCAATCATCGAGGTAAACGGAAATGGAGAAAAGAGCAAGGAAGTTAGCATCATTAGCCGCATTAATTCACAGACAGAACGGGTGGAGGCCTGGCGGTGAACATCTACCATGGTGCATGTTTAAGGTAGAGATGAAGAGGCAAGGAGTTGCTTGTTGTTTGTTCCCTTTTGAAGGAATCACATCCATACTCTCTAAGGGGGCAAATTGTGTAGATCTAAATTTGTGTGTTTGTGTTCATGGGTGAAATTGTATACATTGTTTCTTTTGAAGAACTCAAGGTCTTCAGTAGCTCAATTTGAAATACTGCTATGATTCATGTATAATGTTTTATATGCTGCTATGAACCTGTGCTTCGTTGGGTTCGGTTTTTTGCTGGTAATGTAACTTATGTTTCGTTCTTATACAGTTCTTAGGATTATCCGAAAGAATCAGATTCAATTTTCACCTTTCTCTCCTCTTCCCTTCTTTTTGACAACTGAGCAAAATGAGGAATGCCATATCGGTAATTTTAGCAATAATTGCATAAATATGCTTCTTTTCCCCTTAACTTCTATATTAATACTCTCCATTACTTCAATATAGATGTGGAATTCCGACCGAAATTATTGTTCAATTTGAATTTTCATTTTTAGTATAAATTAAACTAAAAGTGAAAGTCCATATTTGGAACAGATGGAGTAACTTGTAATTTTAACGAGAGAACATAAGTAGAAGTCCATAAGACCAATGGACATTTTTTTTTTTTGGTTGAGTATATAACTGTAATCTCCAATTATGATTTCTTAAAAACCCTCATATTTCTTGATACCAGAAAACAAAACCAATTCAAAATTCCGTAATTCAAAATTCCGTTTATTTCGAGAAAAAGTAGCGGGAAAAAGCTGGAAACGGCTTTGCGTTTGCGTAGGGCCCTCCCACTGGCCAGCCTCGTGTTGATTCATTATTATTTTTAATTTATTATTTGTCCGGGTAATTTTCTGATTTTCCCACCAGCGGATGGAATGTGGCTGATTTTACATTGGATGCGACGTCGTTCCACGGCGGCTTTCTGATTCCTAATGTAGCTAGGGTTTCATACTGGCAGCCGGAAACCTCAATTAAATGCTTCGGCCTCTACGCCCCATGGTCTACTCCATGACGAAATTTCAATGCTTGGATTATGTAATCTGTAATTCTTTTTCGACGTTGCCACGAATTCAACTCCCATCTCCCAAGTATGCCCTGCTGCTGCAAAATTTCAAATTTTATAGATTTTTTTCTGGTTAATGATGTGAATTTGCGTTTGAAATTTGTTTAAATTCAGGGAAATCCATCTATGGTACATAAAACCCAGCGAAGTGAAGGATGAATCATTACTAAACCAGTACAAAGAAATTTTATCGCCTGCTGAGAAAGATAAGGTCTCTCAAATGAGTAGCGAGGAGTTGAGAAAGAACGCCCTGTTAGCACGTGCTTTGGTCCGTACTACAATTGCTAGATGTACGTCTTGATTTTCGTTTCTTTTCTTCTTCCTTTTTTCTTTTCCCTGCGTTTAATGGTTTACGGCAGGAGCTCAATGTGCTTGCTTAAATGATATTAATCTGTTCTAGATCAGATAAATTCTCAAGTTTGTCCAAAATCATTGAACTTTGTGACGAATGCTCATGGGAAACCAGAGGTTAGTTTGGTTGGATGGACATGTCTCTGGCTTGCTTTTGTTGTTAAATCCATTTCAGTGATCATTGAATTTTTATTTTTTTTTCTTTTGGAATTCTTAGGTGGATTGGCAATATAAAGATATTTTGCGTCCTGCACCCCTGCATTTTAACATGTCACATACTTCTTCTTTAATTGCTTGTGCGGTAGCTGTTGATTCCCCTGTGAGTATTCTCATTGTTGACTGCTTTGAGCTGGTATATCAACTTCATTTGTTTCTGCATTGTCATTTCTGCTCCATCATGTAGTTGATTAAGAGTTTTGAAACATCTTTAACATCACTCGTCACTGTAGATTGGTCTTGATGTGGAAGAGAAGAATCGGGTGTTAAGACATAACATCATGTCCTTTGCTAAACGGTTTTTCACGAAGCATGAACTTCAAGTGTTATCTGCTATTTCCGATCCCCAAGTTCAGCACCAGGAGTTAATAAAATTATGGACTCTCAAGGTTAGACACTAATTTAAATTGTTTAATACAAAGCAAAGCTTCCCCCTTCGATGAACTTATCAAACTGTAGTCTAGTTATTCTCTAGTTATTTCTGAAGGATAAAAGTTTTTTAGGAAGCATATGTTAAAGCATCGGGGCGAGGTTTCTCTGGCGCACCATTCAGATCATTTACCATCCAGATCAAGGATGGCAGAAATGGAAGCCTAATGGGAAATTTTAATTCTGAGGTAAGTCAGAAAGACTTCATTAGATGTAATTCTCTGGAGCCTTGACTGCTTTTGGGGTGATAATTTTCCGTCCATTTAATGCATTTGTCCCAATTACTTGCTATGAGCCTTGTGTTTCGATAATAGCGTCAAATTGATTGCAAGAGGGTGTCGCCAGTACTATCTTGCTGCATATCACACTGACAGGTATTTGAGTTCAATACTTTTCAATCACAGAAATGGATGGTTACAATTTTGACTGTTCGGAATCACATCTAATTATTGTCATCATGTGTAATCGGGAATGACAAGTCTTGGTTTTTCCCTTGAGTTTTTAGGTATATTTGTTTCAGCAGACTTCATCCCTTTATCTTATGGTTTTAGCCAGGGAGTGAGATTCTTATATCTGCTGAAGTTGTGAAAGCGAAGTGCTAGATATGTCGCATATATATGAAACTACCTTTTAAATGGATCTTCATTATCATCTGTATTTGCAGGCTTCTCAATTTGTGGTTGACTCTATTGATGGTCCAACTGACCTTTCAAGCAACTGGGAGTTTGTGCTCTTGGATTTATGCAGTACACATTATGCCGCAATTTGTACTGATGCGGGGCTGGCTGTTGAAGGTGAGAATGGTTTCTGGCTGGTGTTCTAAAGATACAAAGTGAATTGGTTTCCTGAACCTGTGTACTTTCTCTTTTTAGGTAAAGGAAGTGCTTCAAAGAAAGTGATGGTATGGAAGACAATTCCTTTCGCTGAAGATTATCTTGTTTCAGGAACAAATGAAGTTTCAGTTCTCAGTGGCCCGATCTGAATTCTTTATTCAAAAAGAGCAACTTATATTTTTTGGTTGGACTCCAATTAGAGTACGTACAGGATGTTTTTTATACGATTTTTTACTGTAACCTAATTTAGATTAGAACATCTTCACTGCTTTCTTCCTTCCCTATCTATTTGGAAGGTGGCCACGCCAGAAACCCTGATTGTAGTGTGAACAGCCATGTATAACTCAGTTTAAGAATGATCTTTGTATACGTTTCATTTGGATACGTTTCTATAGCAAAGTAATAGGTTTTCTTTGCCTGTGCTTGTTTTGTATACGTTTCATTTGAAGTTTGCATCGACACATTCTTTTGCTTAGAAATTGAAATGAGATGTTCTCAAGAGATTCTGATTGTATAAGGTTCTGATAGTGTCAGTGGGTCTGAATGATGGATTTCTAGCACACACCTTGGTGCTTTTTATGATGCAAAGTTGACCAACAAACTGTGCAGAAATAAAATTTTGCCAGCTAAAACTGAATCTCAGTGTAGTTGATAATTTGGTAAGATTCCACTTATCTTGCTGAACGTAATAAACAACTTTGGATATTGTCATTAGAAAGAATAATGGATGGAGTACTATATATCTTTTTGAATATTTGCTGTTCTGACCTCTTGTTGGGAATTTAATTAGCGCGTGATAATTATTCTGTTCAATACTGAAAATTTTCTTTTTCTTTTCTGTGTTCACGAGACTATGCAGAAATTATAATCATGTCGTACCGGGAGCAGCTGGATTTGGCTTTAAAATCCCACAAAATCAAGCAATCTAATTCCAGATTTAGCAAAATGCTATCATTTCAGTGTTTCAGAATATGTTAGAAAATGTTCACTTGCTTTACCAGTAGTCATTACAAGAACAAGCTCCACCCTTGAAGTGGTGGAAACGAGTTGGATCTCTTACAACAAATTGGCGATCTACGATCTTGCTGACCCTCTTAACAAACAAGTGACAATCACAGCAGATTCTTAAATTTTTTATCACAACAATGTCAACCCCAACTTCAGTGTTTAGCATTGCAAATGCTATAGCTAATCTTTCACTGTGCACTCCAACATCACTTCCAAGTTTCTTCGACATCACCATTTCATTATTCTCTGATCCATCAAGTTCTTTCACTAGATCTTCTAGCCTGTTCAACATGGAGTATACTTCATCCGAATTTGGATGGGTTCTATCCCCAGCCACAAAGAGGTGAATTCTCCCTTTAAATTCGACGTAACTGTAGCCTGGTTCTTTTTTCAGTTTCTGCTCTCTCATCATTTTTCGGATTCTCAATACGCCGGAAAGATTTTCTGCTTCCTCGTACACATTCGATAATAGGATGTAATAGCCTATATTTGTGGGGTCAAGCTTGACAATCTCATCAAAAGCCAGCTCCGCTAGCTCAATCTTTTTGTGAATCTTGCAAGCGCCGAGAAGTGCACCCCAAATGGCAGCATCAGGCTTCATAGGCATTGATTCAATGAGCTTCCGAGCATCTTCCAATCTACCCACCCTGCCTAAAAGATCAACAACACAGGAGTAATGCTCGACCCCTGGTTTTAGCTGGTAATCCCTCTCCATTGCAGTAAAATATTCCAGACCCCTGTCTGTTAACCCAGCATGACTACAAGCTGACAGAACACTCACAAAAACTGGTCCATCAGGCTGAATTCCAGCCTCAACCATCTTACTAAAAAGCTTCACTGCGATATTTCCTTGACCATGCATTCCGTAACCACCAATAATAGCAGTCCAGGATACCAGATTTTTCTCCAGCATTCCATCAAATAAAGCATGAGCTCTGCCTAAATTCCCACATCTAGCATACATATTGACCAGTGCATTCTTCAAAAATGGATTTTGTCCCAATTTCATGTTCTGTATCTTCTGCTCAACCTCCAAACCAATTTTCTGCGCACCAAGATTAGCGCAAGATGATAAAACTCCAACAAATGTGACGGCATCAGGGGTTACGCCTAATGATTCCATCTCCTGATAAAGATTCAAAACCTGGATGGCGAGACCATTTTTAGCGTATCCAGATAGCATCCCATTCCATGTGATCAAATCCTTCTCAGGCATGTCATCGAAAAGTTTTCTCGCTTGTTCCATGGATTCACATTTCACATACATTGTCAACAGGCAATTCCCGACCGCCACATCATTGCCAAAACCACTCTTCAAGTTCAAACAATGGAGAGACATCCCTATCCTCAAATGCAGCGGATCAGCGCACCCAGAAGCCAATCCCAAAATTGTTAACCCCGTAAACAGCACGCCAGTGCGCCTCATTTCGTTAAATAACAAAACACCATCGCTAAACTTTGAATTACCTATGTACCCAGAAATCAACGCATTGTAACAAACCGTCAGCTTTTTACACAGGGGATTCTCGTCGAACACCTGGTACGCATCCTCTAATAGGAAGCACTTACAGTACATAGAAATCAAAGCCGTCAGGACAAAGGGTTCGGAAGAGCATCCGGTTTTGATGACGTGGGAGTGGAGTTGAGCGCCGGTGACCGGAATCGAAAGTGCGGCGCAGGACTTGAGCGTGAATGGGAAAGTGAAGGCATCTGGGCTGGTACCGGAATTCAACATTTGGCGGTAGATACTGAGGCTCAGTTCGAATTGGCCATTTTTGGATAATTCTCTTAGCCGGATGTTCCATGGCGTACCTGAAATCGACTCTGTTACGATGGTTTTGAAGGGTTGATGATTACAGTATAAGACTCTACTTTGATTGACGAAACCAAGTAATTTCCTGCTCATGTCATGTTCAAAGGCAAAGCAATAATAATTCTTTCTAAATCTAATACCACTATTATTGTGATTTTTTTGTAATAATATAATTAAATTATTACATTTGAAAAAGAAAATCATTATTGCTTGAGGAAAGATATATATTTTTTTAACATCCTTATTTCCAATTTATTGGATGTAGTTGCTATTTAATTAACAAATCAGATTATTAAAACACGACGAAAGAATAGTTTATATTGTAATTTATAAATTATATTACTAGTATTTTTTTTTTTTTTGGGTCGAAGACCAGACTGGAGAATATAGTTATGTGAGAATGAGAGTACACTATTTTTGTACACTAAATAGGTTTTGTTGACCCAAAAAAAAAAAAAAACAAAATGAATAGAAATTGATTTACATAAAGTGGATGTTTAGCAGTATTAATTAAGTTAAATAATAATATAGTAATAATTCCTGAAATTGTATGGGTACGGTAAAAAAGAAAAGGATAAAATAGCAGATATTTTAACACGTAATCTCTTTCGATTTCCAAACGGATAGAAGGAGGGAGCAAACTCTCAGAGAGGAAGTGAAGTCCTCCTTCCTCTTTGATTCTTCTTCTTCTTCTTCTTTTTTTTCTTCCAATCATCTTCAATGGAAGCAACTACCAGACCTTTCTCCACGATTTCATCCCGCCACTTCTCTTCCACAATTCCACTTTCCAAGACTGCGCTTTTGGAATCCAAGTTTCCCAGAAGATCCACTTCTTCATCATCATGGACTGGTTCTATACATGCTTTGTCCTTTTCCTCTTCGAGGAATACCTTCACTGTAATTTTATCCCGTTTAAATTCTGCACTTAAAAGGGTTCTTCTAAATACTTATTGTTGATAAAAAATTCTATCTTTTTTTGTGGTTATTCTTCTCGCAGAGAGAAATGTGGAGTGTCATAAATTCCGCAAATGCTGCTACTCAGACAAGAAGAGGAAGACAGATGTTAATTCGAGCTGAGATGTTTGGGCAGCTCACCACCGGGCTCGAATCAGCCTGGAATAAGCTCAAAGGAGCAGGTGTTTCTTACTCTCGTTTCCCTCTTCTATTTTTGGTGATGCCCATTTTTATATTAGTGTTATTTTGTGGTGTTTAATTAGTACCCCTAGAAAGCGCAAGGAACATATATTACATGTCGTTATTGTGTCAGAATCTGTGCTGATGGCCTCTGCTGTGAGTATTGTTTAGTTAGCTGAGACTGAGAGATGTTTCTGAATTTCGCAGAGGTTTTGACCAAGGAAAATATCGCGGAACCAATGAGAGACATTAGGAGGGCTCTTTTAGAAGCTGATGTAAGGACATCTTTTTTTGGTTTAATTTTGTTGGCTTTAGTTCCATGCCTCCAGTGATTCCCTTTTCATTCGATTGGCAGGTTAGTCTTCCTGTTGTTAGAAGGTTTGTTCAAGCCGTTAGCGATCAAGCTGTTGGTACCGGTTTGATTCGTGGAGTAAAGCCGGATCAGCAATTGGTTAAGGTACAGCATGAATAGGATGAACCTAACAATGCAATGCATTAAATTGTGTTTAAGAATATCGTAGCTATGTGAACAGTGCTTATTATGTGTTAGGATATCCTAATTTGGAAGTTTTATCAAAGACTTTAATAGCTGTGGACATCCATTGTTTTGTTCCATATGATTGTATCTTGTTCTTAGCTCAATGATGTTCATTGTATTATTACTTTCTGAATATCCGTCGGATAAACTGAATCTCAAGCAACTTGCTGAAATGATCTTGGGTAATGGAATTGTGGTATTAATTCTTTTTCAGGTCTCTCCTGTTTAACTAGTTACTCATTGATGCAGATTGTACACGACGAGCTTGTGAAGCTAATGGGAGGAGAGGTATCTGAACTAGTTTTTGCAAAGGCTCCACCGACTGTAATTTTGTTAGCTGGGTTGCAAGGTGTTGGAAAAACAACTGTTAGTGCAAAGTTGGCTTTATATCTTAAGAAGCAGGTAATAGTTGTGTGTGCGAGCACAGATTCACATCTACAATAATCTTCTGTCTTCCGCATAATAGTTAGCTTCTCATTAACATGATGAATTTTGATATCTTCAGGGAAAGAGTTGCATGCTTATTGCTGGTGATGTGTACAGACCAGCTGCAATTGACCAGCTTGTCATTTTGGGTGAACAGGTAAATGATTCTCAGCCCATCATTACATGAATCATAAGCATGGGTTCGTTAGAGTGCATAGATTATTTTCCTGCTGCTACATAGATTTATTTTCTCTCCATATATGATGCAAACAACTTTAAGTTTCTGGTCAATCTCATATCATGTTGTAAAATTTGGGTTAGGTTGGGGTGCCCGTTTATGCAGCAGGAACTGAAGTAAAACCTGCAGAGATAGCTCGGCAAGGTTTGGCAGAGGCCAAAAAGAAGAAGGTTGACGTTGTTATAATGGATACAGCTGGAAGGCTTCAGGTTATATTTCTTGCTAACAAGTTTGGAGTTCAAAGTAAATTTTAAGAAATATCTTGCATATTAATTGTCTCATTTCATCAGATAGATAAAGCAATGATGGATGAATTAAAAGAGGTGAAACAAGTTTTGAAACCCACAGAAGTCTTGCTGGTTGTAGATGCAATGACAGGCCAAGAAGCTGCATGTACTTGTTATACTCTTCTAATCTCATTATGGTAGTCGGTAGAGGTTCACGTTGGTTGTTGTGATTCTTTTTATGAGGAAAAAGTGCCATGTGGTACCAGTATTTATGTACAAGATGCAATTCTTCCTTCTTTTTTTTTTTTGGTTGACAAAGCTATGATTTTTATTGTCTTTAATTTTTCTCTCTGTTATGTGATGGCATCAATTTAGCTTTGGTAACAACCTTCAATCTTGAAATTGGAATCACGGGTGCCATATTGACAAAGCTGGATGGAGATTCCAGAGGTGGAGCCGCTTTGAGTGTGAAAGAGGTTTACCCTTGTTCTTTCAAATAGTCAATTGAGCTATTGCTGGTATATAGTGTTGCTTTTCACAGGACTGAATGCTGGAACTAAGGATAGAATATATTTAGCCGAACTTCTTGCAGCATGCAAACAGAACTATGCTACAATATCAATAGATTTCTCTTTTTCGCTGATAAACTGGATGGAAAGATCATCCGCATCGATTATCTCATGACCAGTAAACAAATGGCAGGTATCTGGAAAGCCAATTAAACTAGTAGGACGAGGGGAAAGAATGGAGGATCTTGAACCTTTCTATCCTGACCGTATGGCTGGACGTGTCTTAGGCATGGGTGACGTTCTTTCATTTGTGGAGAAGGCTCAAGAAGTAGTGAGTACCACTCCTGAGACACTTTTTAATTTCCCTTTTCATCCTGTATGTAATACAACTTTAATTGGCTTCTTTTTTCTTTTGGTTAATCGTTGGTTAGATGCGACAAGAGGATGCTGAAGAATTGCAGAAGAAGATCATGAGTGCAAAATTTGATTTTAATGACTTCTTGAAACAAACCCGCGCTGTGGCTCAGATGGGTTCCATGTCTCGTGTGATTGGAATGATTCCTGGCATGGGTAAGGTAAGGATCTTTTGTCATCACTTCTTTTCCTATCTTCAAAGGTAATCATTAAGTTCCTGCATCAGAAAGATTTGCTGTGAAGATTACTTTATAGTTCTTTTTTTAGTAAGTTGCAGTCTACCAAGCTCCAAGCTTGAATTAAGAATTTATGATTCGGTGAGCTGAGATATCTAAATTCTTGATGCTTATCTGGTTTCCTAATTCTACTACTGAGGGAAGATTAATGTTTTCATGAGCAGGTAACACCAGCACAAATCCGAGAAGCAGAGAAAAGGGTGAAGATCATGGAGGCAATGATTGAAGCAATGACCCCAGGTATCTCCAGATAGTGTTGCTAAGAATTGCCTCTTGCAATAAAATCATCTAAACTAACCATCCACTTTGCAGAGGAAAGGGAAAAACCTGAACTATTGGCAGAATCACCCGTCAGGAGGAAAAGAGTTGCCCAAGAATCTGGCAAGACAGAGCAGCAAGTACAGTATTTGCTGTTTCATCTTCTTCAATTATCTACTATCATTTTCAATTTACTGACTCCTATATATCGTTTGGTCCTTTAAGGTGAATGAACTTGTCGCACAACTGTTCCAAATGCGTGTACGTATGAAGAATCTGATGGGAGTCATGGAAGGTGGATCTCTGCCTGCTTTGAGCAATCTTGAGGAGGCAATGAAAGCTGAACAGAAGGTGATTTTGTGTTCACGCACCATTTATGATATTATATATTCTTTTTGTCATTAAGTCATGTGAATCTGTGAGGCTTCCTCTCGAAACAACACTGAAGTCAAGTGATGACGATGCTTCATTCATTCTATTTTTCTTTTGTCTCCTTCTCACATCAGGCACCTCCTGGTACTGCTCGGAGAAAGAAGAGAGCAGAGTCAAGAAAACAGTTCGCAGACTCAGGTTCATCAAGACCTAGCCCACGAGGGTTTGGATCCAAGAACTGAAAGCCAGATTCGAGAGTTCATTACTTAGCCTGCATGTGGTTCTCAGCCATTTTTATTTGGAGCTCCCTTTTAACAATTTGAGGCATAGGTTTAGATATTGACTTCAAAGAAATCTGAGTTCTCTTATTTGCTCGAAATTAGCTATTGTAATAGTACATCTTTTTGGTAAAAATGTGCAATGGAGGTGGATAAGGGAACAAATTGGAGGGTGTCACCACTTCTCTATGTACAAATCTGTGTAAGTCAGATTGGGGGAGACCATGTGTACATTATAATGTTGCAGTTAATTGAAAAAATTAAATAAATAAAAGATATTACTGTTGCCATGATTTTGTAAATTAAACAAAAAAAATGTAAGTGAAGAGAGGTAGTTGAAGGTAATTGGTCATTCCATCTTTCATGGTTTGAATAGCAGTAGCAGTTTTCACGGGCAGTTGAAAATGGGAAAAAGGGGGAAATGGTAGTTGAGATCCTTTTTCCTGGTAGTAATTGTAGGAATGCTGAATTGTTCCACAAAGCCTTCTTTTGCTTCCTAATCTCTGAAAACCAATCAACTGCTATCCTATCATCTATCCCGAATCACTTCTCATTTTTTCCCCTTTCAGATTTGTTGCTGCTAAATAATGGAAAGCACAGAGGCAACATTTCCAGAAGCTGATGTCGAAAAGGAGTTGAACCCCGCCGCGAACCAGAAGGTTGAGGTTGATCCTGTCTCTGCAGAAGTTGCAACTTCATTGCAGATAAAAGTAAGACTTGCTTTTCCCCCAAAAAAAAAAGTTAGACTTGCTTAAGGACAAAATTGCTTGTATATGTAGCAATACATTAATCTGTTTTCAATCAATTGGTTGTCGATTTATGAATCCGACTTTGAAGCTGTTGAGTGTATAAGGTGAGGAATGTAGCAAATGAAAACACAATGCCTGCCATGGAATGGAAGTTCAATTTTATCAGTGATGTTATAATGTTTTCCAGGAACAAATTGATGCAGCCGATAAACAGAAAGCAAAGGAGAAGAAAGATGGCTTGGAAACGCTGAAGTCAGGCATCATTGTTTCAGGAATTGCCATAGCTGTGGCCGGAGCTGTTTTTGCCATTGTCAAAAAGCTAAAAGAGAAATGATCCCCTGAGTTCCCTTCCTCCATCATTGGCTGAAAAATGTTGTCTTACCCAGTCTGTTACTTTTTTCTGTTCTTCACATTTACACATCACTGAAGTTCAATTTTTGTAACATAAGATTTATCATCCGGATAATCATTTTGGGACGGAAAGAATATATATCATATTTATTCAGTTTGACATATTCAAGTCAACCACTTTCCCTCAGTTTTGTGGAGATCTGATTTAATTGTTTCCTAAAGATTAGCTATAATTTTAACTTACTTATTGTCGCATGGTTTGGCAAATGCATAGTCATTTTAATGTTGAAAATTCAGTGTAAAAAACTAAAAAGTACTATAAACCAACAAGAATTATCGATTATGGCCGTTAATAATATGGCGGCGTTATTTCGAGTTTCACCGCTGGTTCGTAGTTATTCCCTCTCCCTCCACCGCCACTCCCGTAATCTAGCTTTCCTTCCGGTGCAACACCACCGCATCATTCCGGCTCGCCTGCAATCCTCGGCTGCCGGTGCCACCAACTCCGGCTACAAGCGCCTCTTACAACCAGTAGCGTCACTCTCCCCGCTCTACACCCTCAAGCCCTACCTCCGCTCCGAATTGCGACCCATCCTCTCCGGTTGGGTGTGCGGCGCAATTTCAGTCTACTCTCTCACCCAAATTGTGCCCAAGGTGGGGACATTGTCGTCCACAATCCCCACGTTAGATGCCTTGACTCTCCGCAACCAGGCCGTGGGCTTGGGAGTTCTCCTTTTGGTTCGAATTGTCGCGAGCTACTTGCAACAGGCGTTTTTATGGGACGCTGCGCTGAATTGCGCATACAAGATTAGGATTTTTGTGTATGATAAGGTTTTACAGAGGGAGTTAAGTCTTTTTGAGGGTGAGAATGGAGCTTCTGCTGGAGATGTTGCTTACAGGTTAACTGCAGAGGCCTCTGATGTAGCGGATACTGTCCACTCGGTCTTAAATGTAAGCTGTTTAATGAAAGTCCTTGATGATTATAGTTTGGTTGGGTGTTTCAATTATGCACAAGATATAACAGTAATCTGTTTTCTCAGACCACTGTGCCCAGCTTTATGCAGTTATTTGCAATGGGTGCTCAGATGATACTGATCAGTCCAATGCTGTCCTTGATAACGGCTTTGGTGAGCAAATAACTCCTGGTTTGAATTTGTGTTACGGCTCATGCAACGTCTCTGAGCTGTGAAATCTTTAGGTGATTCCTTCAATGGCGCTTGTTGTTGGATACCTTGGTGAAAAGCTTCGTGGGATATCCAACAAAGCACATCTCAGCACTGCTGCGTTGTCAGCCTATCTGAACGAGGTATATATACTTCTATCGTGATGATATGTCCGATTATGACTTTTGCATTGCATCTTTGCCTTTTTCTTTAATTATACTTCTTGTAGCTGTAAGCATACTTTTCCTAATGGAATATGCAAAAACTGCTGTATAACGATCACTAGAATTTATTTATCTTTGTAGGTTCTGCCATCATTTCTTTTTGTGAAGGCAAATAATGCAGAACTCTGTGAAAATATTAGGTTTCAGTTGCTTGCTTCTGCTGACCTCTCTGCTACATTAGAAAAGAAAAAGATGAAGGTCTTAATTCCTCATATAGTGCAAGCGATTTATTTTGGCCTACTGTTCACACTTTGTACTGGCTCGGCGGTAGTCTCAAGAGGTTCCTTTGACTTCTCGGCAATGGTTTCTTTCATAACATCATTGTACCTGTTGATAGAGCCAATCCAGGTATTGTGCTATCTTGTAGCTTCAGTTCTCAAATAAAATTAAGCATTCTATTTTCAAGTTTGGTTAATTGCATCATTTATTGTACAGTAATATATGTGTGCTTTATGGGGATTCCTCATCTGAGTTCTGGTTCTGTTGATATGGATATTTTCTTTTTGCTAGTAAATACTCTCTCTTTAGTGTATCATTTGTTGTACGGTTGTATGTATGCTTTAATGGGGATTCCTTATGCGATTTCTGTTCTGTGGACACAGATTCTTTCTTTCTAGTATTTGTAAATACTTACCATAGACATTCAAATGTATAAAAGATTATTATTACTATTTTTATTTTTATGCAGGGTATAGGAAAGGCATACAATGAGCTAAAACAAGGAGAGCCAGCTATAGAACGCTTATTTACTTTGACGAGGTTCACATCTCAGGTTTTTGATCAACAACCTAAATTCTGTCTGTGTCTATGTCTGTGTGTGTGCTATGTGCGAGAGAAAGTGATAGAGGGAACACGTGTGCGTGTGTTTGGGGGGGGGGGAATGAGATTGTGAGTGTGGAAGTGCTGTTCAGCCTGCCCCTTTGTGTTATTGAGACTCTTTCCTGTTGTGTTTTCTTTCTTTTCTTTCCTCAAGGTGATTGAGCTGCCAGATTCTGTTGTTTTGGACCACATCAATGGAGAAGTGAAGTTTTCTGGTGTCTCCTTTAAATACGTTGAAAGCACACACTCTGTGTTGAATAAGGTGGATTTTCACATTAAAGCTGGAGAAACTATTGCTCTTGTTGGACCATCAGGTGGAGGAAAGACAACAATTGCAAAACTTCTTCTTCGACTATACGATCCTCTTTGTGGTTTGTACTCAATAAACAACATGCTTTAGGTTTCTGTTGGATTTTTTATTTGGAGCTGCGATCAAATCCTTCCGTTCTTTTGAGGACTTCACGTAATTCCAATTTGTCAGGTTGCATATTTATAGATGGCCATGATATTCGAAAAATACAGTTGGAGAATTTGAGGAGACACATTGGCCTCGTCTCTCAAGACACAGTGAGTATAGAAACTAAGTCAACTTAAATTTGACCTGTTTATTTTTCTTGACTTTGTGTTGGACACTCGACATCTATCATGTGGCCCTCCCTTCTGTAGAAGTTAGGCACAATGTAGAGGGAGGTTTAATCATGTTGATGAGTCTATTATGTGGTGATTCAAGTAACCATTTGTCACTACACCTTTTATCTTTAATTTATTGTCGATAAGGATGATCATTCTGTTATTGGAATGAGTTGATGCAAAGAGAACTGTTACCACAGCATAGGATTTCCAGGCTAATAATGAGACACATGTTTTCTTTCCTTTCATAGGATTTAATATTGTAGTTTTCATCAGTAAGCATGAAAGATGATGAAATAGTGAAATTGCTTTCACATTATTGGAATAAAAACAAATGGTGCCACACAGGTAGACATTTTCGTGCTAAGTTGAAATGTCAACTCCAAAGTTCCAACTTGGGTTGAATATCTATGCATGCATTTCCTGGGAAGGACCAATAGGAATGTTATTGTTGATCTTGTATTTTGAGTTAGATGCATGTCATGTTAGTGGGTATTCTTCCATATTTGCTGCAGATGCTCTTCTCAGGGACAGTTGCTGAAAATATAGGGTACAGGGATTTAATGGCTGATATTGACATGGAGAAGGTTGAATTTGCTGCTAAAACTGCAAATGCAGATGAATTCATTGAAACACTGCCAGATCGCTATCAAACCAACATTGGACCCAGAGGTTCAATATTAAGTGGAGGCCAAAAGCAAAGGTAACATGTTATCAAGGCATCATCCTTGGTTCCTTGAGAGTATAACTGAATTGTGATTGTGTATTTCATCAATGCTTAGCTTCCTGGTTCCTAAATTGATGTGCTGGATTCTTGCTTAATTGCTGAAACAATTCTAAAATATGATTTGGTCATGTTTAACCCGAGTGCTTCAGTATTTGATTATTGACATGTTACACCTCTTTTATTGCCAGGCTAGCTATAGCAAGAGCAATTTATCAGAACCCATCCATTTTGATTCTGGATGAAGCCACTTCTGCTTTAGACAGTAGGTCCGAGCTACTTGTTAGACAAGCTTTGGAACGTCTGACAGAAAACCGCACTGTAAGTACTTATTAAATATACCGTCTTAGGATCCTCATCTCGCAATTTGTGTTACTATAAGTTGGTGATCCATCCGCAGGTGCTGGTAATTGCCCATCGTCTGGAAACGGTTCTCATGGCGAAGAGAATCTTACATTTGAATGATGGTAAACTGGAAGAGCTAAGTCGGTCATCTGTCCTAGCTGCTCAACGCTCATCATCACTAGCATCAATGTCTATCGTAATTTGACAAAATGATGCAGGAGGGAAATAGAAGTTAGGACCTTTCCCCTATTGACAATATCAGTTGTCACTTGTCATAGCAAAAAGAAAACCTGCCCTTGTAAATAAGAAGAGCAAGATCACTTTATTGTGAATCTAATCTTGCATCTTGCCTTGTGTTGTGCTGGGAAGATGTTTGCTGAAGGATCATTGGTTACTCTGCGATTTTGGCAGCAAACTGAACTAACTATTCTAGCGATATTACGAAGAAGACTAAAATATCCAAATAGTCCCTTATATTTAGACTTACTTGAATTTACGTCTCTAACATTAACATTTCAATATCGTAGTTCCAAATATTATGTTTTCACACTTTTTTGGTCCCATTTCACTGTTTCCGGCCATTAACATACCGGAATCAGGGGTATTTTTGTCTTTTAATTTAATTTAATTTTTTATTAAAATTTAAATTGTTAAGAATATTTTAAAAACTATATTTCATTATTTAATTGTTAAAATATTATTTATTAATTTAAAATATTATTATAAAATTTTTAAAATTTACATTATTTTCAAAATTACTTTTTTTCAATTACCATTTATCTTAGTACTTAGCAAATTCAAAATTACTTTTTTTCAATTACCATTTATCTTAGTACTTAGCAAATAGTAATTATGTTGCACTTTTAACTTTGTGTCACTATAACTTAAAAACGTTACCGAGTTACAGTAAATAATTCAAAATCCAATTTTTTTTTTAAAAAAAACAAAACCAATATTACCGAGTTCGCTACTAATACAATGAGTATTTACTCTTTTCGTTAAAGAAATATTGAGTGCAATCATTGTATGCTCTTTCTAAATTATTAGAAAACGGCAAATTTATTAGTTACTATTACCTCCGTCCTTAAAAAAATAATCCACATTGAATTTTCATTTTTGTACTGTTTTTAGTATAAATTTCAAAACTCAATGTGGACTATTTTTTGGGACGAATGGAGTAATACATATAGGTAGTTATTTCTTTCCCTTAAAAAATTAATTAAAATAGAAATATAAATCCACTTACTTTAGTCTTGTAGTGATATGTTTTGATTAATAATTTAATATGATCACTATTTCAAAAAGAATTATAATTAATCTTAATTTGTACTATCTTATAATAACGACCGGAAGAAGTGTACGTCTCTAATAATTAACCAAGACCAAGTAGATGTAGCAATGTAGGTCTATTATCTGTGTTGACGGGACCTTGACCAGAAACGAGCGGGAAGATTTACCGCCAATTCTGCGAAAAATAGATTAGTATATAATGGAAAACAAAAAATGAATCGGAGGGCAAAATAGCAAGGGTTTCAGTTTGCCTTTTCTCTGTGGCCGACTAAACTAAAGAAAGGATACTGGTTCAAGAAGGTATCATTTCTCACGAATTCCGGTTTTTTTTTTTTGTAAATTATTTTGCTGGATAAGCTTCGATTTATTGTATTGCAATGGGAATCTTATTTGGGCCCTCGTTTTTGTTCCTCCGGTTATGCAGTGAGCAATGGATACGACGAACCCTGCAGTTTTCACGAACGCCGAACTGCTGAGGATGCACGTCGGTAGGCGGGTTAGGGCTGTGATACAAGTTGTGCGCAACGACGGCGGTAACGTTATCGGAAAATCGACTGATGACCAACAAATCGTCGTGAAGATGAATCCAACCGGTCCCCTTTCCTCATTTATCGAGGTCATCGGTATTGCTGAAAGTAATCAGTCCATCCATGCCCAATCCTGGACTAATTTTGGTGATGTTTTTGGTATGATTTTGTTTTCCCCATTTTCTTTTAACTTGTGGTTCACTTTTAGATTGGCGTTGATTGTTTCTTTCAATGGGAGTTAGGGTTTCAGTTTTTAGGGTTGATAATGTTATGATTGGCGTTGGTTGATTCTTCTAGTTAAGTTTATGCAAAATTTTCATGCATCTGTTGGTTGTTTTTGGTTCCTGTGACATTCTGAGACTTGGTGATAGAGTTTTTGTATTTTCACTCTGAAATTTCAGCATCAGCAACTTTTATCTAGATGTATTCATTTGTATGTTTTATTATTGAACTTGGTTATGCTGATTGTATCTGGCTTATATTTTTGAAATGATCCTTTGCAAGTTTTGATTGTTTATACCAAAAATTGATCATGATTTGATTATCACTCTATGTTAGAGGGTTCATGGTGAGTCTGACCAATCAAGGAAAGAAGTTAGTTCATAGTTTTCTCTCCCCCTTTTCCCCCTCTTACCCCAGAGTAATTGAAATATGATTAACAAATTTAGGATTCTTTTATCATCTATCTATTGTTTATGGTTTGTCGTCTTTACCTGTTTGTCTGCATAGTGGCCATCTGGAGTTAGGATTGATTCAGAAGTTGGGTGGTATATGGAGTTTCTGCTAACAGTATGAGGGAAATTTGGATCTATGCCCATTTCGCAAGAATGTTTATAGTTTAGTTGAGGATACGAGTTAGTTTACTTGTTAGTGGACTGTTTTCTTGGTTTACTGGTCAGTTGTCTGCGTTTAGTGCTTTGTGCTTCACTTGGGCTGGAGATATTGGCAAATCTTAGCTAAACTACTGTTACATCTTTCATCAGTTTTGCTCTTGATCATCATCTTTCTATTTGATTTGAGTGTACTAGTATCTTAAATGTCCAAACCACATCTAGCAATTTCTTGCATGCCATCTGGATTTCTTGTAGATATATTGATCTTATACTATTAATGTAGAGGACTTGCATGCATTTTCTTAGCCTGTGTCCTTGCATTAGGCATAAGCTTATGTACATTTGTAGTCCGGTGGGAGTCTGGGTAAAAGTTTAGTTTGGAAATTTTCATATATTTTCGGGTTCAGGTCTGATTCTACATGCTGAACATAAGGGATTTTTAATTAGATCCGGAAATGCTTATATCCATCCCCTCGAAATGACTGAATAGGTTCTTTTTTTTTAATTATTAAAAAAAAAAACCTGTGAATAGATGTTAAACTTAATAATCATGATGCAACATTTAAATTGTTATTAAGAACAATGGCGGATAATGATGGGTTTGTACCTCAATTGTCACTCAAAACCCACAAGCTTCTATTGGCCAATTGGCAACATCTGTTCTTGACATGGTAATGTCTTGTAGGCTGGATACAGGGTCTTGTTTAATCTTCTCAAAAGGTTTGCCTTCTGTTAATTGTGATCTGATTGTCCTGGTTGCAGATACACAAGCCTACAACCAGATTTGTCTTTATGCCAATGGGGAGTACAAACACTTGTTCATCTGAGACTGTTAGTGAGCTGAGGTTCTCGTTGATCTTTGTTTGACTTAAACAAATGTATTCAAATTTCAGCTTGCATCTCCTTTTGGATAGTTTTTGGGGCCAGGATATTCCTGTTAAATATGCTGCAGTTAGGCTGATAGTCAGTCACAAACCTTTTGGTTACTAGTTAGTCTGGAGTTCATTTCAGCACCTTGATGATTGGGTTTTTCTGTAACTGAATGTTACATAATCTGGTAACGCAAATAGTTGATTGCAATGATTATCTGGTGTTCGTTTCATTTGTATTATCAGCAGTCACGATTCCTGAAGCACATATACATATGACTTCTGAGTTCCAGGTGTTGCATATGTATATAAATGAGTACTGCTTATCTTAGTCTGCGACTTGAGAAACTTTCTGATTTATATTGTCAGTGTAACTTGGTGGTGCATACTTTATGCAGCAATGACGAATAGATGCATTCACCATAGTGTTAGTCTCCAGAACCTTTTACACGCGGCAGATACCTTTGAGATTTGTGCTGAAATTTGCTTTGAAGTTTGAACAAGGGAATAAAATCAGTGTTGTTTTATGCATCTTCTTTATGAGAAAAAGGTGGGAAAAAGAAAGAGTTTTAAGGGAGAGATGATGAAAGTAAGTATTTGGCGCGCGCCTAGTATCATATCAGTTCCTGTTCTTTTCCACTTTTGAAGTGATCAACTTTTAGTTAGGAGTAAACTGGCAGAATAACCAAAATTTATTTGTATATTAAAAGATAGTTTTTTTACATAGTAACAGTGACTACTTTGGCAACTAAATTATAAGCACATCCATGAAAAAACATATATTAAATCACATTTTGTTGGATATTACTCATTTTTCTCTTTCTTCTTCTTCTTCTTTTTTTTTTTTTTTGAAATAAAGATTATATATCAAAATCATTATACGAGAAACATTTGAATAATTAAATTGTGAATTTCTATTTTACTACGATCAACGTTAGATATAATGCATTGTTAAAACCATTCTTGCTTTTTCTTTTGAAATATACTAAAACTTTTTTATGACAAAGTTTTCACTAATTAACAGATGTGCCTCCTCTATTGGAAAATCTAATTCTCGTAATCATTTCCCATATGGAAATGTGTATCAGTGTATGACATGATTCTTAAAACCCAAACATTTTACAATAAAACACAAAATTATTATTGCTGATTACATATATATCTTTATAATTAAATAACATATTAGTCATTATTATTAACAGAAAAACACCGTATTGTTTGCAAAATAAATTACGCATAAAATAAAATATAACGTCTATTCTTTTCTCAGTTTTTGTACGAAATTTCTACTTAGCACGCTTTATTCCATGGATAGAAATTATTGATTGAAATAATTGTACTCTTTCCAAAACGGAATTGATTTTTTATTATTACTCTTTTTCAAGACTTGAATTGTTGACATCGTAATTAATAATAATATTCATCTTTATCATCTCATCAAATCCTCTAATTTAATATTTATTTTTATAATCATATTTTTACAACTGCTTTATCAGCACAACAATAATTTACATTAAAATTTTAAAATTATATTAAATAATAATATAATTTATAATATAACTACTTTTATGGTTGGAAAAAGCTTAATTTTATATCTTATGTCCAACATTTTTAATTTTAAATATGTAAATAATTATCATCGACGCGAGATATAAGAGAGGGAGTAAAAGACTCGTATCCTCAATGAAAACGAGGGAAAACGAAAATTATTGTTACGATATACTCCTTTCAGTCTTTAATATAAGTCATTTTGATTAATTTTATATTATACTTAATACGTATTTTTAATTGATAAAAAAAATCTTAAAAATATTTCATAACAATCAAAAGAATACAACGAACGTGAAGATATATTTTAAATATTTTTTCATTAATTAAAAATGCGTATTAAGTTTTACATAAGACAGATAAAAATGCCTTAGGACAGGAGGTAGTATATATAATAGAGGGAGTAAAAGACCCGGAAGAGACAGACGGTAGCTGGACTTCAATCATAACAAAATATCCCCAAAAGTTTATAAAACCCTAAAATCGTCGACCCAACTCCGAAGAACCCACAGCCAGGTTTTCCCGATTTTGGCAAATCCTTCCTCCAAGCCCCACCCTTCTTTCCTCCAGTTTTGGTTTCCTTTCCAATAAGGTCTGAGGTAATTTCTGCTTCTTTGTTCATGCGCGCATATCCCATTTTTTCTTTTGTATCTTATTCATGGGAATTCCTTCTCTTCTTCTATAGCACCGATTATTCGCTCCTTGGTTGATTAGCTAATTAATGTGATTGTAAACAGTAAAATTTAGCACCTTTTTCCTGTGAAAATCATGGGGAAGAATTGGATTCTTGTATACCCATGTCAGAATATGCTTACTTGAGTTTGATAATTAGTTTTTGCTAAGTGCGTCCTAGTTGTTTTTTATGAGTGTATCACGGTATGTGCGTCAACTTACTGCAGGGAAAACTTACTCTTGCCTTCTGGTCCTGGGATGTTTTACTTTAATGGGTTTGGCCATTGTCTTGATGACCTATCCAGTTTTAACTTTTTAAACCTAAATCCTCTAACTTTGTTTCCTGCATAATGTACATTCTCTTCCCACGCTATTTCGTTTACTTTGCCATTCCTCTTGTTGGTAATTATTTTGGGCCGCTGAATGGTTTATATAAAAACTCAGCATCATCCCTGGAGGTTCAAAAGGTCATTCATTGTTCGGCATCCTATCATTTATCTTTGGAATCTATTTTTGCTTGGCTTATTCGATCATCCCTTTATTGGATATTGTTCAAAGCAAACTCCTTGTATCTATCCCATATGGCAGAAATTCAATTGAGAGTCCTTCTTTCGGACTCCTTTTGGCCTTTCATTTTGTTTCCAGCTTCCCATTTTTTTCTTCTGGCTTTTGCAATTTTTTCCAGCTTCTTTGTGTCCATCAGAGTTCCAGCAAAAGCTTGTCATTTAAGATCTGTAAGATGCCGAGGACCAAGTCAAATGCTGATGCAGATACCCGAGCAGGAGAACCTGAGGTTGTTGGGTCTAATGATAACGTGAATGGGAATATAGAAAATGACAATGAGGAGTCAGTTGAGGAGGAAGTTGAATATGAGGAAGTAGAAGTGGAAGTGGAGGAGGATGAAGAAGAGGATGATGAAGAAGAGGAAGTGGAGGTAGAAGAGGAGGTGTCTGAAGATGAGGATGAAGAACATGTTGGCAATGGTGATGAGCATATGGCTGATGCTGACATGAATGACGTGAAGAAAAAGCATGCTGAACTTCTTGCACTTCCACCTCATGGTTCAGAGGTTTACTTGGGTGGCTTTGGTCAAGATATTTCTGAAGATGAGCTCAGAAGCTTTTGTGAATCTGCAGGGGAAGTCACACAGGTGAACTATTTCTTTCTTCTATTTATTACAAATTCCAGAAATAGACCAATTTTATATCACCCTTCTATTCCGGCTTGTGGATCTTATTGTACTGGTTTTGTGCTAATTAGATCCGGATAATGAAAGGAAGGACCTCAACTGAGAACAAAGGATATGCATTTATCACTTTCAGGACAAAAGAGATGGCATCTAAGGCCATGGAGACACTTAATAATAGTGAACTAAAGGTAAGCAAAGTTGCATTTTATACTTCCGTCTGCTCTATGAAGAACATCGCTTAAAGTTTTTAATAGGATTTTTTGTATATTAACTGCTTCTTTCTTGTGTTTCTATTTGAAAGATTATATCCACTTAAGCTTCATTTCTAAATATTGGTATCAGGGAAGAAAGCTGAGGTGCTCTTCATCGCAAGAGAAGAATAAACTGTTTATTGGTAATGTTCCAAAAAACTGGGAGGAGGAAGACATGAGAAAGGCCATCACCAAGTTAGGGCCTGGTCTCACTGCTATAGAGCTCTTAAAGGTTTGATTAGAAGTTTGCCTTGACTTCTCTGTTAAAGAAATATCTCCTTTGTTCTTTGATTGGTATTAGATTGCAAATTAGTTTCTGCTTGTTAATCATTTGACTCTCCCATTCCTTTTAACCCTCCAGACTTCCATTCTCTTGAATTCTCCTATTTGCGGCATTCAGCATATTTTGATCAACTCGTCTATGCTGTTGCAGGATCCTCACAACTCTAGTAGAAACCGTGGATTTGCATTTATCGAGTATTACAATCATGCATGTGCTGAATATTCAAGAGAAAAGATGTCAGACTCCAATTTCAAACTTGATGGCCTTACCCCAACAGTGAGTTGGGCCGACCCAAAAAATGTGGAATCTTCAAATGCCTCTCAGGTACTATAATGCAAAGCTTGATTGACATTTGAATTTTTAATCTGGGACAGGCAGTATACTTACTACATTGACATTTTATTCTTGTACCCCTAAAGTCAATAAAATTTTTATACTGGCAATGATTATCTCCCAATGCTCAATTTCCTCGTATCTTCCTCATCCAACAGGTTAAGGCTGTATATGTGAAGAATTTACCAAAGAACATTACTCAGGATCAGCTAAGGAGCCTTTTTGAGCATCACGGGAAAATTACAAAGGTGGTTGTGCCCCCAGCAAAACCAGGCCATGAGAACAGTAGATATGGATTTGTTCATTTTGCTGACAAGTCTAGTGCACTTAAGGTTCTGAAGAACACTGAGAAATACGAGATAGACGGTACTTCCTGTTTCAAAGTCAATCCTTTTAATATTTTACTTTCTGGAATTGATTTGTCCAGCTGATTGGGCTCTTCCATATGATGGTACTTTGCAGGACAAGTTTTGGAGTGCTCCCTTGCGAAGCCACAGGCTGACCAGAAGTCTTCTGGGCAACCAAGCACGCAGAAGGCAGCACTACTTCCAAGCTATCCACCTCCTATGGGATATGGCATGGTCGGTGCCGGCTATGGTACTTTTGGTTCAGGATTTGCACAAGTAAGTTCAGAACTTATTGCCAAAATTATTGTCTTATATTTATATAAATGCATTCACTGCTAGTTTTAGAAATTAGTTACTGTGTGAGAAGTTTACTCTTTAGATTGAGACTCACAGTTTCCTGTACCTGAGAATTCTTTCCGTTTCTTTTGTAGCCGCTGGCGCCTTCTGGCTTAGCAATGTTGCCAATGCTTTTGCCTGATGGAAGGATTGGATATGTACTGTAAGTATCCTTGTTGTCTTTTGTAGTTGAAATGGTGATTCCTGCTTGTGATTTGTTTGATCAAATTAATGGTCAATTCCAGCTATGTCAATACCTGCTCTTTGTCATGTATTCTTCTAGTGAAGTAGATGAGAAATTGTAATTTGAAACTAAAGTTTGTGCATCTCTCTCCAGGCAACAGCCTACAGCACAGTCACACACTGTTCAGCCTCAGCCAATGCAAAGAGGTGGTGGGAGCGGCGGGGGCACAAGAGGTTCAGGTGGAGGAAGACGGGGAAATGATAGAGGTCGTGGACGAAGCAGATACAACCCCTACTAATCTTAATTTGAATGATCAGCGTTATGATTCTCAATTATATGGTGTTAAAGAGTGCTTTGTTTCTGTAGCTTTCAGCAGTTGTGCTGCTGGGGTAACTTAACGCATCCATGCTGTTGTATATTATACGATTCAATTGTAGGGATAGACTAGATTGCATGCCTAACTAATTACTGGCTGTAAACTAAATGCTTTGATGTGTAATTTTCTGGAAAGAAGGGAATGCATTTTTGAATGCCCGAAGTTTTAGCGTTGTTTGTACTATAAATAGTTGGTGTTATTAATGTTAACGAGAAAAGATTTGGGACAACTCAATATGACGTAGAAACTAGAAACTTTATTTTCATTGACCAACCAACAGGTTACAAAGTGGAAGTGGACAACAACGTAGTGGACTGAAATCTCTTACTACATAGACACAACCCCCTCGCGAAGAAAACTAGAAAATCTCACGCAGACTAAACAGGATGTAGTAAAACAACACACTACAACAGAGCTTTTTTAGTTCATGCTGTCTCATCTGAGTGAGGGATGAAGTCGGTGATCAGAGTGGAAGAAATCTCATGATTTCCAGCCTGGGCCGCCATTGTCACAAGGAGAACAAACCTCCTGAGCAATATCAGCGATTTTTAAACCCGTGTCGTAAACCACTCCAGTCGTCCAGTTAGCAGGCAATATGTCCTTAGCCAGGTAAGATTTACCGGCTTTACCGGAAGTCACCACCACAGTGAAGTCCAATGCTCCTCTCGGAACTTTGCTGGTATCCCAGATTGCACCGTTGTTGTGGCTCAAGAAACTCCAATTCCCTGTTCCGGCCTAATTAATTTCAATATTCAATGGTTAATGTTGGTTCTAACATTTTTTAGTACATCAATAACAACGGAAAAAGACGGTGCAATATGTGTTTTAGTACCTTAGCCGCAGCAAGATGCGTGATCTCCGTTTGACCACCTTGGAATAACAATTTAATTGCAAGATAATGAGGGTTCTTGCTTGCTTCTTCAACTCGAAATCCCAAATTCTGCTTGTATTCACATGGTACTCTGCTCCATTCCCCAGTAAAATATATATATATATATATGTCCATTACATTTTTGATTTGAGCAAGTGGTAATTCAAAAGATTCACAGAATATGGCAATAACAAATGCAGGGCAAACTCACCGCTTGTATTCAACTTGGACGATACCAACATTCAAGAGGTCATGATCCCTGCCCGGTTTGGCCATGGCCCTGAAACCTATGCTGGTTAATACGAAATCGGTCTGGTTGTTTGCATTCAAATCAGTGGCGATAATCTTCGTGCCTGCTTCGGAGCAAAACCTCTTGTTCTTGCATCTTATCTGCAACAGCAACACCATTACTCCTATAAGCTAGTTTTTTTAGCTCTATAAAGTAGCAAGTATAATATAAGTCACAACAAATGCTTTAAAACTTAAGAACAGGATTTATGGAATGTGGGCGAAAACCTGAAAGCAGGCGCCACAGTTAGATCCGTTCTTCAAGATGGAGGGAGCAGCCGCCGCCAGATGTTTGCCATAGTAACTCATCACCGAGGTACCGTACCCACAGGCTCCCCCTGCATTCCAAATATTATCTCCAAGAAATTATTACTACATTATTATTATGAGTCTCCACAATCATTTTTGAAGAGGTTTTCTGGTGACCTAAAATTGTTCTTAAAAAAATTCATCAACAAATTGGAAAAAAAAAAAGGATCTATGTAAATGCAAAAGAAGGTTAGTCACATTTCAAGATAAATAAACTGTTTCTGTCCGGAACAAAAAAAAAAAAAAAAAAACGCACACACACACACACATACATAATTGCTTGTGAATTCCAAAACTTACATGGAAGTGCGGAGGCTTTGGCGAAGAAAGCAACTTTGGATTTGTGAACGCAGCGGTCACAAGCTGCTATGGCGGATGACACAAAAAGGAAGAAGAAACAGAGAGCTGTGATGGAAGACAAATGTGGGGAAGAAGAAGACACCATCATTAAATTGATGTTTCACAGTACAACCAAGTGTGTTTCTATTATTTGCACACTTCTCGCTATGTTCAGGACTTCAGAGCTCAGCAAGCATACAAATATATATGGATTTAAGATAGGACTTGGGGGGGTACTGTGGCAAGTTGGCAATATGGTGTAAAAAAGTTTGAGAATTCGATTATATGGATTTTAATTATGTTCTAAAAGTGAATGGAAATGATTAGGTTCGATCAATTCGCGGGTGCTAGATTATAAACAAACGCAGTTAGTACTTTTTCAGTTATTCCCTCCGTCTCAAAATTTCAAACAAAAAGAATCTTACTTTTCTTTTTTGGTCCACACATATAACACATTTAGACTAATTTTTTTTTGAGGGGGGTTTAAACATTTAGACTAATTCTTTAATTCAAAATTTTCATCTTTGTGTACAAATAATTTACACGGAAACCAAATTATGACAATGCATTGTTTACGGGTTAAAAATTTGAAAATTGGATAGATTGGAGAGAGACATTGTGAATCGTGCACAGGCATCCTAGAAACAAGCTGGTCACTTTGGTCAGAACTCTGAATAGAAATGGCTTTTTACAGGCATCCAACCCCACCGTTTCTCTCAGCAGTAATCACATCTTATTTTTTTCAAACAATAAAGGAAAGTTTCGAAATTCTCAAACATTTATATTTATATATGTGGGCTGGTGGCCTATAATTAGTGTTGAACAAAATTTAAACGGATATGGGCCTAAGTCCTCAAATAGGCTTTGCGAATATAATGGGTTCTGGGTTCTCTGACTCCTCGATCTCGATTTCCAAACACACGGAGATTCCTCGACGAGATTAATCAAATAAAGAAAGGGCTTAAGTTCAGTTCACACACATGATGAACCAAAAACATCATCAAAATTTGTAACTGGAGATTTCAAAATCTGAGAATCATTCAATTTCCCCAAGTCAAAAATGAGTAACCATCCAGCAAAATGAGTAACAATCATTCAATTTACCGCCATACCAAATCACGGTGACGAATCACAACCTTTTCGTCATGAGCATTACTTCCAGATAATGAATATTCTTTCTGTCTAATTAAAATAGTTCAAAATGATACCAAATAGCTGGTTTAGCTGTGAATCTGATCTACAGTCTGAGGACAGTACATTAGGAAATGAAGCAACATTGACAACATTCAAAGGGTTGAAAACATGGACCAAGCATGAAACTAGTCACCACGAACCCATTCTCATCTCCGGCAACTTCAGTTTGCACTGCTGAACATCTCACCCAGGGCAATCACTTCAAAACACAAAAGTTCGAAACCATGCCTGAGAAATAACAACACCTTCCGGAAATAGACGAATGATTCAGGGCCAGGGATCCACGCAACCATATGACATGATCATAAATAGTATTACCTTCAAGCTACTTAAGTTTGTATTTCATCATTAAACAAAACTAACAACGCATTTAACAATACTGGGACAGGCACCACTAGGGCCTCTGCACCTTACAATTGAACCAAGAATACAACTCATGTCACTGACCTAACGTATGAAAGAAACAAAAGGAGAAAGAAAAGGAGGTGCACCTCTACACTTGGATTCAACCGTTTCAAACAAAGTTACAGTTTCAGACGAAATCTCCTGATGAAGAAGCCACGAAGAAATCTCCTGATGAAGATAAGACAGCCAGAAAGAGTCCACTTAGTTGATATTTTCTAGCTTCAAAAGCAAATATAAGCCCCAAAAACACTCTTTTGAGATTATGATTTTGTAAATATGTTGAAGTTTTGCATGGCAGCTTGATGAACAAAACAATAGAAAGAGTAAATGATTAGAAATTCCCATCACAAGTGTAATTTTGTGCACAAACACAGCAACACAGACTTGGAACTAAAGATAGACAGACAATCAGTAGGTATTTTGGTACTCATATCCCCATATTGAAATAGATATTTAACCTCTGTAAAATAAGAAGGAAAAGAATAGTTCCCTGACTAACAAATAATCTGGAAATCAAGATTTTAGGTTTAGTTAACAGTGCACATAGGTATAGTTAAACAGGCATTCATAGAACATAGGTCTACATCGAGATTTCAAGAAGCAATTATTACCTACTCCATTGGGTGTTGAGCGTTCTAACCAAAGCATGAAAGGTCTTCAGGCGGGTCAATCCAAATGCTTCCAAAGGGATTGTCTTTCCCCCAATCATAACACTGCTTTTTGGGGTAGTATCTTCTATTATCAAGGGAGTATGATATGCAACGCCTTCCATAATAACGAACTTTAGTAAAGTATACTCTATTTCTCATGGTCCCGAGAAGATCTGTCCTAGCATGTGATGCCAAGAAGCTTGCAAAAATAGATAAACCTCCTAAGGTTTTCATCTGTACCCATCCTTGAATTCCTTGGTCTAATCTATATATCACTGGGTTAACCTCGGAAGAAGTATACACAACAAAGATTTCTCCGTTGTGCTCAGCCATAAATTTGTTCTTCCACCAATTTTTCAGAGAAAAGTTCTGAGGGCATTTGGGAGGAGGCAATACATGAACGACCCACGTACGTTTTGCTGGATCATAAACCCCCAGCCAACCAGTAAGGCTCAGACAATAAAACTTTCCACCACAAAAGACCAGCTTATTCCACATTCGGCAAACAAATGGCAACCGATTTCGGAAATTGATCCTAGTCCATTCAGCTGCCCCAGGCTGGCATGTGCTGATTACAATGATTGTGGCAGTGATGGGCCTGATAGTGAAGACGATACAAGAAGAAGATGTTGGAGCAGCAGAGAAGGCAACTATCTGGTATTGCAATTCCAACTTTGGCAACTCGATCAACTTCCTTGTATACGGGTTAACAAAGATCAGCTGATGAGTTTCAGGCTTGTAAACAAGCAACCAACCATCCTTTGAATAGCAAATTCTCGAGTGACTTAATTCTGGCAACTCAAGTGCATAAAATACACGCTGCAGAGGATCATAGAACTCGACCTCATTTCCTGATTTTGGAATGAACATCAACCAAGGAGGTTTGCTCACAACTCGGACATTGACGGCGACAGAGAACCACTCTTTACAAACAACAGAAGCACGGATGTTGTCTTCCAATGTTAAACGAGAAATAATCAATTCCAATACATCTCTTGGAAGCTCAATCCAACCATGCTGTTCACATGTCTCCTTTTCTTTATAAGTTAACGTTTCTTTTTTGTTTGTTGTTGCAGCTACTAATCTAAAAATGCAACAATCAGTAAAGTTCAGACCACATGTATTCAAAGAGAAATCTGTGGTAAAATGACAAAGAGATAACAGCACAAATTGAGTTTGTCAGTAAAATATATAATGGTTTGAACACGTTCCTGAGTAACCAGGAAAAAGACCCCATTAGCATTAAGTTTTTCTGCTGTTTGAGCAAAGCAGACCTGAGCAAGGGCTTTCTTTCTCTTTCCGACATCAAGAAAGTGAACCAAAATATGCTTACAACTTACAAGTTGTAGAAAAGTCTCCAATTAGTCCCATTCTAATCTCAGACAGGTTTTTCATTAAACTTGAATCTTGTAAAACCCAGCATAACAGGGTTTTGTTTAATTAAGATAAATTAGTCATTGACCCACAGCGAACACATTTTTATTTCTAATTCTATTAAGGGGCAGATACATCAAAATCCAAACTTTTGAAACCAAATTAGATCAAATTAAGCAAAAAAAAAAAAAAAGGAAGGCAGAGTCAAGCAAATGATCAGATGCAGAACAAGATTTTAATTGAAATCCACAAAATTCATAAGCCAATCACTCAATTAGTCTCCTCATAGGCTTAACTCTAAAACCCATCAACGGAAATCCACAAAGACACAATTAAAGGCAAATACATTCGACAAGATTCGAACTTTGCAAGGCTAAATGGTTATTGAACCCTTTACCCATCAAAATTAGATTCCCAATTAGGTCAAACAATCAAACTGAGCCATTTTCATAACAGATTGGATAGATTAAACTCACTTATTCAACTTCCTCCGTTTCCTTCCAGCCATGTCTGAGGATTTGCTAGGAAAATAAATATGATCCAAGCAGTATCAGCCTTTCAATAACGCAGCTCCGCCGGGGGGGGGGACTTATATACCAAAGGAATTTGCTTGAGGGTTTTCTGCAAATGGAAATGCATTTGTCAGAATGACATGGGATTCAGTGACGTGAGAAAGTACACGTGTCGGATTCTACGTAATCCTGACCTTTCACAGTATCTACTGTACAACTCAGTACTTATGAGTTTTGACTGATCCAACAATATAGTAAGTAGTACTGGAAAATGTGTTGAGATTTCAGCCAATCACAAAACATGGACTCTGCCAAAATTTACCACGCAGAAGAAAAATAAACTGCATCAAACACATTCATGAAACCTCCTAATTGTGGAGAATTTGTACGTAATTTCCGCTTAGATTTCGTTAATTGAGTAATTTCATTAAGATGAAGATTTTATTCCTTTTGTAGCATGGTATTTAATATACAGTAAGTATTTAAATTTTAAACGCCATTAGTAAAAAACAGTAAGAATCCTACCTGGCCTGACTCCGAAAAATGCCCGATACAGACAGCAGAATTTATGTGTGTCTTCGTCGAATTTAGAGGTTGATTTGAATGTTTCTTTCTTCATTTTGCAATGTCCTCAAATGGAGAAAAATACTTTACCCTTTTTTCATCAGTCCCTTATTTCAAGGAATGCAACCCAAATTGATACCTCAATCGTCCTCCCTAACTATGGAAAATTCAATCTTTTGAGAAGTTGAATGATGTGTCGTGATAAACTTTCCGTGGCGTCATTTGAACTCCGATTCCATGCTGTCCCTCCAAATTCATTTCCTCCCCTATTTCCTTAGAAAGATACCATCTTTTACACACAAATTTTCTGCACTGATGTTGGCGGCGATTTATGTGGTAAAATCGAAGGCACCCTCTATAAATGGAGAGAAAAGTTTGAGATACGTCCATCCAGCATTCAAAAATTTATACATTGGCTTTAAGAAAGGATAAAAATATATTCATACATTGTCTTGCTAGGTGAAAACGGAAATGGGTAAAGCTGCAAGATGGTTTGGGAAGATGACTATGTGCTTCTTTGGGATGAAAAAGGACAGGAAAAAGGAGAAAGCCCGGATTTTTGCTTCAAACTGTAGGGAAAATGAGGAGATAAGTAGGAATTATCCTGCTAAACCTTCAACGGATTCTGGTGAGATCATTCAGCAAATCCCGGTGACTCAATTGGCTTCATGGCAATCTTCCTACATATTGGCGGCAGCCATCACTGCTACTGCTGACGCCCCCGTGGCAGTTGCGGAGGCTGCTTTGGCTGTTGTAAAAGCGAGACTCCGCATTAGTCAGGCAGAACAAGGAGGAACAATGATGGTTATTGGTGACAGGGAGAAGAAGGCGGCTACAACAATTCAGAAGATTTTCAGGGGTCATTTGGCTAGAAGGGCTCTTAGAGCTCTGAAAGCAATTGTTAGAGTTCAAGCACTTTTCAGAGGTTACCGTATCAGGAAGCGAATTGCTGCCATTTTCATGGAAGCTCTGATGCTAAATCATGCAGTGGTCCTCTCTCAAAGGGCCTACCATTCTTCCATTAACCGCAAAAATAATGCTTTAGCTTCACCGTCCAGGCCAAATATTTCAACGTGTAGGAATTATATGTCCGGGACAGAGTCATCCAGAGCAAAGTTGAGGCGTCCGGCTTTTAATCCAAAACAGAGACCGGAGCAGGGGACAAGATTCCGGCTTTTACATACTGATGAAAAAGCGACTTCAGGTCCAAGGTCTAGCTTTACTAGTGGTGTTGGCGTGCATTGCTTGCGTGATGAAATCATGGCTTCAAGGCCTAGCTTTTATGAGGCTAGAATGCCCAAGCGATCACGAATCCAATTTCAGACAAGATTTGGCTTTTCGTGAAATAAAATCCAGTGCTAGATTGTGTCTATATTTTGCGATAATATTTAGTGCAATTTATACAATGTCTTATTTGATGTAAATAAACAATATTTCATGGATTTGTTTTAATTCTTTTGACAACACTTTGGACGAAAAAGTAAAATTAAGGTTGCGTAACAAGAACAAACCAATGGCAAAGCTGATTATGAATATGATCGCCAAACTCTTACCAGGTTAAAGAAGCAATACTACTACTACATCTGTGAGAATTTCAGTAATAAACAATTAAGATAATCTGAAAGAGAGTCTCCTCTTGAATCTTAACCCTGTAATAGTCTAATAAATCCGGTGATCATACATCGTTTTCAGCACACAATCTTGATCAAAGTTCTATAACCTATACGACATTAATTCCTGGTCCCGGTCATCCCTAAAGATCCACAAGCATGCGTAAAGACAAGAAAACAATATATAAAAAAAAAAAAATACCAAAAGATCTAGATGGGTCCAAAAGTACATACACTTTCAAGAATCCCCAAATACAATAAACAAAGTGGACTAACAGTATCTTAAACGCAGAGAGGTCTTTCCGCCAAGACCTCATCAAAATCTAAATTTTACAAATCAAATACTAATAAACACCATCATCAGTACAAACCTGGAAACAACAATCCAATGGAAGAAGTTAGCTTTGCAGCATCAGATCAAATTATGAGTTAATAAATATTCAAGAACAGAATGGACATTGGACCAATCCATTCTCATTGCACTCGGCACATTTGACTGTCTTCTTTCCACTCCCATCCAATACTTTACAACTGCCATTACAATCCATACACATCACAAATCTGAACCCTGCACAGCCATTGCAGACAGACGCAACCTTTGGGATCCCACTGAACAAAATGCTCAGCTTCCCATCTTCCTCCAACTTTACCATCTCATCTGCCCCGCCAATTAACCTTCCCTTCACGAAAACAAGCGGAACTTTCACTTCTTTTGTGCCCATTAGGCCTCTCAACTCATGCTTGAACCCAGAATGCATAGATATATCACGCTCAAACATTTGAACCTGGTGCGATTCAATCACTGCTCTGGCTGTGTTACAATCTTCAAACGTCTTCCTTATTCCCCTAAGCGTGGTTGTGTAAATAACAACTGCATTCTCACCTCCAGGAGGGCATTTTTGCTCAAATTGTTGAAGAAATGCAGATGAGTCCTGCGATTTTCGGTTCTGTAGCTTGTTAGGAGTCCCTGAAACCATCTTCTTGATGTGCTCTTTCTCTTCGGACATTTCTTTCTCGAATGAAGCCACCAGTTCTGGATCGAACAGAGGGCCTAAACTTCTTCTCCTTGATAAAACCACCCCTGAATCCACCCTCAAATTGTCGCATTTCGCCTCGTAATTCGGGCTCGCTTTCCTCGCACTACTTCGCAACAATGGAGATGCCTTCTTTGTAGTCCCTGGCAAACTACTTGCTCTCAATACGGTTTTCGGGCTATAATCTGATCTTGAAGAATTGACAACATTGCCATTGCCACCATTGTTCTCTTTTCCTCCGTACCTCTTGGGTTTCCTCGGAGAAGCCATCTGGTTGAGAAACTTCAAAGGGCTCCTGGGATCAATTTCCCCAAACCCGTATAAATAAACTCTGGATTTGGGACTCTTCTTCTCCAAAACCACCTTTGGTACTGCTTCTTCTTCAAGACCCTGCATAAGCTCCCAAGCATTGATAACTTCCGGCGGCTCTGTTCTTGGTGGCGACAACTTCTTTGCGTCTGTAGCAATAACAGCAGCAGCAGCAGCAGCAACACAATCTTTGACGCGTTCTTGATTTGTTTGTTGAAACTTATCCGTGGAATTCTTCTTGTCGAGATTAAGAACACCATAGGTACTGGAAGTGAGAGAGACGACATGGTTTGGGTAATTCCTATCGTCTTCTTCCTGAAATTCCCTTTTAAACAGTTTGGAAGAGACACAACCCATTTGATGTAATGGGGAAATGGGTTCAGGAAATTGGGAGTTTCCTTAACCGGATTTTGTTGTTTTTATCTCTCTGGTTATGATTATGATTTGGGGGAGGCAGAAGAAGAGGGGATAAAGGGAGGAAAAAAAACGAGAAAAGTGGAAGTTTCACCAATGTTTTTTTTAAACGTAATAACCGTTACCCACTGTCTGTCTGCAACGGGCCCAACGGTCCGAAAATTCGAAACGGGACTTGTCGACTTCCCCTCCCCTGGTGGTGAATACTGTGTGTGTGTGTGTGTGTGTGTTTATGAGGTCCCCAGTGTCAAATGTTATTACACCAACTCTCTCTTCTTCTTTGTTGGATCAAATCAAACTCGTCTATGAAACTATTTGACCTTGACTATGATGATGCCCAGATAGGTAAGCCGACTAATCAAGATCAATATGGTCCCCTTCCAAACAATTGTTTTTCTTTCGTTTTTATTTTTTTTTAATATATATTTTCGTTAAAATGTTTATTGAATTATGCACATTTGGACTTTACGTTTGGTTGCAAACCATTCGTCAGCTGTGGACTAGTAGTACCAATTTTGCTTGGAACTTTAAACTAAATGGGTAAATGGTAATGTTCATCATCACTTCATTGCTATATTTTGAAAAAAAAAAAAAGGAAAAAAAAGAAATCTTCAGACTAATTCATACTACTTGCTACATCGTACTAAAACGTTAACTTGAGGACACAAAGAATGGGAGGGCAATTAATGTGGAGCAGCTCAGGATTTACAATTCCCTGACACATTTTATCGATGCAATGGTTGAAAGGTTGAATGTCGTTTTAATGTCCAACTTCTATCATTCTGGTATAAACTAAGAAAAATAAATATAAATTTGAGTGCCTATTCTCATAATCATTTATCTTATTTGTGTATTTACTTGCCTATAAATAGAGACCAATCCCTATTGAATAAGATGCACTTGAATACTCTTTCTCTCTCTCATATTTGTTCTTCCTAGTTTATATTGCTCGTATAGGCACTCAATGTCCAACTTCTATTATTCTAGTATTGAGTCAAACACTCATACGACTATCAAATCAAAATTCTTATAAGAACAGAACATGCGTATATGCACATCAAATCAACTCCATAATTTAGTTTCCGCAAACTTTAAGTTACAAGTTAACAAGAATAATACATGTGGCTATCTCATCGACACATCAGTTGATACTCTAATTTGTTGGAAGAAACTCTTGGTTTTTCAAATTTAAAGTACATAAACTTTCTTGTTTCGTCTTGAAGGCGCTTAATAGCCTTCTAGAAAAAAATCGATAATTGACACTTATAAGATTATTTATAGTATTAGGGATTCATGTTGGCCTATTATTTTCTTTTTCTTTTAGAAGCAGGTATTTTGTGAATCATTACTTGTCAAATTAGATTATTTTTTTACTATCGCATGTTCTCTGTCAAGAATAATTATTTTATTCGCCGAAGGAATAATAACTATTCTTTGATGTTTTTTTTTTTTCTATTTAGGTAATAATCAATAAGTGGTGCAATAACTACGGAGCAAACATAATCCCTTTTATGTTAACCAAAAATAATAAATGAAAATATCCCTTTTCTCATAAATGTAGGTTTTCTTTTTTTTTTTTCTATAATAAAAAAAAGATGGGAAAAGTAGTTGATTCAATTGTAGAATAGCTATATGATTCATAAGATGGAAAATAAGTTATTAAACGGACATTTTTTTGGACATCCATTTCATAAAATCCTTCGGTCACAATTTAACAAGCCTACTCTGTCGAACTATGTAGGACTGTGAAAAGAAATAGTTTAGCAAAAATGAAAAAAAAACAAATAAAATGGAACGAAAAGCATAGATAATAAGTTGATTAAATATTAGAAAGAAAAGTAATCTTGTATCATGTTCCCACTAAAAAAATTAATTCCGTCACTCTTTGTTGAATTATAACTCCATTTTCTAGCTTGAATATCTAGGAAAAAAGTATCCAAAACTACACTATTATATAGGTATATTTTAAATGAGTTTTTGACCAAAAAATAATCACAAAAAATAGAAATGACCAAAAATAATTCAGGAATATTGGAATGGCTAAAAGAATGAATATCGGATTTTCGAAATCCGATTTTAACTTTGGATGTGAATAAAAATCGAATTTTCAAAATTTAATATCAACCTAAAATCAAATTTCAGAATCCGATATTCATATTGATAGCCACTCTCCAATTCTTGAACTATTTTTGACCACATGTTATTGGGAATTATTTAACTTAAGCATCTATTTTAAATACTGATTATATTTTTTAGTTATACTCCCTCTGCTCTTCTTAATTAAATGCAGAGATTTTATTTTATTTTTATAGGCCCTTAGATTAGTTTGGTCGCTTCATTGAGTCGAGAACATCCCCAATTTTTCCATTTCTTAGATACATAAAACTTGGAGTACTTTGAACGAAGAATAGTAACGAGATATACGAATATATCTGGGTCCAACATTTGAAAATATCAAAGCCCAATTATCTGAATTAAGTAGGAACCACTTTCCATTAAATGTTTAAGTTCTTGTTCGTCCAACTCTCATTTTGTCTTTTTGTCTCAATTTAACTCTTAAAATATTTCTCAAACACAAAATTTAATATTATCTAAATAACTTTTTAACTTATTTTTAAAAAATATTCTAAAAATTATTTTTACGCAATTTTCGTCCACCATCACCGGACCATCTCCACTACCGTCCGCCATCGCCGGACTGCTCCTTGCCACCGCCGGATTACTGTCGACCGGCCAAATTCTAGCGAGTTGGTCAAAATTCGACCAGCTGGTCGCCGTCCGGCGACGGTCCGACTGTGAAGGTAAATGGTGGAGGTGGCCACTGATAGTAAAAAAAAAATTAATTTAATAAAAAACTTATCTAAACAATTTTTAAATTTTTTTCTCAAAACACATTTTAAATCACATCTTAAAGTTAAAAAAAAAAAACCAAAATGCAAAATGAGTTGTTGGCCATACAAGCCCTAATTTCTCAGTATATAGTTCGGCAAGTAACAAGTCAACATCGGAGAAAACCAAATGAGATGCACACAATAATTCCACAACGTTTTCTTGCCTCCTATTTGCATGAAAATACAATAGATGAATAGTATGGAATTCCAAAATTCTTTACTTTATTTTAGGTATCAAAAGTGTAAAAGTAATATATGAGTCAATGACCCAACAAATGTCAACTTCTTTTATTATGTTTTCCAATATTCATCCCAACTCTAGGTTCCAACATCCACCTATAATTTGAATGGGTGGGACTCACACTTGAAATAAATCATTGATTTAAATAATTAATGGAATGTGGTGGGCTTCTAGAAATCTGTTTGAAAGCGTAAGCATTGACTCAAATTCTTCGTATGGTATTATTATTCATTCTTCAATCTGAAATTCTGAATGCAACAAGGAAAACAACAGAACAAAATCGAGGATGCCTAAAAATAGATCCCATAATATAAGCATCACTCAGTCATTCGATCAGCTGCTGTTTAATATCGTTCACACCCTAATAGTTTGAACAAATAATTCCATTTTTTGAACCTTTTTTTTTTTTTTTTTTGTTGACAACATTTGGAACCATATTAACAAAAGGCTGCAATTCCCAGATCTTTTTAGTAGTCCAAAATGACGTGCTTGAATTGGGTTCGTCTTTCTCTAGAATAAAAATTGACGATTACCCCAAAGTTTCACTAGAAATCGACATCCTTTTCCCATAGTTTAATTGTTATATATATACGTACACAAATTCCTCTGCGTAACAACGTGGTTTGCGTTTATTCCAAGGGGATATCCATAAAGCAGCAGACTTTAAAAGTAGGAAATGCATAAAGTAACAAACACATAAAGGTACTAGTAATCTTTTTAATCTTTTGCGGATGGATGTTTTTGTGGAGAGAGGAGAATGACCATCTAGAATTTGAAATCCGCCTTTTATCTACTCATTCTCCAATTAAAATATCCTCCAAATTGTACCAGCTGCTAATCCCAAAACTAAGGTAATACGGGTTTGCCGAAGTGATTCCAATACATGGAAGATTCAAAATCAAAACACAAAGTTGGGCACGTGCATGTGTGCATTCTCGATCCTCACTATTTCAAATCCAGTACTACCAAACTATACATAGATCAGGTTATAATTACATTCATTATGATTATTGAGTTAATTATAAGTGTTTTATTTATAAACAAAAATATTCAGCATAATAGCCACATACATCCATGATTCCAAAATGCTAAATTCAGGATGGTTAAGACACATATATGTATTCCACACCTGAATCCGATAGCGACATGTGCACCAAAATGAAAATGTTTTTATCACCTAGGTCAGCTAAACAACCGGAAATCGGGATTGAGTGTGTGATACTGCGGCGTCGATGGTATTGTATTCTGTTTAATGTCTTTGTCCATAATACTTACTTCTTCTGTATCAAAATTATTATTCAATTTAGATTTTTATTTTACCTCAATTTGTATTAAAAACAAAAATTCAAATTAGGCATTAATTTCGGGACGAAGGAAGTATCTATCTAATTATTTCTAACAATTATTGATGTCATGATTGAATTTGAGAAGCACTTCTGGTTTGACATGTGTCCATAAAAACCTCGATGCATAAACTTTTTTTTACTTAATTAAGGTCGTAATCCGATATGCATACATTACTTGGTACGCAACAATGAGGAATCGTCCCAATCCACTTGGCGCAAATTCGGTCCTTTCTTTTTTCCTTCCCTTCAAGGCACAATGCAAAAGGCAGAAACTAAACAATAGTACTTGTTCTCTTTGCATTTAAAATTCTATCATAAGGTTCAATTATGCAAACATTTCATCACGATTGAGGTATAATGTCTATACTGTAGCAACAACAACAAAATTTTCATGCGATGTGTTAATCGTCCTACTATTAACTGATTTTTTTTTTTCACTCACAAAATAATTTATTCACTTACATAATCATTATTTTATATGGAGGTTTGGTTCCGTCACTATGTATTGCAAGGAATATTAAACTCTATATATACATACCTTTATATATATATATATATATATATAGGGGGTATATAGTAGAGTAGTAGTTAGATGATTTCTTCCAACCAAAACAAGTCAATCACCAACCAGAGGACGTAGTCGTAGAGGAGTTAGAGAGGTTGGTGTATATTTCTTGCGCGCAAGCCATGTATGATTAATTCTCAGTAACACCGGCACTCATAGCAATAAATAACCGAATTCAGCGAGATTTTCCACTAATTTAGTGGATCTGTCGCTATTGGTTCAATAATTGCATATTATCCTGTGCTTCCTGCATCCATAGACGGACGCAGTCGCTGGAGCTTCGGATATAGTATAACATACTATTACTACATATATATAACGGGTGGATTAATTAAAGTATGCACTTTCTCATTCATAATTAAATGAGTTCACCAACAATCAGTCAATATCTCACTAAATGATGTTAATTGACACTTTGACAGACGAATGATCTGGTAGCTAGCTAGAGAAACATTTCATTTGGACGGTTAGATCAGGGAATCGAGGAGCTAAACTAAACTTGTATAACACGTAAAAATAAATATAAGTAGGTCACAATCTGACTTAATCTTGTAGATTAATTATTAGCTTAAATTATTCAACCGTTCTGAATTTTATTACCAACAAAGAAGATATACCACAGTCTCTACAGCTGTGATGTGTGAACATTAGCCTGTTTTTCACCTTCTTTGTTCATTCATGAGTTAATATATATGGTTTTCAAAAAAAAAAAAAAAAAGAAACCTTCTTTGTTTGTCTGTCCCTTTTATCTTACTATCTTTTGTTTTGTTTTTTGGGAGGCTAAAAGAAAGGGAAGCAACTAGTGTAGATGATAAATCAATTTTTCCCCCAATTTTTTTTTAAAAAACAAAGGAATCAATGTAATAATTAAAAATTAAAATAAACAAATAAGAAAGGACCATGTGTATTAATTAATGACGGTGCATGGTACATGAAGGATATTATCTTTAAGACGCATAATAATTATTTGATGGATTTGACGCTTAATGTGGATTAAAAGTAGTATTCCCTCCGTCTCACAAAAATAGTCCAGTTTATAAAAAAATAGTCCAATTTCATAAAAGTCAAAATTAATTGAATAGAAATAATTTAAATATCCAAAAAAGTAGTGATAAGGAAAAAAAATTGGAATGAGCAAACTGAAGTACAAAAATTTTCAATCCCGCACTCTTTACGTGCACAATGACAAGATTTTTTGTAACACTTTCATTTAGCACAGTGGACATAATTCAATTATTTCTTATAAATTATATAATTTATGTTAATATATATTTTTTAGAATTACTTTTGTACTTATATATTTTAAGACTAAGGGTTCACCTTTTTCGGGTTAGGGCTTATTTATTTAAATTTTCATAGTTAATAAAACCAATAAAAATAATCAAATTTCATAAAAAAAAATAAAATATTGGTATAAAAAAATAAGAATACGAAAATTATTTACATTGAAAATCTGTGATTATGGTATATGTATTATTATAAATTATATAATTTATAAGAAGTACAGTAAATGTCACAAAAAAATGTTACAGATGATCTGTGTGACACAATACTCCAATTCGTAAGCTCGAATCATCATTTATTTAACCATTTGTGACAATTTATCCTATCAGCTGTTGCTTGGAAAATTTCAACGAGGTAATATACGGTGTCGGGTGGTTTGATACATCTTGATGAACCGTTGATAAGTGTAAAATCTTGGATAGAACATGACATTGTCAGAGTTTTATATCAAAGCTACTTAATACTTTCTTAGTATAGGCAAATGTCTGCTTATTCGTACCAAAAAAAAGTTTGGACTAGTTCCGAATATATAATGATTACCACATCATAAATACATTCACATGTCAGCTTTAATCAAAATTTTGAAGACATGTGACTAACATTATTATCACATTATTCTCCCTTCAAAAGAGCGGAGAACACTATATGAAAATACACGAGAAAACAAGAGTCATAACCACAACGCAGTAATGGACTACTTTTTCCTCATGATTTGCCACTCGGCAAGCAATCTATAATAATTGAGCTCAAAACTCCTCTGCAACCAATCTCGAGTCAAATTATTGGAGAATAAATTTTTTTTTTTTAATGTTGGCTACAAAGGAGAAACTTCATTTAATTGTTATACACTTAAGCATTTCACAATTCGCCAATTAATACACTTTCATATCAGCAGAAAAGTAGGAAAATGGAGGATTTTTATAATAAGGTTATCATTCTCATTTTTATTTTATATTACCTCCGTATTAAGTTTTGAGATTTGTAGTATATAAATCTTAAAATTCAATATAATTTTTCTTTGGGATATAAATAGAATAGTATACTAAAATATTCAAAAAAGCTGGACTATAAATATATATATATATATATCCCGTAGTATACAATACGAAAGGTGTCGAAGATTATTCAATGTGGTATCAAATAAAGGGTTACAAATTGTATACTAAGACTAGTTTATAGTTTGACCAAGTTGATTTTGTACTTCTTCGAGAAACTCAAACCCTGTATCACAAAGGGAATTATACCCACTATGCATACTATATGATAAAATCTGATGCTTTTCATTTCAAAATCGTTTTTCACAAAAAGCATCCATTCTATCAAAAGTAACAAAGATCTCAGAAACTTCTAATTTGCAATTGCCCACTTTCGAGGAACAGGTGATTTTTTTTTTTTTTATAAAAATTAAAAAAAAAGAATTGTCTCAGCGGAGGAATTAAAATATGGGAAGCTTCATCCCATTGCAAAAAAACAGTAAATGTGAAAACCCAAATGGCCCACGGCCCACGGCCCACACACGGCTGAACTGACAATCACAAACAGTCAACAAGTTGACAATTGGGGTCTCCTTCCACAGTGAAAAAGTAAATAAAAATGGTAGCAGAAGTAAAAATGTATTCTTTGGGATTTGTAGCAGCAGGCTAGTAAGTATTTAAAAATAGATTGCGTCGGCATTTGATCGCCAGTTTTGTACGTTTCTTTTCTTTCTATTTCTTTCTTCCCCTTCAGTCACATGCATCAACTCCCTTCCTAAATCCAAGAACCACCAATTTCTAATTTTCCTCCCGCCTACAGATTTTAGTGTTAATTCATGCCTCAGGTTGATTTGGAAACACTAGTTTCCGCCTTATCAGGCGGAGCCACCGACCGGAAAATCACTTGTGAAACGCTCGCCGACGAGGATATGCCGGGTGAAGAAGATGACGTCACTGAAGCCGCCGCTCACGACGTTCCTCCTGATTTCCCACCGGAATCATTCTGGCTTTCCAAGGATGCCGAACTGGATTGGTACGATCGGAATGCTTTTCTGGAGCGGAAAGAATCCACCAAAGGAATATCCCACTCCGGCAACTTGAACCCAAACGTGAATCCCCACTCCAACAACAATTCCCAGCGATTCTCCGTCAACTTGAAGACTAAGGCTTCTTTGTTCGGCTTGCCCAAGACTCAGAAGCCTAATTATGTTGATGCTAAACGGCGGTGTAATAAACCGGCCAACGTGAAATTATTTCCCAAGCGATCAGCCTCCGTCGGGAAAACCGCCGTTTCTCTCACTGAACCGTCGTCGCCCAAGGTTTCTTGCATGGGAAGAGTCCGATCGAAGCGCGGTCGCCGGAGAACATCCGAATTGACGTCCTCCAAGTCCAAGAGAGAGAAAATTCCCCAGAAATCAAGATCGCTCGACGATAATAAGAAGCGCAAGAAGAAGGGGTTTTATTCCAAGTTCTTCTCCATGTTCAAATCCGGTCGGGAGGATCGGAAACCGCTTCAATCGGAGATGGATCTTTCGTTCGAAGAGGAGAAGCCGCGGAAGAGCACGGCTTATACGACGAGAAAGATGCCGGACGTTCCAATCAGCGTCGAGCCGGCGGCACCGGAACCACCGGCGTTGGGAGGGATGAAGAAGTTCGCATCCGGCAGGAGGAGCACCGACGAGTTCGAGAGCGCAGAACCGGCGGTATCGGAACCGCCGGCGTTGGGAGGGCTGAAGAAGTTCGCGTCCGGCCGGAAGAGCACCGACGAGTTTGACGCGGCGCTTAATGACTTTGTTGCGTCGGGTTGGTCCCACAGATAGGAGGGAAAGCAGGAAGTTGATCGAATCGTGACAAATTGGGGGCGTTGCCTTGGAAATTGACGTCAGCGTTGACAATTTGGCATTATCCTGACGGTGGGGACATCGGCCTTCCTCCTTCGTTGGTTATCATCGAGGTAAAATATTTGTAAAAAATCAACTTGATTCGTTAGTTAAGCCGGATTTTTTACTTTTCGTTTACCTTTCCATTTTGTGTTCAATCGATTTAAATGGGGTTAGTATAAAGTGTGTTGTAAATAGATATAGTAGGTGATTTTGGAGGCAAAACTCTGTATATGCCGGCACTGATTTTTATGGTACGATGCATCTGATAATGCACTCAATCCTGTGGATTTCTTGTCATTGCTACTGTGTTATTCCCTTCTTTTTTCCCCCTTCGATTCTCTTTACTTTTAATACAAGTATATATTTGGAAATGGCCACAAATCTGCGGAGATCTAGCATGAATTTAAGAAAAATATAACATTGGGGGAAAGTTATTTTTATGAGTTTATTTCATACTGTTCGTGGTTATAGATCAGATTCGATTCCCACGAGAGGTTGTAATGGAATCTTACCCGCATTTAAGTAGGGTCTACTGGTAGATTTCTTTTTTTTTTTTAAAAAAAAAGAGTTTATTAATACTGTGTTTAAATTTACGGTTAGAGGTAGTTAAAATGTAATGACAGGGGGAGTCAGAGTTTCAGGTCATATGTTTGCACATTTAATCGAGTCAAAACAAAATAATAATCACAATTAAGACAAACTGTCTTTGGCATTGATTTTGGTAGTAACATGTAATGCCACGTTGTCACTAACATATGTTTGGGGCACTTAATCAATATTTTAAGTTGATATGATTAATTATTTGTCGATCAAATAGCTTGAATCCGCTGTATCTCTGGTGACAACACATGATGTGCTTCCGTATCCGGCCTGATTTGGTGCTTGATCTTCTTTCGTTATGTTTCTTCAATATAATCATGTACCGTTTTCGTCCTTAAAAAAAAATAATAAAAAGAGAAATATTCTTTCGAGATAAAGGAAGAGCATTATTAGAGGAAAATTAGCGGGTAGGTAGTTCTAATAAGGAGATTAGTTCATCAACTCTGTGTAGAAGTAGTTTTCGACGCTTCCAATCTTCATAGTAGGTTGGAAAAGGAATCAAAATCAATTTAAGATAAGATAAGATTAGTAGAAGAATATAGTACTAGTAGTATTTAATTAGTCTGTTTTCCCAAAGGAAGAAATTTCAGAATTTTTTGGGTAACAGGTAAAAGCATATGGTACGAATGAAGATTTGATTGGTTTGACTTGATTGAAGGGAGTGGGTTTCCTTGATTTTGGTTTTGTTTTGTTCTTTTTCGGTGGTGGCCAACCTCTTCATTTGATTATACAACTCGTGACTCAGTTTATAATCAATTGCTAGTATAGTAGTCCTTTGATGTCTATCTATCCTAATTATCTAATTGTCCATTTCAATTGAGTACGTGATGCTCATTTCGGACATTCAAAATCAAAATTGGCTTTTCATATCAGAATTAACCTCTATATTTATTTAAAGTCTGAAGTGAGTGTGGAGGTGGGTTTTTCTTTTATCATTTATGCAAGGAGGGGAGAGGAGAAAGGGACATGATGAATAGGAAGGAAGGAAGAGGAAGGTGCAAAATTAGGCAGGCGTATTGTCCGTTTGCAAGCCAAAATTTGGCTGTGGCCACCAAGATTGACTTTTGGTGCAATGTATTTTGTATTTGTACCTACTCCCGGAAGAAAATAAGTGGGAGTGGGGGGGAATTTTAGAGTTTGGTATTATTCTCTGCCTCTGATTACGCGGGTTGATTTGAGTGAATACTTACTTATAATTCGTAAGTGGGAAGTGTTTTGTTAATTCCATTTTGAAAGCGACTTCCATCACATTATTGATGGGTATCACAATTTGTGTTGAGGGGGAAAAAAATGAGGTATTAACACGAGAAAGGCGTGATACGGTTAACATTCTTAGTCATTGATTATTAACCGTAAGGTTTCATATCTTCATTTCTTATTAGAAACTCTTGTTTTAAAGTTTTTGAAATGAAACATCATCATCACAATTTTTTACGTTTAACCTTCCTTGTCGATCACACGCATTTCACCGTAGGCCTTACTTCCCAAGTTACAACAACGTCTTTTTGATTTGGCAAACTGAGAGTGATTTGAATTTTGTTGGTCCAAACATTTCCACCCCATGCCATTTTCATCTCAAACTTTTCAAAAATATGTAATATTAAGATATCTATTATCTTTTTTAGTTAAATTCACGGTGATATTTCATCCAATTTCTTTTTCCCCAATCTTTTTAATCAAAATTTTTTTATATTGATGCTATATATTGAAAAAAAAATCAGAAATATGACTTACTTACAACGAGGATACCCTCAAAACCTCTAATGATTGTTGTCAATCCAAACGGTGAATCTTGAATTTTTTTTTTTCTTTTTTTCTAAGTAAAGGAAGAATGGAACATGTGAAGATTTGGATGAGAGGATTGGGTGGGATGGTTAGGGGATTAGGATGGGGATGGTTATTACCAGGATATTAAGGGTTCGATTTTTGCTGGGGCCATTCAATTTTTTTTTATTTTTAAAAGGAATATGTGAAGACCAAATTAGGTTAGATAATTCCTTATAAGTTGAGAGTTAGTGAAAATTTTCAAATGATTAAAAGAATTGGGGGAGAAAAAACGAAGTAAAGTACTACAGTTAAATAATTAACTAAAAAATTTTACCGATAACCTAATATAGCATGTTTTTAAAAAATTCGGGATGTAAATGATATACTCTTAAAATTTTGAATGTTTTGAATGGTGTGGTCCAAACCTTAGAATGAAAAGGCCCATTTTCTCGGTAAATTCTGTCCCACAAAATAATTTATTTAGTCTACCAAATGAATTACATTATTTTTTTAACTTATAAATAGTAAAAATAAAATTTGTTAGATTGGGCCCAAAAATAAATTAACTCAGGTTTATACAACAATAAAACATTTTGTGGGCTGCTATTACATTATACATAAACAAGGATCTGCATGAACTTACAGCAACATTACGGGCTAACAGGCCCATCAACCGGACCCACTAGTCCACCATTTTTTGATGTAAAAGGTTATGTAATTTAAACTGACCCAAAGAGTCTCAATAAGCAAGATTAAAAATGCTAGAATATTCTTCGGGGTAGAGTAGTGGATAGAGTCCATTACGGTGCATCTCTGCATCCACTGATGATAGTCCAGTCCCATCCATACTAAATCAAGTTAGTTGATGATCTCTTCCCTATATAATTCAACTTGACCTTCCATTGAGTGGTGGGTTGGCCTTGCATTGTTCTTGTATCCCCACTTTGATGGAGCTTTCTGTAACCAGGTTGTTCTTCTGATAATGACCTCACCTGCATTTCCACCCTTCTTCACTCTATCAAATTATATTTGGAAACTATTCACTCTGGCAATTTGCAGTCATGTCATTTACCAATGAAATTACTCAATACTATCGCCTACGGCCTACTCCCCACCTTTAAAACCGTCCATTTTGTTATACTGTTTTAGTTCAACAAAGTGGATTTCACGTTTAACACCAAACAAAGAAGATGGATGATGAATGTATGTATGAACGTATGTACCTTGCCTAGAAGATACCAGGTTACAGTCTCGTTGCATGGAGGAGTGGTGAGAGAACCAGCATATCTGTAGTATTTGTGGGTATCTTTCTTGAGTTGATGCATGTTGAACTCTCCAACAGCTATTTCAGGTTGCTCATTTACTGATCAAATCTTCATTCGTAAAATTAGAAATATGACTTACTTACAACGAGGATACCCTCAAAACCTCTAACGATTGTTGTCAATCTAAACGGTGAATCTTGAATTTTTTTTTCTTTTTTTCTAAGTAAAGGAAGAATGAAACATGTGAAGATTTGGATGAGAGGATTGGGTGGGATGGTTAGGGGATTAGGATGGGGATGGTTATAACCAGGATGTTAAGGGTTCGCTTTTTGCTGGGGCCATTCAATTTTTTTTATTTTTAAAAGGAATATGTGAAGACCAAATTAGGTCAGATAATTCCTTATAAGTTGAGAGTTAGTGAAACTTTTCAAATGATTAAAAGAATTGGGGGAGAAAAAACGAAGTAAAGTACTACAGTTAAATAATTAACTAAAAAATTTTACCGATAACCTAATATAGCATGTTTTTAAAAAATTCGGGATGTAAATGACATACTCTTAAAATTTCGAATGTTTTGGATGGTGTGGTCCAAACCTTAGAATGAAAAGGCCCATTTTCTCGGTAAATTCTGTCCCACAAAATAATTTATTTAGTCTACCAAATGAATTACATTATTTTTTTAACTTATAAATAGTAATAATAAAATTTGTTAGATTGGGCCCAAAAATAAATTAACTCAGGTTTATACAACAATAAAACATTTTGTGGGCTGCTATTACATTATACATAAACAATGATCTGCATGAACTTACAGCAACATTACGGGCTAACAGGCCCATCAACCGGACCCACTAGTCCACCATTTTTTGATGTAAAAGGTTATGTAATTTAAACTGACCCAAAGAGTCTCAATAAGCAAGATTAAAAATGCTAGAATATTCTTCGGGGTAGAGTAGTGGATAGAGTCCATTACAGTGCATCTCTGCATCCACCGATGATAGTCCAGTCCCATCCATACTAAATCAAGTTAGTTGATGATCTCTTCCCTATATAATTCAACCACCTTCCATTGAGTGGTGGGTTGGCCTTGCATTGTTCTTGTATCCCTTTGATGGAGCTTGGAGCTTTCGCCAGGTTGTTCTTCCGATAATGACCTCACTGCATTTCCACCCTTCTTCACTCTATCAAATTATATTTGGAAACTATTCACTCTGGCAATTTGCAGTCATGTCATTTACCAATGAAATTACTCAATACTATCGCCTACGGCCTACTCCCCACCTTTAAAACCGTCCATTTTGTTATACTGTTTTAGTTCAACAAAGTGGATTTCACGTTTAACACCAAACAAAGAAGATGGATGATGAATGTATGTATGAACGTATGTACCTTGCCTAGAAGATACCAGGTTACAGTCTCGTTGCATGGAGGAGTGGTGAGAGAACCAGCATATCTGTAGTATTTGTGGGTATCTTTCTTGAGTTGATGCATGTTGAACTCTCCAACAGCTATTTCAGGTTGCTCATTTACTGATCAAATCTTCATTCGTAAAATTAGAAATATGACTTACTTACAACGAGGATACCCTCAAAACCTCTAACGATTGTTGTCAATCTAAACGGTGAATCTTGAATTTTTTTTTCTTTTTTTCTAAGTAAAGGAAGAATGAAACATGTGAAGATTTGGATGAGAGGATTGGGTGGGATGGTTAGGGGATTAGGATGGGGATGGTTATAACCAGGATGTTAAGGGTTCGCTTTTTGCTGGGGCCATTCAATTTTTTTTTATTTTTAAAAGGAATATGTGAAGACCAAATTAGGTCAGATAATTCCTTATAAGTTGAGAGTTAGTGAAACTTTTCAAATGATTAAAAGAATTGGGGGAGAAAAAACGAAGTAAAGTACTACAGTTAAATAATTAACTAAAAAATTTTACCGATAACCTAATATAGCATGTTTTTAAAAAATTCGGGATGTAAATGACATACTCTTAAAATTTCGAATGTTTTGGATGGTGTGGTCCAAACCTTAGAATGAAAAGGCCCATTTTCTCGGTAAATTCTGTCCCACAAAATAATTTATTTAGTCTACCAAATGAATTACATTATTTTTTTAACTTATAAATAGTAATAATAAAATTTGTTAGATTGGGCCCAAAAATAAATTAACTCAGGTTTATACAACAATAAAACATTTTGTGGGCTGCTATTACATTATACATAAACAATGATCTGCATGAACTTACAGCAACATTACGGGCTAACAGGCCCATCAACCGGACCCACTAGTCCACCATTTTTTGATGTAAAAGGTTATGTAATTTAAACTGACCCAAAGAGTCTCAATAAGCAAGATTAAAAATGCTAGAATATTCTTCAGGGTAGAGTAGTGGATAGAGTCCATTACAGTGCATCTCTGCATCCACCTGATGATAGTCCAGTCCCCAGTCCATACTAAATCAAGTTAGTTGATGATCTCTTCCCTATATAATTCAACCAGCCTTCCATTGAGTGGCTGGGTTGGCCTTGCATTGTTCTTGTATCCCCACCCCAGTGGAGCTTTCAGCGCTTCCAGTTGTTCTTCTGATAATGACCTCACCTGCATTTCCACCCTTCTTCACTCTATCAAATTATCTTTGGAAACTATTCACTTTGGCAATTTGCAGTCATGTCATTTACCAATGAAATTACTCAATACTATCGCCTACGGCCTACTCCCCACCTTTAAAACCGTCCATTTTGTTATACTGTTTTAGTTCAACAAAGTGGATTTCACGTTTAACACCAAACGAAAGAAGATGGATGATGAATGTATGTATGTATGCATGTATGTACCTTGCCTAGAAGATACCAGGTTACAGTCTCGTTGCATGGAGGAGTGGTGAGAGAACCAGCATATCTGTAGTATTTGTGGGTGTCTTTCTTGAGTTGATGCATGTTGAACTCTCCAACAGCTATTTCAGGTTGCTCATTTACTGATCTAATCCGCTCCTTAGCCAGTTGATGTAGTTTGCTATCAATCTGTCACCAAGAAATCCACACACTACTATTTTACGGGTAGTTCCTATTAATCGATTTCTTCCCAGAAGGCAGTGATTTCTGATTATCTGTTTCCGGTTATACTTATCATCCTGCTTTTAGTTCATTTCAAATATTCTTCTTAATTGCCTGAGCCGTAATGGTTGAGTAATGGAAGAAAAAGTATGCACAAGTGTATACCTTTGCAATTAGGGGATCAGCATGCCCGAGTTCATAGAGGACACTTATGACAGCTATTCCCCCATCATCAGCTCTGTGAACCAGGTGAAGTTCAGCAGCATATCTGCAGTTTTTCATTCAGATTTTTTCTTCATGATTTAACGGGTAAGATTGATCTATAACGCAAGGAAATAAATTATATATATAAAAAAAGTATATTCCCTCCATTTTAGTACTGATGAACAAACTTACTGAACTCCATTAATTTTGTGCTCAGATGGAGAATGCCAATGCATTTGCTTGAAGTTGAAAACCTTTCCGTCCGAAATCAGGAAGCCTGAACTTTGACCACATCTTAGCTGCATACATAATAGGGAAACAAAATAATGAATGATGGATGATTATCAATTAGCTAACATCAGCTCTTTTCTGCTGTAAACCATACTACTAGCATAAAACAGAAGACTAACCCCGATGTTGAAGCCATTGTTGACTAAGGTAGCATTGATTGAGGTGTACTTCCTGGTCAAAGGTTTCAAATGTTTGTCCAAGAAAACCTTTTCCGTAGAGATGTCAACTGGTGACTGTGATTTCCCCTTGGAGCAAGTTGAGAAAGCTGAGTTCAAGCTTCCCCAATGGGAAGGTCCCGAGGCACCCACGTAGCTGAATTGAACTGCAGGAGCAACTACATTGATCTCCTCTGCACCCAAAAGAATCAAAAACCGTTAACAATTTACACATATTGCTCTGAAGAGCAAGCAAGTAAAGAGATCACACATATGATTTACAAGTGCAATGTACCTTCCGTTAAGTTAGCAGAAGCGTGAATAATCAGAAAAATGGTTGCTGAAAATAAGAGGATGGAGAATCGGGCAGCCATTAGGACAGTTTTTCTTTCCTTTCTCAGAGACCACAAGAAACCAGCAAGCAGCAGCTGATTGTGCTCTCTTTTATAGAAAGGCCATACAAAATAGATGTCAGAATAAGATGGAACATGACAACGACAATAATCCATTCTTATAGCTTGGCTTAGTATGCAACCAGCGGTTAGTATACACTACGAGGGACCCCTTCCCCCACAATATAATAGATTATACTTTGAATCAAATAATTGATTTTTCTGCTCTTGAGGTGCGTCTATTATTTTCCTTAACAAAAGTTCTAAGACGTAAGATGCAACCTAGTCAGTAGTTACTGTGTTTTATACGATGAACTTACAATTTTATTTTTTCTTATTCTCGTTCAGAATATATCACACTCAAACTAATCTATACTTGCTTGCTTTGGCCTTTCCAGTTTTCAGCTAGTTGTATGTTCAGTGTCTTCTCTATCCATTTCTGGGTGAGCTGCAAGAAATGCAGAGCACTTATTTGGGAAGTTTGCTTTTATTGCCATAAAACATACACCAAAAAAGGTGATCATCTCAAAGCGCCACAGTTTTCAAGATTATAAGAGGGCAATCATTTGTCATGCAAATTGCTTGGAGTAGGGAGGGTAAATTACTTTTTTAGAACGCTAGTCTTGTTTGAATGTGTCTTTTTTACAGTCATGTTTTGTTTGATTAGAGTCATTATGTAGTTCTTATCTTAGAGGGATTATATTTGATTTATTTGTTTGGGTAGAGACAAAGCTGAAGAAAAGGTATGCTTTAATTATATGATTTGTTTGGCTCGGTTTGTCTTTGATTCTTGACCATTTTTCCTCCTATTTCAAAAGCAACAGAAAAAGCCGGTCCAGCTGCTGCCGATCCATTGCTTCCTTTCTGCAGAAGATGCCATTACCACATATATTGCTAGCTGAAGTCGATGGTCATTCATGAAATATGTTTATTATTCAATCCACCACCTCCTCCACTTACTCAATTTTATTTTATTTTTTTTAAAAACTTCTTTTGGAACAAAGAGACAATCAAAAAGTTGCGGTGCCTGTTCCATACTTTTTTCTTCTCTTCAAATTATATTGAGAAAAATTGGAATTTATCAGAACAATTTGTTCATTTTGGCGATTATTATCTCAAACCCAAAGTCGCCACCCAAACAATGAACACCAGAAACAACCCAACTTAAGCAGCAATTTTCTCACACCAGGATTGAGCATGGATTAATTTGACTGCGAGAGAATACCACACAGTATCTTTAAAAAAAAAAAGAAACAAAAGAAGAAGAAAAGGTATTGGCGCTCAAGTTCCCTATTATCATATCTTGACTTTCAAGAGGAATTATATTCCTAACAGACTATGAGGTTTATTGGGAGAAAAAAGAAACCCCAAGTTATCAAATATGCCATCATTTTTACAATACAAGTCAAGGACCGAAACCAGTCAGCATGTGACAAATAACCCTGAAGCAAACGTTGACTCCTGTAAAGGCTCTGTGTATACTGTGATGCCAAATCCAGTTATGGAGTCAACTACGATGTCCTAAACAACGGCCTAATCAAATTAGGATGTCCTCAAACATTGTAAACTAAGCATTGCCATGCTCAGCATGGGCCTCTTAGGCTCTTACTGCTTCCCTAAAGCACAAAAAATGGCCACTTCTAAAAGAAGAAAAGTTGAAAGCAACCAAACAGATTTGTGTAATCCCTCGGTTTTATCCTCTATTCGTGTGTGTCACTTTCAGTCTCTCCGAAAGACAATTCCACCTTCCTGAAGATGAGAGCGGTGTGGGTTAAAGGGTCCTTAACGTATCATCACATTTTCAAAAAATCCCAGAACATTCTAGTCTTCCCTCTGTTTTCTTTTTAATCCAGATTTTGGTAGGCCAGAATCCAGAGCACCACCTAGTTGGATACAATGAACTTATGTGCCAATGCCCTAGGTAAGGATGCATTAAGCAGACACCGGGATTATATTCTTTTGATGTTGCAGTGAGTTATGTACTAGCTGAAGACTTGTAAGCCTTTAGCCTGTTCTTTATCTTTTAAAAAACGAACAAGAGTGCTTTTTATTTATCTTCCCAAACGAAATGTTGGCATGTACTTAATAAAATAAACTCTAAATGCTTATGATCACAATTTTTTCAATATGTTTACTGAACCATGTCATGAAAAATACAGACAATATATGAAGTGCAACTCAACCGTTTTTAAGGTTATCTGCCTTTCTAATTTACACACATACTTACTGGTGCTATCGTTTGTCCATAGAGATAGATCTATCCTATAAAACTGTTAGTTACATTTACAACGTATAGAAAAGAATGCAGGGTTGTATATACATCATGTATTACAAACAGGACAAACCTCAAAGAACCAGGTATCTAGTGCCAGAAGTATTTACTCCTCTCAAATGATTAACAGCTCAGCAACTTCTAATCCTTGTTCCACAGCTTAGATATCTGGAAACTGCATGTTTTTCAGGCATTCGTTAGTAACAGAAGAAAAAGTTGAGGAAAATATACACCGTAATATCGCAGAACGATTAGGCAAGCAAAACCTTGAATTATAAAATGGAATACTTTCTGCATTCTCAAAGAGCATAAGTGGCCTTCAGGTATTCCACAATTTCAGCGCTTTCAAACATCTGTACTCCAGTATTTGGATCTTCCAGGTATGGAACCTACAAAGATTTGCACTAAAAACAATCATGTTTCTGTAAAATAAGATAGGGCAGAGTTATGTGTGTATCCGTAAGAACCTATGACCTGAAAATGTCCAGCTTTCTCATATAGTATCTGCCTTTTTGGGCTCCCACGGGCGCAACTGAAAAGTAACAGCAACAAATGACTTCCCAGGGCATCTACTAACTTCAGCATAATCAAAAGCAAACAATTGAAATGTATAGTTGAGAATGTTTCAGTTATTAAAAATGGTTTAGATAACGTCAACAATAAATAGAACAATTTGCTGCACAATCACAGAGTACTGCTGAGATCAAACAAGATAAAGCAGAAGTTACAAAAGCTCATAGCATATTCCAGTGAATATGGGTTGATTGAATGCTACCTCATGATTTTATATTCATGAAGAGTAAGCATCAACAAAGGATCAACTCTGAACACAATGGGGTTCCCAAATATCAGGCATTTAGCTTAGTGGTAAGGTGTAGACTGACAAAACCTTAAGCTTGAAGGCCTTTGCCCAACACCACATATCAAAGTATAATTGCCATTTCCTTTGAACACTCAATCTATTAAAAGCATTTTAAGAATAACATGGTCTAATACTTGATGAACTAGGTGATCGGTCAAAGTATTCTAACAGGTTGATATCCAATATACTCTGTGTCCAGCAGAACGTCAGTTATATGTTTTAAGCTAATCATATTCAGCAAGTAGACATTTTACCAACAGAAGCACCAAACTCCCCAGAAGAAGAAACATGATAACTGTCATTTTACCCATCCAAAGAACAAAAATCCTAAGCTGCAGAGATTCGACAAATTTCAGAAGGAAATAAGCAAATTAGATTCTAGGATAGCATAATCATGATGTTTTATACGGATACAGGATCTCACGAAAGTGTTACCTGTGAAGTATGTGAGGAAGCTCTAGCTCCACAAGTGTTTCCCTCACAACTTTACAAAATGGAGAAGGCTGCAATGGAGAGTGATAAATTGTTATATTCCTAGTCATTGGATTTAGAAGTGAAAGAGTAAAACCCAACTCCAATAAGTGTTAATTGCAAAATTTATTCTCTATGAGCAATACTGTATTACCAAAGCAGTGTTAATTTACCTCGTATGCCCAAATCTCGAGGGGTTTGGGTGGCAATTTCGCTGGGGTATACAAAGAACCCTGCAGAAGTTACAAGAGAACCCTCTGGCTCAGTATAAGATAAGAAGGTGACTGAAGCATCATTACATAAATAGTACCAAGTGGGAATAGAACAAACAAAGAAATAAGATGAAAGGCTTCTTAGTTAGATTCTGTAGTGGGTGTATATGTATATATAAGAAAAACAACAAAACATCTACAAGAATGACAGTATAGTCCATACCTTACCCATTCGGCCAATCATGGCGAAACCTTCAGTCAGAGTCTATAAAAGAAACTGTCAGAAAACAATAAAAGTGTTTCATTGAACGCGGCAAATGGGTAAGGAAAGGTTCAGGAGTGCTCACAGTTAATAGACCAAGGGACAGCATAATGGGGACATTTCCATCACCTACAATGACAAAGCCGATTTCAGAAATTGTTAGAGGTGACTGAAAGCAGAAACAGAGGGGAATGCTGAATGCACATGCTAAAACAGATCCTCGAAAAACACACTTGTCTCCTACTGAAGCAGCCCGCATTTATAACACAAGATTTTGGCAGCCACCAATATAACTTGAGATGAGCTCTTCAGAGCTTGTTGAGTTACTATCTCCAACTTCTAAAATGAGTATGAACGGAAATAAAATGGCCCCATAAAACGGACAAACAAGGACTAAAGAGTTGCATACTCCAAAGAAATAAAAGTTAAGGAACTCAAAAAACACACTGATAGACTTACCATACTTCCCAACCAGGTATTTGATTATTTCATCTGATTCATACATAGCAACTCCTGTATTCGGATCCACCTGCAGTATAAGAAAGTAAGATACATCAAACTACTGACTACCTTCGGATTTAGAAAACAATCCCTTAGTTGAAAACTATACTCCAGAACTGGGGGAGAATAGCTTCATTTATGTGCAGGAGCACTACCCATACGCAACCAATATAATTAACAAATTCTGCCAGTGCTTAGTACTCTCTGATGGAAAAATAAATGTATACATTGCAACAAGTTTGCATCCTCAGCAGATAAGACATTATAGGAGAAATCACAACCGTAAGCAAGATTATGCCTTCATTAGTCAACAATTGGAGCATACTAATCTTGGAAACACGAGCATGGTACCCCACTTTTTCATGAGACTTGTCTCCACTCAAAAAATGGCAGGACATGATACAAGATACTAACCATGTAAGGAAATTGTTGTTTTCCACCCATCTCAGCTACTTTAGGACGAAAATTAGGGCCATTTCGTGGACAGGGGTAATATAGGACGTCAAGATCTAAGATTGCAACAATTTCCCGAACCTGCAGTATGGACAACAACATTTTATAACATGTTGATGCAACATGGAATGGTGACAGCTATAGATTTGTTTGTATGCTACATCCTATGGCAACAAATGAAAGAGCTAAACAGTTCCAACAAAGACATGTCAAAGGCATCGTGCTATTAGATGGAGTACCAAGAATAAACCCCCAGTGACAGAATGCCACTAAATTAGCAGGGCAATGGACTAGCCACATGAAAGCAAAAATGCCAGGAACATGATAAGCTTGATTTGAAGTAGGAGATAGTAGCTCAAAGAGAGACATGTTTTGCTTTTTCAAAATATCCGATACAATGAGTGAACAAATTTAAAATTAATAGCTAAAGCTCACGATTATGGTACACATAGATAGCTATAAAAAAAAAAGTTAAAGAAGGTGGATGATTACAAATAAATAATGTTACCTTTCGGCAAAAGGGGCAGCTGAAAGATATTTCCATGCACCGCAAGAATTTGAATGGAGAAGAAAAGACGTCAAGTCATTAGTTGAGTCAGTGGCACAAACATTGTCTTTCTTAATTATAAGCACTCAAAGATAGCATGGCTGGGGACATCTTTGTGTGTGGAATACCTCTCAAATTCGTAGATCTCAATCGGTATTTCAGGGCGCGGACCTAGTTTTGAAGTCTCTTTCAACTTGAAACCTGCTACAACATCAGGAGCATTGATCACAGAAATTTAAAAACTCGTTACAATCCCACCATACTTTTATTTCGGTAATGACATAGAAGAAAATGATTTCCAATAACAAGAGTAATTACCGGCAATTTCTAGAGCATACTTGTCAGATGGAATCTCATTGTTGGGAACGAAAGACACGGAATATCTGTCAGGAAACATGATCCGGGAAAGACAACACGAAATGATTCAAGATAAATACACATACTAACCTTCAGAAAAATGCCATTCGTTTGCTTAAGAACTCAGGAAGCAGAAAAACAACTTGGGAGAAGAAAATTAGTTTCTTACTCACCCAGAAACGAGAGCACCGGTACCAACGCGGAAAATCAAAGCAAGGGAAGCCCCAATTATATCCAAAATCTTGTCGGGTCTCACTGAAAAGCGTTTAGGCTGCGGAGGCTTGAAATTTGGTGGAGGAGAAAATAAAGGAACTGAAGTTGCGGAATCACCCTTGGAGCTCGGGTAAATAGTAGGAGTTTCGGAGGAGGACTTTGCAGAGAGCCTTAGAGAGTTAGCTCTCCCGTTTGCCGGCTGGTAGGTAGTCGATGGCCGGAAACAGGGAGTCAAGGTGGAGTTGAGAATGCGGGCAGCCATTAATGATTGCCGTTTGCACTTGCAACGGGAACCGGTCGTGTAGTGGTGGGAAGTAAAATGGAAACAATATCTCCTCAAGCAGAGACAAGATAACCTCGGTTTAGTCAGTTGTTAAGGGCCGTAAAGCACTTTATTTAATCGTAATTAATGGATGGACGAATGAATGCTGTTCTCCCACACTACAGTTTTTGGGCCACTATGTAAACAAGAAAGATTTTGGGTCAATCGTGAAGCTTCGAAGCCCAAAGGAATTCTATTTCTGTACATTCTACAGCTCCATTTCATAACAGCAAAATTTTAAGCAGGGTTTAGTTACGCTAATAAGCAAACAACAAAGTACTTTCGGGACCAAGATTCCAAGAACCACAAAATTTATGCGTCCAGATATCTTTCATGAGTTTTACCATTTAAGCTTAATTATAAAAGCTACTACAAATCCCTACCATTTCAGCAATGTTATACAGATAGAAACCTCCCTAAGTGGTTAAAAGCCCATGTAAGTAAACCCACTTCTGGCCCATTTATAACCACAAAAAGGAACAATATGCAGCTGCATTTTGGAGCCCAAAATAGGGAGAAAAGATGCACTCCTCAGGTATGTCAGCGATTAAAGTGGTGGCTTTGACCGAAGCATTTAGAATTCTAACTGTCGGTTTGTGAGTTAGCACTTAGCACCTTTCTAACCTTGTTTTTCTTTTTCTTTTTTTTTTTTTAAAAAAAATAGTACTCCCTCCATTCACAAATAGATGTCGCTGAAAAGATTTCACAATGATTAACACTATAAGATAGATCGGGACGAGTAAGAGTAAGGTATTCAAGGACTGAAGGACACCAACAATGCTACGAAACTAGGTGGGATCATTAAGGGACGGAGCATCAGGTATAGTGACTTTGGCTTCAAGTGGTGTAGGCATAGGTTTGCAATCTAGCATATTGGCTCTGTCAAGAATAGAATGAGCATAGTGAGTTTGATATAAAAACAATCCAGTAGAAGTAATAGAAACTTCCATACTAAGAAAATGATGAATGAGCCCTAAATCCTTCATAGCAAATTCTTTATGCAAAAGTTGAAGAAAAGTAGAAATGAGAGCATAGAAGAGCCAGTTAAAAGCATATCATCAACATAGACTAGCAAAACCAATGTGCCATGATTTGAATGAAAGATAAATAGAGACGGATCAACTAAACTACAAAAAAATCATAATAAAGTAGAAATTTACTAAGGCGATCAAACCAAGCTCGAGGAGCTTGCTTTAATCCATAGAAGGCTCTTTAAAGTTTACAAACATGCAAGGGATATAGAGAGTCAGCCATATCTGGAGGTTGTTCTATATACAAATCTTCTTCGATATAACTATGAAGAAATGCATTTTTGACATCAAGTTGTCGGATAAGCCAATTATTAATTAAAGCAACAGAAAGAATCAATAAAATGGTACCTGGTTTGATAAAAGGAGAAAAAGTCTCAGTATAGTCAATGCCATCCACTTGGTGATATCCTTTCGCAACCAAACGAGCTTTAAGACAATCAAAGTGTGCCATCGGGTTTAAGTTTGGACTTGAAGACCCATTTGGAACCAATAACATGCATTGACGAAGTGCAACGAACAAGAGTCCAAATGCGATTTTGATGTAGGGCATTCAATTCATCGAGCATGGCAGCCTTCCATCCCGGGTGTTGTAAGGCGGTTTTAACAGTCTTGGGTTCAGAAGGTATGGTAGGGGAAACGGATACGGAGAGTGCATATTTGGGGTTAGGTTTGACTACACCTAGCTGAGAGCGAGTGATTATAGAGTGTTTGGGTGGTGAAGAGGAAAGTGAAGGATCGGGTGAGGGTGCAGAGGTGGTGGCGGAGGACGACATCGAAACGGAAGAAGAGTCGGTGGAACCAGCTGCAATAGAAGGTGAAGCAGAATTTGATAACTCCGATGACGAGGAAGTGGGAGGCTCATGAGCTATAGAGGAAGCTGAGATGGGTGAAGGGAATTCGGAGGAAATTGTTTCGACAGAAGGTGAAGAAAAGCAGCCAGCATGTTCACACGAACTAGAACTGAGATCATAAGAGGTTGGCAATAGAATAGAGGTTTCGGGGAAAACATTAGGGGAAACAGGAGTCGAATCATCATCAGAGAGGGACTCCAACCAAGTATCAAAAATCTGTAAAACATGAGACCGAGGCGGAGCAGGTGTTGATGCTTTAAACGGAAAGGCCATTTCATAAAAAATGACGTGCCGAGACATCAAGAATTGCTTGGTGACTGGATCACAATTTTTGTACCCCTTCTACTTGTCACTATACCCTACAAAGCACATAAAATAGTTTTAGGATCAAATTTATTTCGTTTTTTATCCCAAATATAAGGAAAGCATTTGGAACCGAGAACTCGTAATGAAGAACAATCTGGATGAGTTTGATGAAGTTTAAAATATGGTGTAGAAAATTCGACGGCAGATAACGATAATCGGTTCATCAAATAGACAGCAGGCTTCAAACCACAAGGAAAGCAGGGCATGACTATGAAACATCATGGTCATTCCGAGTTCGCGAATAATACGATGTCTATGTTCAACCGCACCAGTTTGTTCAGGAGTATATGGACACTGTTGATAGGTTAATTAATTCTCTGCCGCCATCAGAATGAAATATCTTAATGCATTTGTTGAATTTGAGTATTGACATAATTTTCAAAAGCAATATAAGCGGAGAAAAAATCAGACTTGTTTTTGAAAGGAACAATCCAAGCACATTTTGAATAATCATCAACTAAATAGGCATAGTAACGAAATTTCCCAATAAATACAACAGGGGCGGGACCCCCACAAATCACAATGTATCTTATCAAATTATTCTGAGCATGAAAAAACGAGAGTCTACTAAGTTTCCCAAGTTGACAGCTATCACAAAAATGATCTATGTCTGTAGAATTTGTAACACTAATAATGCCTTTATTTTTCAACCGTTGAATTACCGAAACTTGTGGATGCCCTAATCTTTGATACCAAAGTATTGAACTGCCAGACTTAAACGATATGAGAAACGATATGAGAAATGAGCCTCTGGATAGCTAGTAATAGTATATAAATCACCATTCTTTTGGCCCTTCAGGATTGGAAGACCTGTTTTCCGATAAAAAAACCGTGTCAGAAAATTCACAATTAATAGGAGATTGATAAGTCAACTAACAGACAATAAATTTTTTTTAAGTCAAGTACAAACAAAACATTAGGCAAAGGTAAAACATGATTGTTTTGTTTAAGAACCGAATCTCCAACACCTGTAATAGGAATAGAAGATATCGTCGATTATAACAGAATCAAAACCATTATAATTATGAATATTTTGAATCATACCTCGGTTACCTGTCATGTGTTTAGTAGTAGCCGAATCGGATGACCATTTATGATCAACAACCGAATTATCTAATGTAAGTGCAGCAAGGGCATGAGGAAGACTAGAATTTGACGAAGAATCAGGCTGGCCTTTTGCAATCCACCAGCAAATTTTTGCAATATGTCCAGGTTTACCACAGAATTGACATGCAGCATCGCGATACATTTCTCCTTCTGAGTTGGTCACTCATTTTTCGTGCTGGTTTGCGCGGCTGATTCCAGTTAGGACTTGAATGATCACGTGGATGAGAAGACTGATGAGAGAACTCATGATTACGGGACTGAGAACCAGCAGCAAGGTTGGGCGAATTAGCAAATGATCGTGGCTGCTGTGCTTGAAATCCCTTTCCCTGCGAGGAGAACTGACTGCTGCTGTGATGCATAGAATTTTGAGAAGAGCCGGACTTTTGATGCTGGCTATAAAAGGCGAAATGAGGAACATGGTTTGACAGTGAGGAATCAGGCTGATTGGAGAACCAATTGCGCCTTTGATCAAGATTCTGTAACTGAGAAATCTGAGAAATTAACTCGGAATAGGAAGGGCGTGGTGGCTTCAACATTGTAGTTGTGAAGGATTCATAATGCTATCCAAGGCTATTCAGTAAACAATAGACCCTTTCCTGCTTAAGAACAGGCTTTCCAATAGCCACAAGGCTATCGCACAAGCTTTTAAAGACTCTGATATGTTCAACGAGGGTTTTATTTTCATCTTTACGGAGATACATAATCTGTTGACGAAGAGTGAACTCCCTCTCTTGTGAATCTCTGGCGTATTCATCTTTCAACGCATTCCAGACAGCATGAGTTTTATGAAGGCCGATCACCAGACCTAAGGATTTTTCGGACAGTGTTCCAATGATCCAACCTGTGAGGAGTCCATCGAATTGTTGCCAAATCGTAAATTGTTGAACTGATTCAGTCGAGACTTTGTCTTTATGAGAGACTGAAGTGTTAAGATCTGTTTTTGGTGGATTTGTGAGGTGACTGACAAGCTCTTGACTTTCAGCCAATGCAAGGACTTGTTCTCTCCACTACGGGTAATTCGTTGGCGAGAGTGTGAGGGTGACGAAATTACTGACATTCAAGGACATGGAGGTGTTTGAAGAAGACATGATTCTGAAAAAAAACGATAATCAGAAAGGCGAACCTGCTCTGATACCAATCAAAAAATTGGTATTTAGGAAACTTAATTGTTGGTATTTAGGAAATTTAATTGTGATTTATGATGAAACAGAAACAAGACCGTGAATTGGAAACCAGAAAACCACTTGACTTTGTTATTCACTTTTTCTGCTTGAGTTTTTCGAATACTAGGCAGCCTATTTTATAGCTCAATTATACAGATGAAAAGATAAGCCGTAAAGGGCATAAACCCTAGAAGCTAATAACTAAGTTGCGTTGATGATGATCTCTTCTTGGGACAGTGATCAAGTCCTTCATGCTTATCAACCGAAGACGTGCCGCTGTAATCGTTTGTTGAAGAAGCCGTATGAATAACAAAGGCTCAAAATCAGATTGCCACAAGTGTTACTTGATCCAAATATATTTTATTGTTTTTATGCTTATTGAGTACACACTTCCTTATTACTCCCATCGTCCTTATCACTTC